ATGATCGCCGCCCTCGGCCTTGCCCCTCCGCAGGCGCGGGAGCGCTCGCGGCGAGCACCTCCTACCTCTCGTCGCCCGGCTGCTCCCTTTCCCCGTCACCCGCCGCGCCCTCGCCCGGCCGCCCCACCGCGCACGGAGCGCTCGGCAGCTCGCCGCCGCCGCCGCGCGTCCCGCGCCGCCACGCTTGCCCCCTCTCCTGACGCGCACCCCGCGCAGACGGCGCTCCGGGACAGACGGAGCAGCGACCGCGCCAGCGGTCGCTGCTCCGCCCCTCCGTCGCGCGCGCCGCGCGCGCGCTGCGCCGCTGCCGCCGCGCCCCCCTTCGCCGTCTGTTTCCCGCCGTATGGTGTGCGGTGCGCGCACGCGCAGCGCACACGGCAGCGGCTCCCCACCCCCCTACCCTGTACCCACCCCGTCGCGCCGCCGCCGCCGCCCCGCCGCCCCCGCCGCCGCCGCCGCCCCCGCTGTAGCGTTTGGGGGGGGCGACTGGCGACAGCAAAAATGCAAGCCCCGCCCCTGGCCACTGTTTCCCGGCTCTTGCTGTGTGCCGGCACAGAGCTCCATGCCAGCCCTCCAGCGAGATAGGAACGAGTGTATCGCTTTGACGGATCGACCGTGCTTGTTATCAATACCGATCTCACGTACACAGTTAACACTCTTCCAGACGTTCTGTACTCTCCTATCCGGCAACCGGCGAGACGCTGTCGTGAGCCGCTCTTGCGGCAGCCGCCAGCGGAGGCCGAGCGCGTCGCGTGAGTTGAAATCGATGTGGCGAGTCGACCGTCAGTCACGATGGCACTGCGCCCGCGGCGGCTGCTGGCGAGGGCAGCAGCGGCGCGCGCGAGGCGGCAGCGTAATCGGGTCCGAAGTACGGACCCGATTTGGGGTCTACACACCTCCCCCCCCCCCCCCCCCCCCGAGTGGAAGAGCGCGCCGCAGGCGAAGCGATTTTTTGGCGGCAGGGCTGTTCCAGTTTATCTTGTGATCACGCGCGAGCCTTGATAGGCCCCGGAGGCCTCAACCCCCAACTAAAGGGTTGACGGGGGGTCTCAACCGTCAACCAGATGGTTGAGGGGGGGCCTCAACCCTCAACCCCTCAACCACCCCCTATGCGCTGATTGAGGGGGGGGGGGGGCGGGGGCCCCTTGGTTGGCTCTGCCGCACACACACACATCGCTGCCTGCACGCTGCCTCCACACATGCACGGCGCCGATCGCTGCCTGATCGTCGGGCTGACCGGTCGCACTGACCTCAACGGATGCACGTGCACCCTGCGTGACTTCAGTGATGGACGCTGGAGCTGTTCCCTCCAGGTCCACGGTGAGGTCGTGCGTGTCCTGCCAGCAAACCTTTCCTTGATCAGCGTGTCGCCCGGCCTCACAACGCTCCAGAACGCAGTGTTGGCACTCGATGTGCCAGCGATCATGCGAGCTATCGCCAGCTCTGGCTGTGACGTGAACGCTCGTACTCCGTCGGGCGCGGCTCAGCCCTGCGCCTGGCGATCGAGATTGAGCGACTCGACATCGTTGAGCTGCTGGTGAACGCCGGAGCCGACATCGCTGTGCTGAAGCCCAACGGTGCGCACGCGTTGATTCTCGCAGCTGAGTTCTGCAAGGCGGATTCGCAAATCATCGACTTTCTGATTGCCCGTGGCCTCGATGGATTTGTCAATCGCCCCGATCACCACGGAGGGACTGCGGTTGGGTTTGCTGTTCAGAACGGTAACCTGAGCGCTCTCCACGCACTGGTGCGACATGGTGGTGACCTGTACGACACGGATATTCTGCGTCTGTTCCACAGCTCTGGCAACGGCGCCATCTGGAGCGATGATCACACTGCCACGTTCAAGCAGTTGATTCGGTGGGGGGCGGATGTCGACGCCACCGGCGCGGACGGACTCACAGGCGTTCATTACGCGATCCAGAACGACCTTCTCAAGGGGTTCGAGCTCCTCGCCGAGCATGGTGCCGATCTGACCAAGCCGCAGCCCGCGTGCCAGGGCCGGACCGGCAACTCCCCCGCGCACGCCGCCTTCATCCTTGGCCGCAGGAGCTTTTTGAAGGTGCTCCTGCAGTATGGGCACAGTGTCAGTCCCGATGAAGTGCCACGGCTCCAGCAGCTCCGCCGTGAGCTGATTCAGATTGCGCAAGATCCTCCGAAGGATCTGACGCTCTACGAGGTCAAGCACGGCGCTCAGCGTCTCGTTACTGAGCCTGTCGAGGTCGCGAAGTTTATGGAGCGGATGACGATTCTACCAAAAGACCCAGCCCAGACCAAGAAGGCGGACGCGTTTGTGATGCGCACAATCTGCGCAAGCTGCGGCCAGTCATCCAAGGACACCATGAAGAAACACATGGTCTGCAGCCGCTGCAAGGCTGTCTCGTACTGCAGCGTGCCGTGCCAGCGCGCGCACTGGAAGAAGCACAAGGCGGTCTGCTCTGCCACACGCCCCTAGAGGGGCGACCGTCTGACTACGCACAGCCGTACTCATCTCGTATACGTCTGAGTGAATCGTGAGAGAGGAGTGACTGTTTATTGTGTTTGTATTTATAGTCGTTCGGTCATTCGGGCGCGTGGCCCCCAGCTAGCGCGGAAGGGTGGTAAGGGCGGGGGGCGTGGCGCGGCACTGGCCACTGCGCGGCGCGCGCCGCGCGCATTGGAGGGGTAGCCGAAAAATAGAGACCGTACTCCGTAGAGCGGAGCGGGTGTCTGAGCATACTCTATTTTTTGAGTGAGTGTCTCTCTTGCATATCACATACTTCGAACACCTGACGCGTCATTCGGGCGCGTGGTCGCCCACGCTCCGAGTGGTTCCGTCGGCCCTCAGCAGGGGCGCCGCGAGCGGTGCGGCGCGAGCGGGCTGACGAGGCGGAGCGGAAAAGGAGGAACCTGCCCCGCATGCGCGAGGCTCGGCCGCGGTGCTCGCGCGGGCGCGCTTGGGCGGCGCGGCTTCGGCGGCGACCAGCGATGCGAGCGGCGTGTACAAGAGCACGCCCACCGCCTGGAGCGCCGCCGTGACTAGGAACGTGTGTCGGTACCCGATCCGGTCCGAGAGCAGCCCACCGAGAGCGGCCGAGCCTGCAGGTGTGAGGGTGCGTGCCTGTGAGAGGTCGAGCAGCGCTATCTCGGCTGGAGCTCGGCTGGAGCTCGGCTGGAGCTCGGCTGGATCTCGCCTGCCCAAGTGGAAGTGTTGACGCTCTCGAGCGAGGCCCACTTGGCGCGGTGCCGCTTGGGGACGTAGTCGTTGAGCACGCTCTTCGAGAGAGCGAGAGTCGAGTTCATGAGCCAAGAGCGCAGCAGGCAGATCGGGAGGATGAGGCGCGGCTCCTGCAGCGGGCAGAGCGCCACCTGCAGGCCGTGTCGTGGACGGGTCGCGGACGAGTCACTGACGCGCCCCAGTGGCGGAGAGGGAAGGGCGCGCCACGACAAGGAGGGAGACGCCGCAGCTCTTGACGAGCAGGATGGTGGAGACGCGCCCTACTCCCGTCAGGAGGGCGTGAGGAGCCGACGCACAGGCAGCGACCGCTGGCTCGAGGCGGCGGCCGATGCGCAGCGAGAGCCGCTGCAGCGCGATCGTCCACGCGGCGGAGCCGAGGTTGTTACCGACAAGCATGAGCATCGCAACCTGCGGAGAGGGCGTGGGGGCGTGGCGGCGGCCGTGTCGGTTGGCGTGTCGCCGGAAGCGGCTAGGTAGCGGCTCGGTAGTGGCTCGGTAGTGGGCTCGGAGGTGTGCGTCGGCACCGTGGGCGGCAGCCCGAGCTCGCGCCAAAAGTAGAGCGAGAAGAAGCGCATCGAGAGGCCCGAGGCGAGCTTGCCCGTCAGGTCGGCGACCGCGATCAGCGGGGCCACGTGCTGCGGGCCGAGCCTGCGCGACGTGTCATGGACGTGTCCTGTTCGACGTGTCATGGACGTGTCCCGGACCGCAGGACGCCTCGGAAGTGCCTCGGAAGTGCCTCGGAAGTGCCTCGGAAGTGCCTCGGAAGTGCCTCGGAAGTGCCTCGGAAGTGCCTCGGAAGTGCCTCGGAAGTGCCTCGGAAATGCCTCGGAAGTGTCTCGGAAACGTGCAGCACCTGGCTGACCGACGGCGATGCGGCGGCGCCTCCGACCCGACCTGTCCGGCCCCCGCAGCCACGCCCGCGCCTGCCGAAGAGGCCGCCTCGCCCGCCGCATGCGCCGCGCCCGCCTCCGCCGCCCCCGCCTCCGCCGGGATTGCGCTGCCGTGGCTCTCGGCGCGGGAGAGAGGCGCGGTGTGGAGCCCCTCGCTCTCCTGGCCAAGGGAGGAGGCGAATGGCAGAACGCAGGTCGCGAGGACGGCGGAAGCAGCGCGAGGGGTGGGGAGTGTCACAGAGGCGTCCCAGAGGTGTGTTAGAGGTGTCGCAAAGGTCTCAGAGGCGCCTCGGAGGTGCCTCTACGCCGCGCTCCTGGCCGAGGGAGCGCTCGTCGCGGAAGAGCCACAGCAGCGCGGCAGGCACGAGCCGCACGGCGGCGCCGGCGAGGAGCACGGCGACGAGCTCCGGCTATGTGGGGGCGTGCCACTGGGGTCATGTGCAGAAGGCAACCGGACCCGACACGCAACCTGCTGCACCTCTGTCCAGCTGTCGCCCCGCGCAAAGAAGATTGCCTACTCACACGGCGGCCCTTAATCGCCGCGGCTCGAGCCGCGAGGGCCATGCTGATTGAGGCGGCACCGCGGCCGTCGCGGGCCCGCACGCGAGGCCCAACTTCCTCAGCGACGACAGCCACGAGTAGATCTGAGAGCGGCGGCCGCTCGCGACCGAGTCGCCGAAGATTGCATCAAATGCGGGCTGCTGGATGCCGCGCCGCAGGCCGCCCAGGAACTGCGAGCCGAGGAGCAGCGCGTAGCAGGTGCGGTCGCTGGTGTGCGGCTGAAAGTACAAGAGCCACACAAAGACCCAGGCGGCGGAGAGCACGGCCAGCACGCTCGCGAGCCGCAGGACGGCCTGCCTGCCGACTCGATCCGCGAGACATCCTGCACACGGAGCAACGAGCAGCAGCGCGAGGCCAGATACCGTGGACGAGAGGCCGACCAGGAAGTTGCTGCGGGTGATGAGGAACGCAAAGGCCGTCATCGTAGACTCTGTCAACCCGACGCCAACCATGTTGATTGGCGACACTATGAGCGCCAGCCGCGCGTTCCAGTTGAGGGAGGCGCAGGAAGAGCAGCAAGCGCGAGGTGTCGGCATCATGAGCGCGAAGAGCTGCCGCAGGGTCGGGCTCTCGACGAGTCGTCAGGGCACGCGTGAATTCTTCTGGCTCTGTTTTGGCGTAGGTCCTAGATACTGTCGAAAAGCTCAAGCAATGGTTTGCGAGGGTGACGACGTCGTGCTGCGCTCACTAGTTAGCCGCTCCGAGCTCAACGGGCGCCTCGGTCAGCTGAGAGAGAGACCTTGTCAGCTGCGGCGTTGGTTGGGACGAACGGATACCCATCACTGAGCCGACGATGCTACGGGTAGCCCCAGGGTGGCGCCCACCCCCATACCCTCGGGGCGCTGGCAGGTTGTATTTCACCCCCGAGACGGCGGTGGTGGCTGCAAGGTGAAGCTGAGCAACCTCGCGCGTGCCACTCCTGACGACCGCGCGAACGGGTGCCACGTCGATGCAGAGGAGATTGACGCACTTGAACGCCTCCGTGGGACGTTAGTTAGTTGGTTCGGAGCAGGTTCGGAGATGACATCAGCGCACCGCTACCTAGGTATTGATCGGAGAGGAGAAGGCCACCATCGGGGCTCGTCCGGCCGGCCGCACTCGGCCGGCGTCGGCTGCGGTCGCGTGGAAGACCGCGGCGTCTACCTCTTCCTGCATGCACATGCACATGTGCATGTGCATGCTGTATCTCTCTTCGCAGTGTCGCGCCAATTCTCGCGGCGACCTTCATGCCACCTCTCGATCTTCCCACTCTCGTCGCTCTCTCTCCTTGCGTGAAGCACTCCTCGCGGAGCGGTGCTGCGCGTTGAGGACCTCAGCAGAGCCGTCGGGCTGCTCATTCCCATGCCGTTGAGAGAGGCCTGCTTGAAACATGCTTGCGCATCGCTCAAAAAGGATGAGCGCTACCAGAGACTGGCGATGCATCCGTTCGACTGGAGTGTCAAGCGGCTGCTCCTCCTCGGCCAGCGTGACGGCGGCAGCGTGCTGCACAAGCTCTCACCTGATCTGATGGCCAAGCTGTTTGCAGTGGTGTCCAAGAAGGTGCCCACGCGCCGGCATCGAATGGCAGGCCTCACGCTGCACGCTGAGGGAGGGTGTAGAGGATGTAGAGTGTAGAGCTTAGGGGACCCCTAGGCTTAAAAGGGTGGGCCCTGGGGCGCCTGCGGCTTAAACGGCTTAAAACTTGCCATGGCAAGTTTTAAGAGCTGCTGGGCCGCCAATTCCTTAAACGGTCTTAAACGCTTAAACGGTGCGGGAGAGCTCCCGAGGTCGATGGTCCGGGAGGCTCCCGGTAGACACGCCGGAGGCCGGGAAGCTGGCTACAGTCAGCTAGCACGTCCCCTATGCGAGTATGGCTCCTGCCAGTGCACCAGACTTACAGATGTGTCTTCAGAGCCGAATAACGGCAGTATTGAAGAAAACGGCGCGGAACCCAGCGACGCGTGCCGGCGAGGCCGATTTTCTTAAACGGTCTCTTAAAAGAGGGACCCCCCCGTGCCTGCAATCTCTTAAATGGCAAGTTAAGCCCCCAAACCTCCTCATTTCTTAAAAGGTCTTAAAAAATCCGGCCCTCAGGACCCTAGGGGTCCCCTAAGGTGTAGAGCGCTGTAGAGCTGTAGCTGTAGAGCGCTCTGGAGCGCTGGAGAGCGCTGTAGAGCTGTAGAGCTCTACATCCGCCGCGTGAGACGATGCGCCTGCGTTGTAGAGCGATGTAGTGGCGCTCTTCAACGTGAAATCTCTACAACAAACTCTACATCGTAAGCGGCGAACGAGGCACGGTCGCTCTCCGACATGAGGCGCGTTGCACTTGCCAGTGCTGCCCTGGCCTTCTGTCTGCCCGCCCAATGGGTGGCAGGTGCCTCTGCTGCTGTGGCATGCCTCACGGCTGCGACTGGCCGGCGCCTCGGCGCGTCAGCTCGGCTCGGCGTAGCGATAGTGGCCAGCGCAACTCGCCTGGACTCAACGCTCAGCCAGGAGCTCCCGCACGCGCTGGCGCGAGTCATGGCGCAGACAACGCGTCTGAATGCTCGCCTCGCCTCGCGCAAATGCGACCGTCCTCGCAGCCGACAGTCCACCGCCTGCTAAAGAAGCACTGCGACGAATGCGGCACCGGCGACGCATGGCAGGCTGGTCATGACGCAGTTGTAGGGTGTTGTGTGTCGTCAGAGTGACTCTCTGTGTGTCAGGGATAGTCAGGGCCGTCCATCAGAGCTCCAGTAAGCTCGGAGACACCCCATTAGTGCGACTCGACCTCTTTGAGTCACTGCCTTCCCGGCGGGTTGGCTGTAGAGCCTCTACAACAAACTCTACAGCAAAATCGCGCTCTACATCGCTCTACAACGCAGGCAGTTCGTCACGCGGCGGATGTAGAGCTCTACAGCTCTACAGCGCTCCAGAGCGCTCTACATCTCTACAGCTCTACAGCGCTCTACACTCTACATCCTCTACGCCCTCCCTCAGGCTGCACGTCGCCGCGGTCACGCGCATGGTCCGCTCGCTCCGGCTGCGAGCACGCTGGGCGGCCATCTCGATGCGCGAGGCGGATTTGTACGGCCTGATGCGGGCGTGGTGTATTTCATGTGCAAGGAAGTGATTCGCCTTTTTCTTTACAGTTGTGTAAGGGAATCCGTATCGTCCGGTTTTCTATTCTTTGTCCTTCCCCGAACCCTAGAGACCAGTCCTTGCACGCTTTTTCCCGTTCTCTTTCTGGTGGTCGGCCTCGAAGAGGAGAGGGGGAGAGAAGAGAGAGGAGAAGAATTCAGAGGGGAGAAAGAAAACACGGAGCGCGCCCGGGAGAGATGGGAGGACGGCACGCAGCCAGCATAAATTATTTTTGCAGAGCCTCGCAGGAGTCGCTTAGGCGGCTCCCGTGGTGTACCTGTGTTAGTGCCAGTGCGCGGCACCCACCTTTCTTTTCTTTATCACAGCTGTGAGAGAGGCTTGTATCTTAAGAATTCTTTATAGATCAACACTTTCGATAGACCGAAAGTAAGATCGTTCGGTGCAGAAACCCCGGCCATGCCCATGTAACGCAATTGTGCTCGATTTTTTTGATTTTTTGGTGCAGAAGTGTCTCCAAGTCTTCTGGACACATCGATGGCCGTCGCCTCGACGCCGCTCGTCGCGGCACCATCGTGCCCGGCCTGGGCGAAGCATCGTCGCGGGCGCCAGCCGCAGTTCGAGGGCAAGCCGTGCGAGCCTGCCGAGGAGGAAGACATGTGGCTGTGCCTGGCCGACGGCCGCGCGCGCAGCACCGCCGACCTGAAGCGCCTGGCGACAGCCGCTCGGGTGCGAGCGAAACGAGCAGGAGATGCAGCCGCCGCGAACACGCGCGATCGGCAGGCGCGCGACCAGCGCCGCCGGCAGCGTGAGCAGCACGACCGGCGCGCAGCGCCGGCGGTCGCCAAGACCGTGCGCCCACAACGCGGCCAGTGCGGCTGCCCGGCGCACGCGGTGTGCGGCATGTGCGTCGACCAGGGCAAGCTCGCCGCGGCCGAGCAGGCGGCCATCGACCTGGAGACGCGCTTCCACGCCTCGACGAACGTCGTCATGGACCTGGAGCGGCCCGAGGACGAGACGGCGGCGCTGCTGCAGCGTTGCGTGCACGTCTCCGACGAGACGAAGCGGCGGCTGCTGGGCGAGTGGAGCGATGAGCGCATGGCGCACGCGCTGCCGCTGCACGCATGCGCCTCGTGCGGCGTGCGGGACCCGTCGCTGACGTACACGCGGGTTGACGTGTCGGCGCTGCCGCGTACTGTGTCTGTGCGCGTAGCCGGCGGCGAAGACGAGACGCGGCACGTGTTTGAGCTCTCGCCCGAGCAGTGCGCTAAGTATCGAGGTCTTCAAAGTGTGAGGTTGGGTGGAGGCTGTAGCGTCGTCGCGCGTAAGAAGAGTGGTGAAATTTAGAAAAGGAGTTGCGGTGTTGATCGCCGCGGGAGCCCTCTTATCACAGAGAGGAGAAGACGAATCGAGGATGATGGCAGTTTTCGTGATTGGAGCTCTCGCCTCGGCGGACTGGGCACCCGTCCAGCATTTGATGGACCGATTCGCCTTCCTTCCAAAGATGGCGTTTACTGCGGGAACAACCAGCGGCCGCGCGCACACCTACACCAAGGGAGGGTTCACGATGTCCACTCGAAATGTCATGGCGTCGGCTTCCAAATTCCCGGCCGCGCTGGCCGTCGCCGGCGCCGTCCAGGCCAAGCATCTTGGATTCGACACACCCGCCCACGCCGTGTTTCCGTGGTGGGCCCACGATCCGGCCGACAACCGCAGCGCCGTCACCCTCCGGCACTTGCTCACCCTCACGTCGGGACTCGTGAGCGACGACTTCTCGTCGTGTGGGATGCCCTGCCTCGACCTCACGCCGCCGCCTCTGGGCAATGCAACCAAGTACACGCCGGAGGAGTGCGCGCGCGAGATCTACGATCGCGGCCCGTGGCGCGCCTCGCCGGGTGAGGAATGGTCCTACCACTCTCTCCACCTGCAGCTCGCGGGGGCGATGGCGGCCAAGGCGGCCAAGATGACTGTCGGCGAGCTGCTCGACACCTTTCTGCTGCGCAAGCTGCAGATGAACTCGTCCTTTTGGCTCTGGCAAAAGACCAACCCGCACCTCGCCGCGATGTTGGTCAGCACCGGAGACGACTACGACCGGCTGCTCAACGCGGCGCTCCAGCCACCCGCGGCTGGGATGAGGCCGTCCTGTTATTCAGCGCCTAGTGAAGGATGGATCGTCTATTAGGTGCTCGGCTACCGCGGCTGGTCGAAGGCTGTCCTCTCGGAGATGGAGGCCGACGCGTACACGACCTACCCGGCCCTCGTTGCGGCGAACAACGTCAAGGACCTCCGGCTCAAGTTTTACGGCCACTACTCGATGTGCCTCTACTTTGAGTGCGTGGCGCAGCCGTGGAGCCAGGCGTGTGAGCGCGCGGCGGTGCACGCCGACCCCGGCGCCTTTGGCTACTGGCCGCTCATCAACCGGGAGAAGAACTACTACCTGCAGCTCGTCGTCTCGCGGCACGTCGCGCTGCCGCAGTGGGCGCTCAAGCTCTTCCACATCCGCAAGTCCGACGTGGCGGCGCTGCCGGCGGAGTGCGTCGCGCCTCTCCGCTTCTCCCTGACGGCGCCCGTCGAGAAGGCGCTCAGTCTGCCGGGCACGCCGATGCCGCCGCCAGACCTGCCACTGAACCTGTCGGTCATCTGCGCCATCGCGGCGCACTACCACCCTCTCGAGGCGGAGGTACCGGCGGAGGCCGCCGTGCCGGAGGGTGAGGCGGCACTGCTCGGCCGGCTCCGCTCCATGTTCTGAAACATGCCCAATTCTTACACGGTTCATGTCGGAATTACTTGTCTCCCTGGTTGGTGCCTGGAGCGCACTTGAGATCGACGAGCTTACCTTCTTCTCGAAAGTTGTCATTTCTTGCTGGCCTAAAATTCGTGTGAGTAAGGCCCGTGGTATTGCTTGATCGCTTCGAAAAGAAATCAAACGCCGTTCCTGCTGCCTCCGCTCTCGCGCCAGCCCTTCTGCCACCCTACCCACTCTCCTTCCGCCCCACCATGTTCGCCGGACTCGCCGTGGAGGGTTCCAGCGATGAGTCCAGCGACGGCGAGCCCGAGCCGGCTGCCGCCGCACCACTGTGCACGCCAGTGCACAGCGTGCTCGGCGGCATCGACGATCAAGACTTGGAGATCACGATTGAGACATTGAACGCGGTCGCGGCCGACCTGACGCTCTTCCGCTCGCTGCCGTTCAAGGCTCTGCGCCAGGCGATCGGCCCACTCGCAGAGGAGCTCCTCGGCGGCGGCGGCGGCCGGAGGCGCGGCAACCCGAAGAAGGGCGGCGGCGGCGGCACGCGGCTGGACGGTTTGGACCCAGAGGAGCGGCTGCGACAGATGGACCGCGACGCGCTCAACCACCGCGTTCTCCGGGCTGAGCGCCTCGCTCGCCTCGACCAGCTCGCCCTCGAGGGCGCCGACGAGGGCGGTGCGAACACCCACCCACCCAGACAAAAGCACATGCTTGCCACACCCACCTCGCACCCCATCGCACCCCTCGCGCCCTCGCGCCGCCGCCCACGCACAGGCCCCCGCCTGCTCGGCGGCCCGAGCACCGACGTCGCCCGCCTCGACGACCGCGCTGCGGCGGCGCCGGCGGCGGTCGCGAGGCTTCCAGACGGGCCTGCGGCGACGGCGGGGGGGCAAGCGCTTCCCGAGGCGCCGGCGGCGACGCTGCACTTTGCGCAGTCGTGCTATGTCTGCAAGGCGCCGTACCGAGAGCTGCACGCCTTCTATGCCTCGCTCTGCCCGCCGTGCGCCGAGCTCAACTGGCGGAAGCGCGAGGAGCGGTGCGCGCCCTGCTCCGCGCGAGGCCTCGCGCTGCTTGGTGAAGTCTCTGATCGAGAGAACGAACGGTGCTGCAGGTGCGACCTGCGCGGCCGCGTCGCGCTGGTGACGGGCGGGCGGATGAAGATCGGCTTCCGGATCGTCCTCAAGCTGCTGCGGTGCGGCGCGACGGTCGTCGCAACCACGCGCTTCCCGACCGACGCGGCGCGCACCTCCCCTCGCAGCGCCCCTCCCCTCGCAGCGCCCCTCCCCTCGCAGCGCGGCGGGCCTGCGAGTCGAAACATAGCCGAGATATAGCGGCGCCTCTCCCCTCGCAGCGCGGCGGGCCCGTGAGTCGCGCGCAGCGGCCGCCTCACGCGTGGCGGGCGGGCCGAGGTACAGCCGAGGTACAGCCGAGATACAGCCGAGATACAGCCGAGGCATAGCCGAGGCGTGACCCCTCACGCGTGGCGGTGAGTCAGGCGCGCCGCTTCTCCGGCGAAGCAGACGCCGCCGACTGGGCGGAGCGGTTGCACGTCGTCGGCGCCGACTTCCGCGACCTCACGGGGCTCGAGGCGCTCTGCGACGCGCTGCCTTCCCTCGTGCCGCGGCTAGACGTCGTGGTCAACAACGCTTGCCAGACGGTCCGCCGCCCGCCGCAGTACTACCTCCCGCTCGTCGCAGCCGAGGCGCCGAGGACACTTCCCGGGCCCTTCCCGCGCCCTTCCCGGGCCCTTCCCTTCAGCCGGCCCGGAGCCCTCTTGCAGGTGCCCCGCGAGTCCGACCCGCCCGCGGTGGTGCGGCTCACCGCCGCGCACCGCACCGTCGCCGCCGCCGTCGCCGCCACTGCCGCCGCCGCTGGCGGAGTCGAGCCCGCCGCCATCGTCGACAGCGCAGCGGGCGCGGCCGGCGGGAGCGAGGGCGGCGAGGCGGGCGGCGGCGAGGCGGGCGGCGCACCCGCCGCGCTGATGCCGACGGCGCAGCGCTCTCCGGCGGGGGCGGCGGGCGAGGCGATCGTCCCGGGGATGAGCATGAGCTTGGGTGGCGCGGCGGGCGCCGGCGCGAGCGCGGTGATGGCGATGCTTCCCGTCGCTCCCGGAGATGCGACGCGTGACGACGCAGCCTTCCCTCGCGGCGCCACCGACGGGAACTGCGACTTGGGCCAGCAGCTCGACCTGCGCGGGCGGAACTCGTGGACGCTCAAGCTTGAGGAGGCGAGAGAACGCCGCCCTTGCCGCCGCCTCCGCTGCCGCCGCCTCTCCCGCCGCCTCTCTGCCGCCGGCACCCGCGCCCTACCCCCTCGCACCTCTCCCCGCCCCGCCGCGCCCACCCGTTTCCCACCCAGCCCCTCCCGGTCGCGCCGTGCAGGTGAGCACTGCGGAGATGGCAGAGGTGTTCGCCAGGAGCTCTCGCCTTGCCGAGCGCGTCGCGGCTGCGGTAAGCGTGACACGATTGCGATAGGTGCTCGCCATCAACTCGCTCGCGCCGTCGATCATCAACGGGCGGCTCAAGGCCTTCATGCAGGCGACGGCGGACGGCGGCGTGCTCAAGTTCATCGTCAACGTCAGCGCGATGGAGGGCCGCTTCTACAAGGCGCGTTCTCGAGCATCGCCCCTCCGCGCGCCTGCCTCCTTCCTCTTGACCCCTCCCCGCTCCCCATCTCCGCAGTACAAGCAGCCAACGCACCCGCACACCAACATGGCCAAGGCGGCGCTCAACATGATGACCCGCACCAGCGCGGCCGACTACGCCAAGTGCGGCATCTACATGACCGCCGTGGACACGGGGTGGATCAACGACGAGAAGCCGGCGGAGCGCGCCGCCGCCGACCACTCGGTGCACAACTTCCAAACGCCGATCGACGAGATCGACGCGGCGGCGCGGGTGCTCGACCCGATCATCGCGCCTCTGCGGCGGCAGCAGGCGGGCGAGGAGCCGAAGCCGCCGTTCGGCGTTTTCCTGAAGGATTATGAGCGATGCGAGTGGTAGAGGCGGGTACAAGGTAGCGTGATGTGCACGCGTGGAGAGAGAGGTCCCACGTAATGTTTTGATATGAGAGCGAGGTCAAGCCAGAGAGGTCAAACCAGAGTCGAATCGTCTAAAGTATAACCCTTGCTTCCGCCTTGCTCACAAAATCGGGAAAAGAAAAACTCGCACGAGCGAGGCTGGCTGCCGCCGCAGCACGAGCCGAGAGCTTTCTGTTTTGCAAGAGACCACACCCATGAAGGCTCGCGCCATCGTCCTACTGGACCTCGACTACTTCTACTGCCAAGTCGAGATGCTCCGCAACGGGCTTCCGGCGGAGCGGCCAGTCGCCGTAACCCAAAAGTTCCTCGTCGTGACATGCAACTACCCTGCTCGTTCCTCGGGTGTTGCAAAACTGATGCGGACGACGGAGGCCGTAGCTCGCTGCCCCGATTTGCGGCTGATAGCCGGTGAGGACCTGACGCCGTATCGCGAGGCGTCTGATGAGGCGATGCAGGCGCTTCGCGCCTTTGGGCCGGTGCAGCGAGTCGGTCTGGACGAGTTCTTCATCGACGTCACAGCTGTGGCCGAGGCGCGTGCTAGCGCTGGCGCCTGGGCGCCAGGCACGCACGTCCACACCGCCGCGCAGGGCACGACCACGGCAGAAGCTCTCGCTCGCACGGGCACCGCCTACCGCCCGATGGACCTGCGGGCAGCGAGCAGCGGCAGCGGCGGCAGCAACAGTGGCGGCGGTAGCAGCAACAAAAGCGGCAGCGACAGTAGCAGTGGCAGTGGTGGCGGCAGTAGCGGCAGCAGTAGCGGCAGCAGTAGCAGCGGCGGCGGCGGCGGCGGCGGTGGCGGCGGCGGCGGCGGAGGCGGCGGCGGCGGGCTCGACTTGCTCCGTGCGGCGTCTGCGGTGGCGGCGGAGGCGCGCGCCGCCGTCCGCCGCGCAACGGGTCTGACCAGCTCCGCCGGCGTCGCGCACAACAAGCTGCTCGCCAAGCTCGCAGCCTCGCTGCACAAGCCGGACGCGCAGACCGCGCTGCCCGCCTCCGAGGCGAGCGCGTTCGTCGCGCCGCTGCCGCTGCGCGCGCTGCCCGGCGTCGGCGCGCGCAGCGCGGTCCTTGCAATACTGTCCTCTCGACCCCGTCCCAGAACTGCGTCCCCTTGCGGCGCGTAGGCGCTCGCGCGGCGGCGGCGCTGCACGCCACCGGCTGCACCACGGTGGCGGAGGCGCGAGAGGCGGGGCTGGCGGCGCTGCAGCGCGCGCTCGGCGCCGCCGCAGGGCGGAGGCTGGCGGCGCAGTGCGAGGGGGCGTGCGCCGAGCCGGTGGAGGAGGAGAGCGGGCCGCCGCTGAGGGGAGGAGTCGTCAGTGGAGTGGGGCGCCCGTCGTGGATTAGGTCAAGGAGAGCGGGCCGCCGCTCTCGGTGACGGTGGAGGACTCGTTCAAAGCGGCGCACTCGGTGGAGGCGCTGCGGCTGGTGCTGCAGGTGCTCGCGCCGGACCTGCGGCGGAGGCTAGCGGACGAGGCGGCGTCGCGCGGCGCCTCCGCCGTCGAGGGCGTGGACGGCGTCTCTTCACAGCCCTCCTGGTGTGAACAGGCGGCGTCGCGCGGCCGCTTTGCGAGCTCGCTACAGGTGCGGTGGCGGCACCATGGAACACGCACGATGCAGAACCCGACCGGCGAGCGCGACGCGTCGGTGGCGCCGCGCGGCCCTCTCTGCGTCAGTCGCTCGTGCGCCATGCCGTCGGGCGCCAGCGGGGAGCGAGGCGCCGCCGCCATCGCCGCCGCTGCTGAGGCGGTCCTGCGCGCGAACTTGCGGCCGCCCCAACCCTCACGGTCGTTGCCCTCTCGGCTGCACATCTCGGCTACATCTCGGCTGCGTCTCGGTGCTGCGTAGGCCGCCGTTCCACCTGACGCTGCTCGCCCTCTCCGCCACCAAGTTTGCGCGGGCGGGAGGGCTGCAGGCGGGCGGGCTACGCGACGCGGCGGGCTCGCGCGGAGCTATTGCCGGCGAGAAGGGCGCATCGCCACAGGCGAAGCAGGCGGCGGCGGCGCATCGAGATTTCCGCTCGGGGTATCAGCTGGGCCAGGGCTCTCCGGTGGTGCTGATGAGCAAGGCGGAGGAGAGGCGCGTGCGGGAGGAGGAGGCGGCTCGGGCGGGGGCGGCGGCGGCGGCGGCGGCGGCGGCGGGTCGGGGAGGGGCGGCCAGCGGGGAGGCGGGCGGCGTGGCCCTCGAGGACTGGAGCGAGTGGGCGTGGGAGGGCGGCGGGGAGGAGGAGCTGTGCGGCGGCGACGAGGAGGCTGGCGGCGCAGAGCCGCACGACGTGGGCCCCTGCTTCCCCTCCCCGCGGGAGCTGGGGGCACGGAGCCCGAGCGGAGAGGCGGGAGCGAACGAGGCGCAGGAGGCAGGGTCGGCCGAGGCGGCCGAGGCGGCCGAGGCGGCGGATTGGGGGTGCGACGCGTGCACTTTTCTCAACCCCCCCGGCCGGCAGAGCTGCGAGATGTGTGGCACCCGCCGGGGAGGGTCGCCGCAGGCTCGCGGGCAGGAACCACCTGCCCACGCGGAGCGAGGTGGCGCCAGCGGCGCGCGGAGGCCGGGAAAGCGCGATCGAGGACACAGCGACCACAAGGGAGTGCCGCCGCCACGGCAGCTGACGCTGAGGCATTTTCTAGTGTGAGAGGGCGACTCTGCGAGTGCCCGCTCTCCTCTGGTCACGCCCCTCTCCCTGTGTTGCGATTCTCTCTTCCAATGTCTGCTAAAGAATTTTTGTTCCTTCGCGCGATGTCCTATGTCCACACCACCGCGGCGCCGCTCCCGCCGCCTCGCCAAAACCGCCGCCGCGGCGCCCTCGCCAAGCTCGCCGCCGCCCGCCCGCCTCCTCGACCTCCCCACGGAGCTCCTCGTGCGCACCCTCTCCCGCTGCGACCCCGCCGACATCGCTCGCGTCGCGGCCGTCTCGCTGCTCTTTTACCTATGAGTTGGCAGCCACGCATCCATACTCGAGAGCGCCGTGAGCGTGTCGGCTGGAATGTCTCACAGCCTCGCCGCACCGCCGACGGCTCCGTCTGGAGCTGGGGCCTTGGAGGCTCTGGTTGCTTTGGCCACGGCGACCAGCAGAACCAGCTGCTGCCAAAGAAGGTCGAGACCTTTGTCGGCCAGCGCGTCGTCGCTCTGTTGGCTGGATACGACCACAGCCTTGCCCTCACCGCCGACGGAGCTGTCTGGAGCTGGGGTTGGGGATACTATGCCCAGCTCGGCCACGGCGACCAGCAGAACCAGCTGCTGCCGAAGAAGGTCGAGGCCTTTGTTGGGCAGCGCGTCGTCGCTGTGTCGCCTGGACAGCGCCACAGCCTCGCCCTCACCGCCGACGGCGCCCTCTGGAGCTGGGGCTATGGAGGCGTTGGCCAGTTGGGCCACGGCGACCAGCAGAACCAGCTGCTGCCGAAGAAGGTCGAGGCCTTTGTCGGCCAGCCCGTTGTCGCTGTGTCGGCTGGAGGCAACCACAGCCTCGCCCTCACCGCCGACGGCGCCCTCTGGAGCTGGGGCTATGGAGACGATGGCCAGCTGGGCCACGGCGACCGGCAGCACCAGCTGCCGCTCAAGACGATCGAGGCCTTTGTTGGGCCGCGCATCGTCGCTGTGTCGGCTGGAGGCTTCCACAGCTTCGCCCTCACCGCCGACGGTGCTGTCTGGAGCTGGGGCGCTGGAGCCTCTGCCAAGTTGGGCCACGGCGACGGGCAGCACCAGCTGCTGCCCAAGAAGATCGAGGCGTTGGCGGGGCGGCGCGTCGTCATACTGTTTGCTGGAGGCGGGCACAGCCTCGCCAGCACCGCCGACGGCGCCGTGTTCACCTGGGGCAAGGGGGAAAGCGGCTGCCTTGGCCACGGGGTGGACCTGTCGGACCAGCTGATGCCCAAGAAGATCGAGGCGTGGGGGCAGTGAGGTATGGGGGGGTTCTGCACGGCGGGCCGTTTAGTGGCTCAGCTGCACTAAGAGGAGCTTGTTGGAGTCGATCAGCCCGCGCGGTGTGCGGCGGGTGTGAGAGCATGTGTGCGGAAGCGCGTCGGGTCGTAATGCCATGTTGGAATCCGGCAATGTGGTGGGGTCGAAGCCCTTCCCGTCGCCGCTCAGCAGTCGGAGGCGGGTGTGCCGGCAGTTGGCAGTGGCAGCTACGTGTACGAGTCGCCTCTCATCGAGCAGGGGCACGGTTCTCCTCGGCGGGACCAAGATGGAGTTTGGCTTCGCGCTTCGCCAGCAGTTCTTTCACAAGAGCATGATGCTGCTGTTGCAGCACGACGAGAGCTTCACCAAGGGCATCATACTCAACCGGCCTAGCGCGCTCGAGGTCCAGGGTGGCGGCCACGGCCAGGTCGCCGAGGGAGGTCTCTTCGTCGGAGCTGCCGCGGCGAAGGGAGAGCTCGAGATCAACGCGCTGCACTCGCTCGACCATCCCCGAGCGGACGAGCTGTCGACGCGCGTTATCAAGGGCGTGTCCTACACGAGCCTCGAGGGCGCAAAGGAGCTGGTCGCGGCGGGCGGCGCGACGAAGGTGACTTTTGGGTCTGCGCGGGCTACTCTGGGTGGGCGCCGGGGCAGCTTCAGATGGAGTGTGACGATCGTGGCTCTTGGTGCCTGACCCTACCTCTTGCAGCCCACCTCGCCCTCGCTCGCCCTCGCCTCACCCTCCTCGCCTCCCAGGTACATGGCCTCCGCCGACAGTGGCACGCTGCTCAAGGAGCTCTTGCGGCAGGCGAGCGCGCTGCCGCCGCCGTCGGAGGGAGCGGCGGCCGTGGGCGACAACGGCATCAGCACGTGTGGGCCGCTCTCATGCGCGGCATCGGTAGAGAGGCGGACGTGCTCAAGTCGGAGGGGACGCTCGAGGACCGAATGCTGGCGGAGTGGGTGCGGCCCCCCACACGCTGCAGCGCCCGCCCCCCCCGGTCCCGGTGCCGGTCCTTCAACCGCATCGCGCCGCCGATGCCGTGTTAGGCGCGTGCACACCTGATGCCCAAGCCGCCGTGGCCGACGCCGTCGACGCCGCCGCCGGCCGTCGAGGTGGGGTCCTCTGCACGGCAGTCTCCCCAGCCTCTGGCCGGCCAGCGGACCGCGCCATGCTTCGGGAGCAGTTCCTGCACAAGGCGGTGCGCCGGCTACGGGGCCACCTCCAACGCTCCGGGACTCCCTCTGCCCCCGCTGCCTGATGCCGCCGCCTGCGGCGATCCTTCGCAGGTGATGCTCGTGGTGTCCGAGGGGCGCGGCCCACTGAGTGCGTGCGTCCTCAACCGGCCGACGGCAAACGCGGTGGAGTTTCGACTGCTTGGCCGTCCGCGCAGGCGCCTTCCTTTTTGCGGTAGCAGCGAGCTCAGCGGCAAGTTCGGCGGACAGCTGTGGCTCTCGCACCGGCGAGACTTGGGCGGAGTGGCGGTCGGTGGTTCCGGCGTCTTTCGACTTTCTGGAGGCGAGGCGGCAGCCAAGCTCCAGTCTGGGCTGGCCGCTCCTTCTGACCTGCTACTTGTGAGCGGCACCGTCAAGTTTGAGCGCGCTGAGCTGGCGGGAATGCTGTCGGCGGGGGAGGCTCGGCTGGTGCTGCCCGACTCGCGGCCGCCGACCCTTTGGGAGCGCGCGTGGTCGCTGTCTCGCTGACAGAAGACACCGGCGAGGTGGGCGACGGAACGGAGGTGTGGTGGCTCGCCTCGCAGCCCAAAGGAGACCGGGGTGGAGCGCCTCGCCTCGCGCAAATGCGACCGTCCTCGCAGCCGACAGTCCACCGCCTGCTAAAGAAGCACTGCGACGAAACGACGAATGCGGCACCGGCGACGCATGGCATGCTGGTCATGACGCAGTTACAGGGTGTTGTGTGGCGTCAGAGACAGAGTGACTCTCTGTGTGTCAGGGATAGTCAGGGCCGTCCATCAGAGCTCCAGTAAGCTCGGAGACACCCCATTACTCGTCGCCCTGAATGGTTGCCCAGGTTGTGAGGGACACGATCCCGGCGTGAACACGCCGATCTGACAAAATCCCGAGTGCCTACCGCACGCGCCGCGTCGCGGCGCGTGCGGTGGGCTTTGTTTGAAGTTAAAAATCGAATCAGAGCGCCGTCGGCGCTGTCCCTCGTTTTCCTCCCACGGACCGCCCGTCCGGCACCGCTCCGGGACGCACGCCGGCGACATCTCTACAGCTCTACAGCGCTCTACACTCTACATCCTCTACACCCTCCCTCAGCGCGGGGGCCGCCCTTATTCACACCCCGTGGCCGTGCGCCGCGGAGCACTGTCCGAGTCCACTGCTGTGGACACTGCGGACCGCTGTGCGCGGAATGGCTCATGTGGAGCGATTCTAATGCCACCAATGCTGGTGGGCCTTGCGCATCACCGGACACCGCCTGGAGCGGTACATATGACGTCACATGGATGGAGCTGGCGCGCGCGCGTCAATCGTTTCTCGTCGACTGCTTGCCTCAATAAATAAACCCAAGGGAGGGATGGGAGGACGGCACACCGCCGCTTGGAGCACTTGGAGTGCGGTCATCAACCTCACGCCCAGGACCGGGGAGCAGAAAGAAAGAAGAAAACAGACGAGCCAAAGCAAGGAAGCGCATTCAGTCGCAATTCTTTTGTGGTGTACCTGTGTTAGTGCCAGTGCGCGCCAGTCCCGTGCCCAGTGTTGTGCGAGGGAGTTTTGTTCTAAAATTCTTTTGTGAGACCGGGCGAGAATTCTTTTGTGGGATGCGAGCGAGACTCGTGAGCCCCGAGCAACCGGTGTCCCCTCGCCCCTTGCTTTGTGATAGGCTTGGTGCCCGACCTTGCGACCGTCACGTGCAGACATTGGGCGACCGCTGCGTATGTCGGCAGAGTCAGCCACCGGGCAAACCGGGGCGGTGAGCACTGAAACCGGGGCGGTGAGCACTGACGCTTCGTACTCCGAGTCCAACTCCGGCAGAGGCACGCCCAACAAGGCGGACTCCAGCCTGCAGTGCGGCGTGTGCGGCCGCATCCTGAAATCAGCGGGCGCCCGCGCGACGCACAAGCTCCATTGCAGCGGCCAGGCGAATTACACTCACGAACCCACCCCACCCACAACCACCAGCACTCTCTCTGACACTGGCTCACCGACGGCAGGCGGGCGGGGAGGCAAAGCAGAACGGAGAGAACGCCCAAATCGACGCAGCACCGCTGCCGAGCCTGCCAAAGGGCCTCTCGCTCGACTCTGCCTGCTTTGCGCTCGGCTCTGTGGGAGGAGTCAAGCAGTGGTTCCATGCAGAGCTGCTGCGGCAACGCCAATCCACTGAGGCGCGCCAACCACCCCCTACCCACGCATGCCGTCCAGCCTCTCTGACGTGCAGACACCGTCCGGGCAGGGCAACCAGGGCAACGTGCTTCGCGTGCGCTACGTCTCGCGGCTCGACGGCCAGACCGGCTCCACCCGTGGCGCGCGCCTGATCCCGCGGCCACACCCGCCTCGGCTCCTCGCCCAGACGCCTCTCCTCGAGCCTTCCTTCGCGAGAGCACCTTCCTGCAGCCTTCCTGCAGCCTTCCTGCAGCCACCCTCCTTCCTCGAGCCTCCCTCGCACCGTCGGTAACTAGGTGCGGACGTGCTGCCGTGGCCTCGTGAGACGTGGGTCACTCTCGCCGCGGCGCGGGCGACGCGGCCGGAGGACAAGGGAGCCTCCTCCACCCCCGCCAAGCGCGACCGCGGTCCGCCGGTCAGCTACACTCCGTCAGGCGGCGGCGGCGGCGGCGGCGGCGGCGGTGGCGGCGGCGGCGGTGGCGGCGGAGTGGCGCGGCAGCCGTCGCTGGCGCGGCAGCCGTCGCGGTCGTCGAAAGCTGGCAGCGGCAAGGGTGCCGCGGGCGGTGGTGGAGGCAGCGGCGGCGGCGGCGAGAGTGGCGGGAGGGGGGGGGGGGGCAGCATGGTTGAAAAGGGGGCAAATTTTTGGGGGGGAAAGCTTGCCAAGGCCCCCCAGGGGGGGTTGGGAAAGGCCTGTCTACGGGGTGGAGGATTTCCCCCCCCGGAGGAGAAAAAAGGGGGGGCCCCCCCCCCCCCCCCCCCCCCCCCCCCGCGCGCGCGCGCGTGCTTGTGAGAGAGGGCGGCTGCAGCTCTGCCGGGCGACCTGTCTGCTTAGGCGCGACAGAGTACCTCGTCCGGTGGTCTGGCTTCGGCGCGGGCGACGACACGTGGGAGGCGGCATCCAACATCCTCGACGCGCGCCTCATCGCGGCCTTCGAGCGCTCGCGCGCCGGTGCGGCTGCCAGACAGCGACGCGTGCCAGACAGCGGCGTAACAGCAGCGGTGCGTGTGTGATCAGGTCCGGCCGGCGGCGGCGGCGGGTCGGGCGGCCGTGGCAAAGGGGAGGCGGCCGCGCCGCCACCGCCGCTCGGGTCGTGTGTGAGCCCGCCCCCTCGGCTCGGCAGCCCGGGCGGCGACGGCAGCGGGCTGCGCAGCCCAACGACGCCGTCGTCGCGCTCGTTTCTCAAGAACCGTCTCCAGTTCTCCGTCCCGCTCGGCCGCGACCACCAGGCCAGTGCCTCGCGCAGAGAGACATGTGCATGTGCATGTGCATGTGCATGTGCATGTGCCTCGCGCAGAGAGACACGAGCCTCGCGCGGAGAGACACGGTCCTCGCCGGCCAACCCCCCCTCCCCCCCCCGGGCCGCCGCCGCCGCCGCTCTCTCCCTCCCTCCCCGCCTCGCAACAACATTCTTCCGCCTTGCGTGCCCCTCGCCAGGCCGATTTGCCGCCCGAGCCGCCTCAAGAGCCCGAGCGGCTGTCGCCGGCAGAGCTGCACCGCGAGGCGAGCACGCGCCCGCGGGCTCGATCTCGGCCGCATCTCGGCGATGTGCTTTGCTGTGTCTCCCCGCTAGGCGTGCCGCGAGACAGCTGCGCTCCTCACCGCCGCCGCGCACGGACCGTCCAACGCCTTCGCCTACGTCCCCGCCGCCTCTCGACCGAGCTGCCGCTGCCGGGACGTCTCCGCGGAGCCTTCCCCGAGCTTTCGCATAGGTCGCTCCCGCCTTCGACGAGCTCGGCCTCTTTGCGCGCGCGCCGCTGCGTCCGGGGCAGCTAATCGCCGAGTACGGCGGCCCGCGGCTGCCCGTGCAGTCCTTTTTGCGAAACACCGCGAGGGCGCTCGTCATCCCGGCGGCGGGCGCGCGGCAGCGGGACACGTCCAAGACGCGCATCCGCGACACATGTTGCACATCTCCGCGACACACATGTCCACGACACGTCCACGGTGCTTGCAGCTCTTCCGCGACACAACACATTTGCACGGCGCTGCGTCATCTTGCAGCCATGAGGAGCGACGCCCAGCCACGACGAGCAGGTGCCAACGAGCCGACCTTCATCGACGGCCTGTGGGAGAATTGCCCCTTCCGCGGCTCGGCCCTCTTCCCCGCGGCGTACGTCGGCGTCTCGGCGCAGCCAAACGCGCGGATAGAGCGGCGCGCCACCTTCCCCTCGCGAGCCGCGCACAGCCCGCGCCCCCCGCACCTGCCGACCGCTCGGCTCTCGCGCCGCAAGGTGGCCAGCGAGCGAGCCAGGCGCGAACGACCTGCCGGACCGGATGTGGCTCATCGCCTCCGAGGAGATCGCGGCCGGCGGCGAGATCCGGGTGCGCCTCGCGGAGTCGGCGACAACCATTTCCCATCCCCCCGAGCCGAGCCCGCGGCTGCGCGCGCAGGTGAATTAAATGAAAGGTGGTAATTAAATGCGCGCGCAGGTGGACCTGAAGACGTTCGACGGGGGGCGCCGCGGCACCAAGCGGAGCGAGCCGGCGTGGCGGAAGCTGCGGCTGCGGCCTCCGCCTCCGGGCGGCGAGGAGCCGACGTTTGGCCGACCGGCGGCCAAGCTTCGCCGGCTGTGCGACGGGGCCTCCTCCACAGTGTCGGGCGAGGCGGAGGACGAGGACGGCTTCGAGTCGGACTCGGAGCAGTACGTGCGGGCCGTGCCGTCCCCGCTGCCGTGGGAGGGGCCTGCCGGCGGCGACGCGCGGCTGCGGCGGCTCGTGCCTCCCCTGCAGAGGGCGGGCGCCACCCCTCGCCCCACCTCCAAAGCCCCTCCTCCAGCCCCTCCTCCTCCAGCCCCCTAGCCTCGCCTCTCCCCCTGCCCGCCCCCTGCCCGCCCGCTGCCCGAGCCACGCCGAGCCGAGGGCCGTGCCTCCCCTTGTGCCAGGTCGGCCCCAGCCTGAGCGACCACGCGTTTGGCCTCGTCGCGACCCATCTGCCCGGCCGCACCGGAGCAGAGTGCGCATCGCGCTGGGCGCTGCTGCGCGGCGCGCCCGCTGCCAGGAGCAAAAGCGCTAAGTGAGGATAGCCGAGACGGGGACGGGGGACGGGGGGATTCCACGCAGGGACAGGCGTTGGGCCTCCTCGATCTCTCGCTTCAACATCGCCGCGGCCTACAGAGCCACACCTACAGCTGTAGAGGGTGTGCTGAGGCGTGAGGGCCGTTGGCAGATGGCACAGCATCGGGCCATCGCTTTGCACATATACCATCCTGCTTTCCACTTCATTCAGAGTACTTAACACTTGAATACTGACGCCGAGAGCAACAAGTGTGCTGAAACATATATGGCTTTTGGGGATTGGCATTGGGGAGCCCCAGCTACCAGCTACCAGCCGTACCACGTAACCAGCTTCGCGGCCGGGCGCGCCCGAGGGCAGCGCTCGTTGTTACGTCTTGCGCATCGATTAACGACGGTCCCCGCTGGTTGCGGATGGGTCGCGTCCCGTCGTATTACGAGGAGGAAAAAAGTACGGCCGCCTCTTTTTTGTGTTGTGGCTTTTTTGTGATTGTGTCCGTCGGGGGGGGGGGGGGTGTGAAAAAGTAAATCGGACGCGCGACAACAATCCACGGCGGGGGACTGGTGTGACATTTTTTCTGTGAAAACGTTGAACCTGAAAAACCCTGCGGCCTGACACACGCACGCTGCCACGCCCGATTTCAAAAGAATTAAGTTCGCCAACGTTTGCTTTCAAAAAAAGCGCATAACTGTATAGGTACAAGGTCCGTGAAGCGGTGTAGAGAGATCGTTTAGCCACTGGTCTCTCTACTGCACTCCCTCTAGGGAGGCTGTGAGGGTCCGCCAGGGAACCACCGATCCAATCTTCTCACTCTCTCTCATCAAAACATTACAGAGCTGACATATGCGCACCCCAGTCTTCTTGACCTTCATGGTACATGGACTTGTGCTCGGTGACGAACTTGACAAACCAAAGCCGATCACTGTTGGCATCGAGAGCTTAGCCAGGAACGCGGGCGTAGTGGGCTTGAACCGGAAGGTTTCGGAATCGGACCTCGTGTAGGAAAAAGTGTGGATCTTCGCGCTCACACGTCGTAACCTGCATGGTTTGTGACGTATATGCCGTGGTAGTCACATTCAACCGCCTTGCCCGGACCCCGATTGAAGTATGACTGTGCGTAGGAGTCAAGAAAGACATACGATTCAATTCGATTACAAAATAACTCTATTCCAACCTCTATCTATCCCATCCTCGAACTCGGCCAGAGGGCACTCTACTCGCGTGCCCAGCTCAGGTCCAAGAGGCAGTCGGCAGCGCGTCGAAGCTTTGCGACTGGCGGGGTGAGTGGTGGCGTTTCGTACTGGTCGTGACCGCGCTTCAGATGGCCGCGGCCACACTTCGGCTCCACATCGCGTAGGATCACGATCTTCAGCACGCGTGCCGCTCTGTCTCTCTCACCAACCGTTCGGGCGCTTTGGAGGAGAGCAATGACCTCGTCGATGCGGCCCATGCCGCTCTTGCTCAGCTCATTGCTCAGCATTGCAGCGCTGGGCACTTTGCACCACAGCGATGCCTTCTCATCACTCTCAGGCACACTCTCAGGCACACACGACGACCACCGTGCCATCGGCAAAGCCGCTGTTTCGCAACTCGTGCAAGGCCCGAATGGCGTGCCTCTCGCAATTCTTCTTTTGTGGTGAGCCGGTGTGTGCCAGTCCGCGCCAGTCCGCGCCCTTGTCGTGCCAGTGTGCTGTGAGAGAGGCTTGTATTTAAGAATTCTTATCCCAAGCAGGGTTCCCAGGAGAAAACTAAAAAACGACAACAGCCCAATCCCCCCCCCCCCTAATCCTCCCTCCCTCCTTCCCTGCCCTGCCCTGCCCTCCCGACTCGCCTCCCCCGCGGCCTCTACCTGCCGCATATTAGACCGTCGATCTCGCGCGGCCCCCGCCCGCACACCACAGCACAGGTCTCGCTGTGACGCGTTATAAGCGCGGTTGCCGGGCACCTCTGTCCGGTCTCCGCTTCCCGTGTGGCACGCGCTATGCGTCGGCCGTCCAGTCGCCGGCGCGAGAGGCCCGCGGCGGGAGGATGTTGAACATGTCGCGGCTGGCTCGGCGAGCTCGGGCGACAAAGCTAGACTGCTGCGGCGGGTGCTGGGGCGAACGAGTCGGTTCGCCAAGTCCGCTGCCCTGGGACTCGGAGAGCAGAATGGAGGGCGGCGACGCGTGCAGCGACGGCGAGCGCCGCTCGAGGTCGAGGTGCTCCTCCGCCTTTATTGATAAGTATTAACTTGTCAATGAATCATACTCAGATCACTGCATCTCCAGGTGCTCCTTCGCCTCCGCGTCGTCGGGAGGGAGATGCTCGTGCCGCACCTAGTCTCGGGTCATCTCGGGTCATCTCGGCTGATCTCGGCTGATCTCGCGAGGTAGGTGCTCATGCCGCACCGGTGCGAAGGGCTCGCGGCGGACGGAGTCGCTGTGAAGCGCCGGGGGGGGGGGGGGGGGAGGGGGGGGGAAGGGGTCATATAGGAGGTGAATGTGCTGCCGTTGGCGACCGGAGAGCGGGGCAGCAGCCCCGATGGCAAGTGTCGCTGGGGCGGCGAAGGTGCGACGGAGAGGGCAGATCTCGGGCACTCTCGCGCCACTCTCTCGACCTGTACACGTAGCCGTGCTGCCCGGCCGGGTCGAAGCGGACGCGGTGCAGCACGTGCTCTGCAAACCGCTCCGCCATCTCGTCGTCATTCTCCGGGTGGGCCTAGAGGGAGACTGAGAGCCTCCGACGTGACCCGGAAGAGTCTCGCACGTGTCCCGGACGTGTATCTGGGAAGACTCTCTCGGGCGTGTCTCCGACGTGTCTCGGAAGTGTCTCGGCCTCGTCGAGCGGCGGCAGGAAGCGCTGCAGCACCGGCCCGCCCCCCGCGGCGTCGCTGCATGCGCGCGGGTCGTGGCCGAGCTGAGTGAGGAACGCCGCGCGCAAGTCGCTGATCCGCGTCGCGATCTCCTCGTCGCTGATCACGTGCGGCTTCCCGTCCTGCGAGGTGTCGAGCGAGGTGCGCTCAAGAGTCGGAGCATGCAGGGCAGACATGAGGGCAGATGCGGGGCTTGAGCCTGCGCCCAACACTGCGCCCAACACTGTGTGGCTCATCATCGAGAGGCTACTCCTGGGGCTACTCCCGTCCTCCCACGCTTCCGCGGCTAACCTCGGCTAGAACTCGGCGATTCTCGGCTATTCGTCTCCTCCCACACGCGCTTGCTCGCCACCGGCGCCGGAGCCCTTGCCACGGTGTGCCGCGCCGCCCACAGGGCTCCGAGCGATTTCCGCACCACGCCGGCCGCGGAAGCGGCGGCGGAAGCGGCCGACCCAGCCGAAGCAACGCCTCGCGAGCCCTCGCAGTCGCGGCTGGCGCGGGTCTGTCCTGCTGCGGCCGCGCCTCCTGCCGCGCCTTCTGCCTTGCCCTCCTCCTCCGAGCACCCCTGAGAGGTGCCCCCACAGCCTCCTCCAGAGCCTCCCTCCTCCCCGCCCTCCTCCCCGCCCTCCTCCCCGCCCTCCTCCCCGCCCTCCTCCCCGCCCTCCTCCCCGCCCTCCTCCTCGCCCTCCTCCTCGCCGCTGTGCGCCGGCCCCAAGTTCACCGAAGTCAGCGCCAGCTGCGTGGCTGAGGGGGACGGGTGGCCAATCGCCGCGTGTGCCCTCGCGCGCGAGACGCGGCTGTGTACTCGGTCCAGCATCAGGGCCGCCTGAGACCGGGCCGAGAGGAGCTGGAGATGAGCCGGGGGTGGGGGGTGGGGGGGGAGCTGGCGTGTCTGCCTCCCGCCCCTCCTCCGATTTGAGCAAGTCGCCGTGCCCGAGGAAGCTCGCCGGCCGGTCGGCGTGGCCTGCTCACAGCTGCAGGTGTGAAGAGGCGCCGCTCACACGTGCAGCGCAGCGGCGGTCGGTGCGGCAGAGGCCGAGGAAAGAGGCGGAGCGGCTGCTGCGCCCCGCCTTGCCCGCTGCGGGGCCGACGTGCCGCCCGTTGGGGCTCGGCTCGGGGAAGGAGGCGGGGCGGCCTATGCACACGAGGAAGCAGGCGGCTCTTGTGAGTGGGCCATTCGAGCAGTGGGCCCGGGGGCATGGGGGCGGGCGGCCGTTGTGTCCGAGCCCGAGGAAGCTGTGCGCTCGCTCGCGCGCCGTGTCGAGCACGTCGAGCGTGGTCGGCGTGGGGGTGCTCATGGCCGTGCCCGACCGCTCGCGGTAGGCGTCGTCGATGTGCGCGAGGAGCAGGGCGTCCTTGAGGTAAAACTCGTAGACGACGTCGTGCCCGCCCTTGACGTGCGCACCGTGCACGCGGAAGTCGATCACCTCGAGGTCGTGTTCGACGGCCACGTTGACCAGCTTCGACAGGAGGCCGAACTTTGCCGCGCACGAGATGTCGAGCGTGTAGTAGACGAAGTGCGGGTACCGCGTGTCGCCCCCTCCCTCCTCGTCCTCCACGGCGAGCTCCTTCTCGATGGCCCAGTTCCGCGCCCGGTCCGCCTTGCGGTCGTGCCACAGGCGCCAGCGCAGCGCCCACGGGCCGACGAAGACCGAGAGCAGGACCGCGAAGACGATCGATCCGAAGGTGTCCTCGTCGATGACGTTGTCGACCTACAGTAGTCAACAGAGCGCTCGTTGCTTCGTCACTCTCATCAGTCGGTGGTCCTCGTCGATGGCGTTGTCGACCTACAGTAGTCGACAGAGCGCTCGTTGCTTCGTCACTCTCATCAGTCGGTGGTCCTCGTCGATGGCGTTGTCGACCAGGCCCTGGAAGCCAGCGAGCAGCGAGATCTCGCCTGCTCCAACCAGTGGCGCCAAGTGAATCTGGCGGAGGAGAGGAGGCCTGCTCGCGAGGTCTCGAGGTCCCGCCCCAGACGGCCATGGCGAAGCCGGCGCGGAGGAAGTTTTGCAAGTCGTGCGAGCGGTGGTGCGCCGAGTAGTGGCTGACCGTGAAGCCGGTGGCGAACTTGCCTGTATACCCTCGGCGCGTCTCGGCTCATCCGGCTCTTCTCGGGACAGTGGGACAGTGGGACAGTGGCGGCGGCTTGCCGGCGATGGCGAGGAAGAAGAGGGCGCCGCGGCCGATAATCCTGCCCGTCCACATCGTGGCAACGGGCACCTGCTCACGCCACAGCTGTGCTGAGACGCTACTCACAGCTGCTGTGCGTCGGGGGCGGGCACCTCGAAGGCGATGGTGGCGCCGTAGAAGAGTCGGAGGAGCGAGTACTGGATGCGCTTGACTTGGTGCGCCCACACGTGGTGGACTGGGGCGATGCTGCAAAAGGAGAGGCCGGCGAGGAAGGCGCCTTTTGACTCACCACGAGGCGCCCATTACTTAAGGCCCCGAAGACTTTCAGAGGAGGGGCCGGCGCGAGGAGGGCACCGAGGAGGGGGAAGGTCTTCGTCCGGTGGCAGACCGCCATCAGGCCGACCGCCATCGCGCAGAGCAGCGAGGTGAGGACGACGTCGTGGTGGCGCTGCTGCACGCGCGGCAGCAGCTTCGACTCGACGAGGCGCGGCACAACGTCCACCGCGAGCCAGCCGACCCCCGCCAGCAGGAGGACCGACGAGAGCACCTGATCCATGCATGAGGGGGGGGGGGGGGGGGGGCTTGCTCTCAACCCCCCCAGGGGCTGGCCAGCGGGGGGAGGACCCACCAAAAAGCCCCCCCGCCCCAAATAGCTCCCCCCCCCCAAAACCGGGGCGGCGAGCACCTGCGGGAATGACTCATTGACTCTCATTGATGTCGAATGAGATCAGCAGCTCACACGCCCCCGAGGTGCGGCGCAGGGGTCGGCGAGCGCCTTGAGCTCGCCGAGGTTGATGAAGGCGATGATGTCGTCGACAACAGTGGCGAGCAGGACAAGCTGGCCTGTTCACAGCTGCACGTGTGAAGAGGCGCCCTTCGCACCTGTACGCTCTGCGGCGAGCAGGACGAGCTGGCCGAGGGGCGTGTTGAGCACATGCCCCATGTTCATCACCTTGGTCGCCACGCCGACGGCGGTTGGCATCGCCGCGATGGCGACGACGTACGCTGCTTCGGCCGAGAGGCCGACTGCGGTGGCGAGGCCTGCAGGAAGGCTCGGAGAAGGATGGGGGAAGGGTCCCAGCCGGGGGCGGAGAGGCCGACTGCGGTGGCGAGGCCAAAGGCGATCGCAAAGGGCAGCGCAGAGCCGAGGAGGGCGGCGCACAGCGCACGCGGCCCGTACGCGACGAGCATGTCGAGGTCGACCTAAGGGATTCCGAAAAGGTTCCGAGAAGGTGCGGGGAAGGTTCTCCTCACAGCACGTCGGCCTCAAGGCCACACGAGACCATCTCCAGGACGAGGCCGACCTGGCCGATCATCATGACCGCGTCGGGCTTCGGCACGAAGGAGGAGAGGCGCGGGCCGAGCACCATCCCGCAGAGGAGCTCGCCGGCCAGGCTAGGCAGCCACAGCGCCTCGGCCAGCTTCCCGCACGCCCACAGCGCAATGTAGAAGAGCGCAAACTGCTCAACATCGTTGAACGTGAACGGAATGTGGTGACCGCTGTGGTCGCCGCACGGGTCGTCCGAGGCAGAGCCCAGCCGCCGCCGCTCGTCACCGATCCGCTCGTCGCCACCATCACCGCCGAGCCGCTCGTCGCCACCATCGCCGCCGGTCAGCCAGCGCCACGTGAGCCGGCGCCAGCTCCTCAGATGCTGCGCCGATTCACGCTCAGCAACTGACGCGTCGTCGACGAGTCGTCGGCGAGTACAGTTTGGGGACGCGCCGCCCGCCCCCGCCGCGCAGGCAAGCGCCAGAAGCAGAGCACAAAACGTCAAAGTCGGCCGCACCATCAAAACACAGACCGAAGCGCCAGAAGCAGAGCACAGCACAGAGAAGCTTCTGGTGACCCGCCGTCACAAAAAGAATTTTGCAATCTCCCTGGCACAACACTGGGCACGGGACTGGCGCGCACTGGCACTAACACAAAAAGAATTTCCGCCATCGGGTTGTCTTTCTTTCTTTCTTTTTCTTCGGGTTATTTAAAAAGGGGTTGAGGGGGAGATTTCGCGAGCAGCTGGGAGTTCCCCTATCATTCCATGGACTATGCGCGAGTGGGCCCGCGCCCCCGTGAGTCTCGGCTCGCTTGCCCACCCCGCCCGCCGCCGCCGCCCCCCTTACGCGGCTTCTGGAGTCCCCCAGCACCACGCGCCGCGGTGTGCCATGTGTAGAAACCCTTAGGTGAACAGAAAGAAATCACAAAGCCAGCCTCATCCCCTACTTCAAGTACCACGCCGATCACGCCGGTAAGGTAAGCGTGCCTGTGCTGCGGGCTGCGGTTCGGAGCGCTGGTCCGCGCGAGCTGACTCTGGCGCCGCCGCGACGACGGTGATGCCGCGCAGCTTGAACTTGTGCCCGCCGCCGGAGGATTCGCTCAGCAGCACGAGGCGCAGCTCGCACCGGGGTGAGGGGAGCGCGCTCACACGCACTGGCGTCGTCACAAAGACCGAGCTGTTGCGCAAGCTGTCGATCCTGTGCGCGTCGATGACCGTTGAGGTGCAAGTGCAGCCCTTGCCGCAGCGCACGCGCACACGCCCCATCCCTTCGTACGACACCAGGTGCTCGAGGAAGAGCGTCGCGTCCGCCGGAGCAAGCGCGCCGTCGTCCATGCCAGGCCGTTGTGGCGCGGCCTGTGGGAGGTACGCGTCCACGCTTGCCACCAGCACCGACCCCGGCGTCAGTGCGACAACACCCGCCGATGGCTTGTTCCTCCCTCCGAGCGACACTGGGCACCAGAACCAGCCGATTTGGGGTGTGGCCATGAGGGCGCGGTACCGACTGTTCGCGGGCACGTCGGCGGAGCGGACTCCGAGGTGTGGCGAGGAGGCTCGATTGCCACCGATGTCGCAAGTGGCGTGGCTGTCGTCGAGCAGTGGCGTGCAGCTGAGCGCCGCAACCCCATCGTTGCTCACCGTCTGTTGCGGCGAGCACCAGGGCAGGCCGCGTTGCGACTGGCTCTCCACCTTCCCTGTCACCTTCTGGAAGGCGTAGCAGCGCGCGACAGGCGCTTGCGCCTGGTTCTGCACGTGGAGGGGTGCGGGCAAGACCGTACGGCGATTTAGCCTCGGGTTCACGTGCCGCGTGACCCGCCACATGGCGTGCGCGCGATCGAACCAGTGGGCGAGCATCGCAGAGAGGTAGGCGACACCGTGCCGACCGTTGGCCGGGTGGAGGCAATCTTCACCCGTCAGATCGAGCAAGCCAAAGCCAGGCTCGCCGTTGAGCACGTGCGGCTCGAGTGCGTGCTTGGGCGATAGGCAGGGCTGGCTATAGTGATGGCAGACACGCGTGCTCTCGAGATCGACTCGCTCCCAGGGCGTGTCGGGGTACACATAACCGCTGACAGTCGCCCCCTTGAGCTCGTCGCCGACTTGGTAGAACCGGCGCGGCGTGAGCTTCTGTGTACACCATTCATGCACGGTGAGGTGCAGCAGCACAGGCTGGGCGGGCAGCACTAACAGCGACTTGGCGATCGCCTACAGTCACAGGAGAAAGGCGTGCGCCAACGCATTCGATAGCTCGAGGCCCGCGCTATCGGCGGCCGCCTCAATGACGGGCAGCGCCCTGTGGTTATAATTACCCATGCTTCCCCACTCCGCCACGACGAGATGCACATCGGCGCTCAGGTGCGAGAAGAGGCAGTGCTTGAAGCTATTCACGGGGGTGGCGTCCTTGGCAGCGTTGTCGATTCGGTGGCCGTGATGCGGGAAGCTGGCGTTGATGTGCTGGAGGAGTCGCACGGCCCAGCCCGTCGCTCTGCCGCCCACCCCGCTGAAATGCATGCATCGTTTGCCCGGCTGGCTGAGGCACCCGGCATTCTGCCCGACGCTGGCGCCGAGCACACCAATCGTGATGGGCAGGCCCGCAGTCAATCGCCGGAAGAGTGGGTCGACGGTTGCGTGCTTTCCAAGCACGCGAATGGACCGGTCGAGCGTGGTTTTCGAGAGGATCGGATGCGGAGCCGTGCTGCTCATGGCGCGCGTTGTTGGCATACCTGGACCGTGCTTCCGTGGATGACCCACTTCGTGTTCGTTTAGGGTTGTTGGCCCCCCCGCGAAGAATTGCGCCCCACTCAAAGTCGGAGGCGCGGCGCGCGAGGGAGGGGTGCCGCAAGGCGCGAGACACACGGCGCACTCAGCTCTTCCACTCGGCGTACCTGGTAAAAGGTCTGACCCGTAATATCCAAGTGCTCCGTAAAAAGTTTCAAAAGCGGCGCCCCGTTACTGGCCGCCGTGAAGCCCCGCAAGAGGTGCGGGCGAGAGGGCGGCCTGGGCCCGAAAGGGCCCGCCCTCGGCTTGCTCTACATGGTCACACACACAGGTTAGATAGATAGAAGAAGAGAAACACCACGGGCGGGATATGGACCGGGACACGCTCGCTGTGTGTGGTTCAGACGTCCCCCCCCTCGACGCAGTCGAGTGACTGACATGAATAGGGAGGAGAAAGTGTCCCCCACATATCTCACCACAGACGCAGCACAGGACGGTCATGCAGGGGCTCCAATCCTGATGTGAAGTAAGTGTCCTCTCCCCCTTCACACTTCACATGCCTGGGGGAGAGGCCCCCTGGGGAAAGAATTGCGCCAGTCCCTTTCTTCTCTGTCGGGCCAAAACAATGTCAATGAGCAGCGGCTGGCGAGTAGAGACCACGCCTTGGGCTTTACGAGAGTTTCCTCTCGCACCCTGCCTGGTTTCCTTTCCGTGTTTCCTGCTAGTTTCCCTAGAGCACCCTCTAGTTTCCTGGGGAAACTCCGTGGAAATCATCAATTCCCGGGCTCTGTCTGCGGCTGGTTTGGGCCCCAAATCAGCCAAATCGGCAATACCGGGGCGTTTTGCGGGTATACCTGAAACCCCCGGGTAGACCTGGAAAATACCCCGGTATTTTGCCGGTTTCCTCGGTTTCGCCTCAGATTTCGCCCCAAACCAGCTCTCAGACTCAGGGAAACTCGAGAGTTGCCAGAGGATGGTTTTTTTGGGGGGGGGGGGGGGGGAACCAAAGCGGAAGGTTGGCTTCCAAGAGCTAAAGGTCAACATCCTCTCCGGCTACGACAATGTGAATGTGATCTGGTCCTCACGGGGTTGACCCGAGCGTCTCCTCCAGATCGAGACGGACTTCATGAACGGCCGAGCAATATCTCTTCATTAAAAGTATTAATTGATGCTTTTTGCACGGCTGAGCCCCCCCTCCCTCCCCCGCGCCCATTCCCTGCCTTCTCCCGCCACGCGCTCCATCCGAGCCCTCTACCCTCTTGCACAACAGGAATTTTGACAACTAATCAGATGCAAGGTGGCGCACACACACCCTCTGCTGTCTCCTGCAGGTGAAGGAAAGGCACAACTCTCAGAACGATGGGCTTGCCCATCCCGGAGTGGTTCGATCCGAGACGGTGACGGAAGCGTACGGCGGTCTCAGGCCCAGTGAGGTAGTGCGCCAGTCCAACCCGGATCCTGCTGAACAAGCTCCTCTTGTAGCTCGATCGGTCACACCGCCATCGCCGTCGGGGAGAGGGGGGACGATACTGCTTCAGCAGCGTGCACCTCGATCCTGGACCGTGTTTGTTATGACCCCCCCCATGAACACGCCAGTGAGGGAGGGCGAGACGATCGAGGGGTCCCGTACCATGCGGAATCGACCCTATTCAAGTGCTCAAGTGCTCAAGTTGCCAGAATGGAGCAGGAATGGAGCACCAAACACCCTCTGGTTCCCTGGAAACTTCCGGAAACTCAAAGTGCTGGCTGCTGGGGACCCTCTGGTTTCCCTCTGGGACTGGGTTGCCGGAAACTCTCGTAAAGGCCAAAAACCACGCCTGCTATTCACAGCACAAGCTTTGCCTGGCGGCTTCCAGCATGTGCAGCGAAAAAAAAGCAGCAGTTGCCACGAGTTCACACATGCACATGTGTACATGTGCATGCACATATGTGCATGTGCATGTGCATGTTGTGCATGTGTGACAACCACTCGAGACAAACACCTGTTCTAGAGGGAGGCCGATCGCATGTGGCATGACAAGCGAGAGGATTGATCAACTCTCTATGAACCGAAAATGAGGGCGGGGGGGGGGTCTGAGATGCAGGGGCGGCTTCGGGATCTCCACTCACTCACTCACTTCTCTCTCTCTCTCTCTCTTCGCTGCCCTTGGTGTCCCTCTCGAGGTAGGTGTGGAGGGTCTGTTGATCCACCTTCGCGCGTAAGAGGTTTTGTAGGCACACGGATGATGTGGGAGAATATTGACGAGAATATGGCCTGTTTTGGAAGGAGCAAACATCGGATTCGTCCACCTCTAATAACCCAACACTCTTACGAGCGTCCTCTCCATCTCCACAGCCCGGCGCGACCAGCGATCTCTCCAAACTTCGATACCCCGCCGACTGCGTGGCCGGCGCTCGGGAATGCTTGACCTCGCGGCGGCCGTGTGGGCCGTGTGGTCTCTGGCGATGGGCGCATCCATCGGTGTCCTCTCTGTCTGGCCAGAGGTCGATCCGGAAGCCAGCGCCGAAGCTGACGGAGAGGGTGCAGACCGGGATGCGACCAACAACACGGATCCTCCTCCTCCTGCTCGTGACAGCGATCCCGACGAGCTACGCAGACGTGCTAGGGGCTTCTTCGCGGACGAGTTCTCTTCCTTGTCGGCGTCAAAGCCCGAGAGCTTTGACTTTGACCCTGGCATACTTGACAAGCTTGCGACCACTATGGCTGCACGCGCCGAACTCCAGAAGTTTCGACGGGACGCTAGCTGGCAGGTACAGCGACCTCCGAGGCAGCTTGGCCTCAAGCCTGCGTGCATTCACGAAGAGGGGCTACACTAATGGTCATCGACAGTGCAATGCCCTTCTCTTCGCCTGCTTCCATCGGCATCGCCCATGGACCATCATATCGAGCATGGCCCATCTCGCGTGCATGCATTCGGAGGGCAGCAGTTGGACCGCTGCCTTCCTTTCATTATTCTGCTCAGCAGACACTCAGTCGCTGGGCAATAGCTTTGGATTGCAGCTTTGGATAGCCGGGCGAGTAACACTTATTCGACTCGCCCGGCTATCATTTCGACAATTCACTCGAGCATGGACCGTCGGCATATGCGTGTGTATTCTCACAGACATGCACATGCGTTGGTGAGAGCGAGGAAGTGAGACCATGCTCGAGAAGAGGGAGTTAGTAGTATGCAGACTGCAGTCCGCGGCGCATGGCCGGAGAGAGGGGTCCTCCGCTGCTGGCCCGCTGCCCGCGGTCAGGGAGTCGTTAGAGGTGGCATGCGAAAAAAAGAAAGAAAAAGACAGACACCCAAACGAAAAGAAAGAAGAAAACAGAAATGAAAAAGAAAACCAGGAAAAAGAATTTTTGCTCCGGAATCTACCATGCGGCTTGCCGTGCGCCGGCTGCTCGCGGTGCGGCGAGCCGCGCCCAGGACGCTGCGATGTTCGGCGCGCGCGCTGTCTGACAAGGTGAGCTTCACCTTTGTAGAGGAGGGGGAGGAGGTGCCTGTGGCTGTCGAGCACGGTAAGACGCTGCTCGAGGCGGCGCACGCCAACGAGGTTGACCTCGAGGGTGCGTGCGACGGTTCGCTCGCGTGCTCAACGTGCCACCTCATCCTCGAGCAGGAGCTCTACGACCAGCTCCCGCCGCCCGAGGAGGAGGAGCTCGACATGCTCGACCTCGCGTTTGGCCTCACCGATACGTCGAGGCTCGGCTGCCAGTTGAAGGTGGGCCCCGAGTTCGAGGGCGCCAAATTCACGCTGCCCGGGCCCGACACCTGATGACGCACCCTGGTGGCGCGCACTGGGGTATATTCCACCGACTTCCGGACTCTCGGCATTGTGCGTGTGTGTGTGCGTACACAACGCGTGAGAGCGGCGGCTCTCGGTGTGTGTGCATTTCGTCTCTCAAGATAGACCTGGCCTGGCCTTACTCGATTCGAAAAAGCGGCCGTGAAGCACATGTTCACATGGAGAGATCCCGGCGCACGCCAGCCGCACCCTGCACCTGTCCTTGAGGTACAGACTTCGATATTTCAGAATTCAGTGCAAGAGGATCCGCAGTAAAATCACCAGCACCGCAGTGTCCCACAGTGTCAGTGAGCGAGCACAGTGAATGTGAAGTGAGATTCCGCTCTTTTAATCCGGGCTTTGCCTTTGCGGCAGCGCGAGCCGCCTCCATCGGCCGGCAAGCCCGCTCACCGCTTGCGCAACTGCAGCGCCGCCGCCGCAACCGCCGCGACGGCGACGACGGCGGCCAAGCCCACCACCAGGGTCTGCCTCCCGCCGCTCAATGCGGTCTCGCCTCGCAGCGGCGCGGCGGCGCGGCGGAGCAACGCGGCAGCGGCGGCGCCCTCGATGCGCACGCCGTTGTGCCCGCCGGAGACGGACTGCGGCGCGCGCGGTGGAGGAGTTGGGAAGGGAGGAGGAGCGAGGAGGGTGGGAGAACTACTTGAGAGCAGTACTGCCACCGCGCCTTCGACTCTTTGACCGGGAGCTCGCAGACGGGCGCCGCCGCCGCGTCGGCGCCCTTGTCGTCCCAGCCGCGCCAGAGGGAGGAGACTCTCTGAGGGGTGGTGGCGGTGGGGGGCGGCGGCGGGAAGGGGGGGGGGGGGGGTCAGGCAGGGGCAGGGGAGAGGGGAGGGGGAGAGGAGCGGCGAAAGGAGCGGCGCGAGGAGGGGCGAAACGTTGGGCTCGCTGGCGTGCGGTGTGTGTGTGTGCGCTTCTCGGACGTTGCCTGCCGCGTGGCGAGCAGGCCGGCGGGAGGGGGGGCGGAGGGGAGGACGAGGGCGAGGACGGCGTCGTGGCCACCCGCACCCGGGACCAGCGCCATCAGCACGCCGCGCTGCTGCATCGTCGCGTCGAGCAGCCTGCGTGGCGTGCCGGAGGCAGGTCGGGGGCGTGCCGGAGGCAGGTCGGGGGCGTGCCGGAGGGGAGGTCGCATCTAGAGAGTGTGTACCGGGTCTGCGCGGCTGGCTCCACAGGCACGCCCGACGCCGTCGAGATGGAGCGGACGAGCGTGCGGAGCTCGAGCGACGCGTTGCGCACCTGCGGCGGGGTGCGGGGCAGAGGTGTGCCGGCGCTTGCGGGGAGCGGGACGCGCCCGGAGAACTGTGCCGGGATGCGCCAAGTTGCGCTGAGATGTGCAGGAGGGTGCGCCGGCGTGTGCGGAGCTCGAGGGAGGGCGAGGGAGTGCGAGGGCGAGGGAGGGTGAGGGAGGGCGAGGGAGGGCGAGGGAGGGTGAGGGAGGGCGAGGGAGTGCGAGGGCGAGGGAGGGTGAGGGAGGGCGAGGGAGGGCGAGGGAGGGTGAGGGAGGGCGAGGGAGGGCGAGGGAGGGCGAGGGAGGGCGAGGGCGAGGGAGGGTGAGGGAGGGTGAGGGAGGGCGAGGGAGGGCGAGGGAGGGCGAACGGCAGCGCGTCGCTGCACCTCGTTGAGCGCCGTCGCGAGCTCGCATCCGTCGAGCGACGCCTCGACGAACCACTCCTTGGGCGCCATCCCGCCTATCACAAGCACGGCCCCGGCACGGCTCACTCCCGCTGCGCCGTCGCTCGGGGCGGGCAGCAGGGGCGCGCTCTCGCGCCTGCAGCAAGCACGCGCAGAGGGTACCTCTCACACCCCTCGACAAGCCCCTCCCTCTCTCTCCTTCCGGCACACCCAGCCGCGCGAGAGCCTCGAGCCACTGCGCTGCCCGCCCGTCCGCCACGTACCTCCCGTGCAGCGCAGCCAGCCGCCGCAGCGACGCCTGCAGCCGCGCGGACTGCGACGCGTACCGCGACCACAAACCTTTGGCCGCGCCGTCCTCGCCGCGCCACCTGGCGAAACAAAAGCCGACGGGCTCAGGACTCGCCACGCCCGACGCGTCGACCCAAACCCCCGCGCACAACTCACCGCTGGATCGACTTGACCATCGACGGCGTGTGCGCGCCTGTGACGGAATCACAACTCGCGGTGGAGCGGGCGGGACTCGGGTGGGGACGGCGCTCCTCGGGGGTTGGCGCGCCGCAGCAGACGTCGGCCATCATCACCTCGACGCCGGGCGGCAGCTGGAAGGGCTCCGCCTCGTGGTCGAGCGCCGGCGCGCGCCCCGCGCTGCCGATGGCGCCGAGCAGCAGCGCCGGCGGCGGCGCGGCGCCTTCCGCGAGCCCGAGCAGCGGCTGGATCGTGGCGGGCGAGAAGCGGCAGTAGCGGTGGGAGCCGAAGGTGGCGGCGCAGACGTCGAAGCCGGAGCCCACCTTGCCCTGCGCCGCGCAGTGGCACACCTGCGCCAGCGCGTGCAGCATGGCCAGCTCCCTCTCCTCCCTCTCGTGCGATTTAGGCTGCGCCGCCGCCGCCGGCGGGCCGCCCGGCTCCGGCAGCGAGATGGCGCCGAGGGTGTGCAGCAGCGCGGCGACCAGAGAGGTGACCTACCGCCGAGAAGCACCCGAGGTGCGGCCGAGACGGCGCCGAGGGCTGGAGCAGCGAGCGAGACGGGAGGCGAGACCAGGGTTGCTGACGAGCCGAGGCCTGTCTTTGCAACGTCGCCTACGGGCGGACACTCTCTCGGGTGGGCCCTCCCGCCCCTCCTCCCTCTAGCGCGCGCGGCGGCGGCCGCCGTTGTCCCCCGCCGCAGGGCGCAGCAGCGGCGGAAGCGATGCGAGCGACTCGGCGGTGAGCGGCAGGCCGCGCGCGCGGAGCTCCGCGATGTGCGAGTAGAAGCCGTTGTCCGCCGCCAGCGTCACCTCTAGCGCGAGCGGCGGCGGCGACGGCACGGGCTCCGAGCCGGCCGGCGCGGCGGCGGCGGCGAGCGCGCGGGCCGCAGTGATGGCGTAGAGGAGCGGCACCTCGACGTAGCGATTGGGCGGCTGCGCGGCGGTGCCGGCGGCGGGACGGAGCGACGCGTCCTCGCCCGCCGGGCCAGAGGAATAGACGTAGTGGCGAAGCTCGCCAAACTGCGGGCTCGCCACGGAGACCTCGACCTCGCCCGGGAGCGCGGCCGCGGCAGGCGGGCGCATTTCGACTGCAGAGAAGAAGCGCGCGTCGAGCGCGAGCACCGTGCCCGTGTGCGGCCGGTCGAGGATGAGGTAACCGCCCGCGAGCAGCACTTTGCCGGGCGCAGATACGACAACCATGGGGTAGGATGGGCCGACGAAGAGTTGGGGCGAGCTGGGCGAAGGAGCTTGGCAGCCTGCAAAAGAGTATGAGTGGCTGGTGTTTTTTTTAAATTTTCCACAAGGCACGGAGGGGGAGAGAGAGATTTTTAGCAATACCAAACAACGGGATTGGTGGGGGGCGAGTAATATTCTATCGAGCAGGCGCGGACGCTCAAAAGCCCCTAGTAAAAAAATAATACGTTCGCCTCGCTTCTCATCGCAAACCCCGTCAGCAGTCCTCCTCCGGTAATGCACAGTAAGCGCTACAAAAACAAATCTTCCGGGCCTGGGGCGCAAGCGGGCGGACTAGCGGGCGGACTCGAGTCAAGAGGCTGCGGAGGCGGCCGCCTCCACACGAGCACACAGACATATGTCGCTCCGCGCTGCTCGACGGCTCACCACCGAGGAGATCGCGCAGGCGCCCGCCTGCCACGCCTCGCCTCTCAGCCTCCACGCCCGCGCTGAGTCTCCCTGCGCCTGTTGTGCAGTACCTCGACGAGAACGACCTGCTAGTCGAGGCGATCAAGCAGAACCAGAATCTTGGCCGGCTGCACGAGTGTGTGCAGTACCAACTGCAGCTCCAGCAAAACCTCGTTCACCTCGCCATGCACGCCGATGAGCAGCCCGGTATCCAGCCGCTCCGGGTGGCGGCGCAGCAGCAGCAGCCAGCCGAGGCGCCCACAGGGCAGCAGGCGTCACACGCGCCAGACAGCGATGCGACGGCCGGCGGACCGCCGCCGAGATAGTACCGGCCGACCCGGCACAATTTTGAGTAGCCGCAGTAGGTAGTCAACCCCTGGGCATGAGCATGCGGCGCGAAGGGCGGGCCACACATAGATTTCATGCTAGGATTCCTAGATTTCGGGCTCGGAATATATACAGTCTGATTTACAGTCGCCGCACGTCGGGACCCACGCCTATGCCGTGTTGTTTTTTCGCACAGATTCTCTCTGGCGGTAGAGCCGTACGGCTCTACGACGTGGTGTACGATCAAGACCTCCCAGATGCACTCTCAGAGGCCGCCCGCCCGCGCCCCACACGCTTGCTTTTTTTCGCTCCAGCCCTGCGGGTCTTCACACTCCAAGGGGCTGGGCCGCCCCACTGAGGCCGAACCGCTCGAGCCCCTCCCGGTAGTCTGCAGGCAGCGGCGCCACCAGCCGCAAGGGCTCGTCCGATGCGGGGTGGCGCACCCGCAACGTGTGGGCGTGCAGCAGCAGCCGCGCGCACGGCGGGTGCGGCTGCGCGCCTGCGCCGTACTGCGTGTCTCCGGCGATGGGGCAGCCGGAGTGCTCTGCGTGCAGCCGGATCTGGTGCATCCTCCCGCTGACGGGGCTCGCCTGTCCAGGGACGCGCGTGTGAAGAGGGGCGCGGCACACACGGCTGCGGGTGGCGTGTGTCGGGACTGGCCTCGCACAGCGCGGCGCGGTCGGCGCGCTCCAGCACGCGAAAGCGCGTGAGCGCCTCCTGCGCTCGCAGCGCCTGACGTCAAAAGCCTCGGTGTGAAGAGGCGGTGTGAAGAGGCGGTGTGAAGAGGCGGTGTGAAGAGGCGGTGTGAAGAGGCGGTGTGAAGAGGCGGTGTGAAGAGACGGCCGAGCGCGCGGCGCCTCCGCCTCCGCCGCGTCGGCTGGGACGTACGAGCGGAGCCTGTCCTGCGGGTGGCCCGCGATGGGCGCGTCCACCACGAAGGAGTCTGGTAGAGGGTGGGTGGCGAGCAGCGTGGCGAGGTACGCCTGCGGGGAGGGGGGAAGGGAAGGGGGGGGTTGGAAAGGAGAGGGGGGTGGAGGGGGGGGGGGGGGGGGCCCCCCTTGGAAAGGGTCCCCTCTCGGAACTGCCCGGGGAGGGACGCGGCGGCCGGCCCCTTTTTCCCAAAAAGGAGGAGGCCGGAGGTGCCGTGGTCAAGGCGGTGCCCCTTTGAAAAACCCCCCTTTGAAAAAGGGGCCTTTGAAAAAGGGGCCCGTTGTGCTCTTGCTGTGAAGAAGGGGCCCGAACAGGGGTGCGAGAGATGGCCCGAAGAGGGGCTCGCGGAATTCGGGGCGGAGCACCACGTACGGCGATCGGCCTCCCAGATAGTGCACCGCGCGGTTGACCATCGACGACCCCTCGAAGCGGTGCCTATAGACAACAATAATATATAACATATAATAATAACAATAAGAATCAGAATCAGAATCATCCTCTAAGCGGTGCCTATAGAGCAGCTATTCACAGCTGTAGAAGAGCTGTGAATAGAAGAGCTGTGAATACAAGAGCTGTGAAGCGGTGCCTATAGAGCAGCACTCCCGCGCGTCTCAGCGGCCGTGCCCACGGCGTGCGGTACCGTCCGGCGGTCTGAGGCGGCGCCGCGGCACGCTCGACACGTCGGCGGGCTTGTTGAGCGCGAGCAGACACTCGTCCTCGTACACAACCTCCACCGGCGCCTAGAGCCCCGCGCAAGCCCCGTCGGGGGAGGGGAGGCACCTCCCCTCGCCGCGCCCGCTCCACTCCCCGCCTCGTCCGCCGCCAGCGCGAAGGAGCGAGAGTACCGCCGCGAGAAGCTTCGCTGCCGCTGCTCCGCCGCGTCCAAAGCGCCGCTTCGCCGCGGCTTCGAAGCGGCAGCGCCGCCGCCTGTGCGGCCTCTCAGCGCAAGGAGAGCCTCCAGAGCGGTGGCGGCCTCCTCGGCGGCGGTGCTGCTCGCGGCGGCGTCCGACGCCGCGGACCGCGCCGCCGCGACCAGCTGCTGCAGCGCGGCCCCCTCCTGCGAGATATGGCCGAGATATGGCCGAGATATGGCCGAGATATCCAGCTGCTGCGGGTCGGCCCCCTCCTGCGGGTCGGGCGCTATCCCGCCGCGCGCCGCCGCCGCCGCCGCCTCGTCGGCCACGGCGGTCCAGCCGCTCAGCTCGGCGCAATCGCGCAGCACGCGGACCTGCGCGCCGCTGTCCGCGGGGCAGCCAGACGCGTGTAGCAGCTGCAGAGCCTCGCAGGCCGACCACGGGGCGCGCGCAGTGAGGGAGCTGCCCAGCGCCGCGAGCAGTACCACGCCACACCGCTCCGGCTCCATGGCCGCCGCCGCCTCGCGCGCAAGCACCATCGCCTCCTCCACCTCCGGCCTCGCCGCCGCCCCGCCTCCCACCCTCGCCTCCGCCTCCTCCGCCGCCGCCTCCAGCGCCTCTTCCTCCTCCCCCGACGCCGCCCGTGCCGAAGCCTCGAGGAGCGCGCCAACGATGTGCGCGTAGCACTGCTCGTCCGGCCTCAGCCCCGCCGCCAGCAGCGCCGACCAAGCGCGCCGCGCCGCGCCCGCCGCGCCAGCCTTGCGAGCCGCCTGGCGCAGTCGCTGGAGCAGCCGTCATACAGAGAGGGAGAGGCAGAGGGAGGGGCAGAGGGAGAGGGAAGGAGAGGGTGGGAGGGAGAGGGGGGGAGAGGAGAGAGGTATGACGTACACGTTTGTGCGGTGGTGGGTGCCCTGGTGGATAATTTACGCTCACCTGCAGCAGCTCCGCGTAGTCGGCGGCGCCCGCCGCCCGCGCGCCGCGAGCGGGCAGGCGGCGCGTCACAATCTCGGAGGCGAGGGTCACATCCCCCGCCGCCGCAGCCGCCGTAAGCACAAGCCGCGCCAGAAACGGGTCCGCCTCCACCGCGCTCGGCGGCAGCGCCCGCGCCAGCGCCACCGCCTCGCCCCAGCGCCGGTCGCGGCTGCACGCGCGCAGGGCGGCCGCCATGTGGCTCGCAGACGCCACCGGCCGAGCGGCGGCAGCGGCAGCTCCGCCCTCGCCCTCCGCCTCGCCCTCCGCCTCGCCCTCCCGCGGCATCTTCATCTGGAGGAGCAGCGCGATCGCGTCGGCCGCGCGCCCCTGCGCCCCTGACGACGCGCCGAGGGCGAGGCGTGGGCGAGGCGTGTCTCGACCCAGAGCAAGTGTGTGCAGTGGGGCGCGTGTGATTGTGGTGGTGGTGGTGTGCGTGCGTGCGTGTGTGCGTGCGTGTGTGTGCGTGCGTGTGCGTGTGCGTGTGTGCGTGTGTGGGGGGGGGGGGGGGAAGCCGGAACCCAAAATTGTGATCCGGGGAACGGGAAGTGTCTCAAAGGTGTCTCGCGAGTGTCCCGGAGGTGTCTTGGAAGTGTCTCGCACCGCAGAGCGCCAGCACGTGTCCGTAGCTCTGCGTGTCGGGACGCACGCTGAGCGGAGCAGCCGCCGCTCGCGCCGCGACTGCCTGCACGCACGCACGCAGAGCGTCGCTTGCTGCCGCGGCGCCGGCGACAGCTCCGGCCCAACCGTCGGCAGCAGCGGGCGGCTCGGTCTTGCCGACGTCCGTCGCCACTTGCTGTGCGAAGCTGCCTCTGCCGCCGCCGACCGCTTCGCCGCACATGGCGCGCCAGAGGGAGAGAGCGAGGCGATAGTCGCCGCTCAACCGGGCGCACTGGAGGAGCTCGTTGCACGCGGAGGTGTCTGCACGCTCGCCCATCCGAACGACTAGGCCCGCCACCTCCTCCGTCCTCTTGTGCTTTCGGCACGCGAGCAGCGCGTCACGCCAGGCGCCCGGTGGAACAGTGACGCCCGCGGCACCGCCGCAGCGCTGCTCGAGCTCCTCGACCAGCTCGAGCGCCGTCCGCCAGCGGCCACGCTTTCCACAAGCCCTCAGCGATGTGAGCAGCGCCTCCGTCCCAGTGGCGCACGCGGTGCATCCACGGGCGCCAGTTTGGAACGTGAGGCGCTTCAGCGTAAAGGTACGGCGAACGAGACTGCTAACGCAGATGGCCAACACGAACATGTCCTTGTAAACGCGGTCGAGGTGATGCGGCTGGGCTACCTGATCGCGTGGGACGAGGAGCGCTTCGAGGGCCGCGAGGGGCGGCTCCAAACATGTGTGAAATGCTGATTTTTCTTTTGTTTTGCTGTTGTGTCACCCTGGGTCTAGTGTGTGAGAGAGAGTTGGATTGTAAAATTCTTTTATGGTCTCAAGTGCGAACGAAAAGAAAACGCCGGAGCGGGACAGCTGCATCTGACAACGAGATTGTGCCACACATGCTACACGAGAACTCGAGAAGCGGAGCGCCTCTCTGGCTCGCCACCACCCAAGGCACTATTATCAGGCCTTGCGCCTCCCCCATCCATCTGCAAGTCGCCGTCCATGACGCCGCCGGCACGGTTGGTACTCGGGGGCTCCGCACGCCGCCCCCCCATCCATTTTACGCAAGCTGCGACTCGGTGCGCCGATCTAGACAGCAAGCCAAGCAGCGTCGCAAAGCAGGCCTCGAGAAGCATGGGGGGGTGAAAGGAGCTCACCCGGCTCGCCCGCGCCGCTGGTGACGACGCGTCGCGCGGCGAAGCCGCCGACCGCCCCGGCAAGCCTTTGAACATCTCGAGGAAGGAGCTCCGACTACCCTCTCGCGGCGCGGGTGAGGTGAGCGGCAGCGGCTCTGCAGCGTCCAAGAGATCTTGCACCGCCTTGTCAAACGGTTCCAGATCGCCATAAGCAGACTCGATCGCGGCCAGGATGCGTTCGGCGTCGTGGGGCGAGTAGCACCGCGCCTCGCGGACACTGAAGCTGCGAGTCACATCGTTCACTGCTCGGGTCGGGCCCCACCACCCATGCCGGACCAGCTTCCACATCGGAGACCCCGAGGGAGAGCGAGCAACGGGCGACGGGGTAGCTGGCGCCACCGCTTGAGGCACCCTCCTACGCGGCAGCGGCTCGCTCCAGGGGAGGACTGGCAAATCCTTGATGGGCAGCACGACGATGTCTTTCAGCTTGCGACCCATCGTGAGGAAGACAAAGATCTCCATAATACACCTTTTCACAGCAGCTAGAGGCGGTGAAGAGGCGCCATGGGCAAGGCGACGCCAGGAGTCAGGGCGCAGCGCGCCACAGCCGCTTGCTGTAGGTATTGCCTTCGAGGATGATGAGCTTCCGGCAGCCAAATACGTAGACTGGCAGCCCCACTAGCGAGGCTTTCACGTCCTGCTGGTCGATGCACGCCTTATCGAGCCACAGCAACGGCTCGCGCTTTTCTCTCTGCACGAACCTGCGGCTCGAGCGGGACTGGGATCAGGGTCTCGAGGTGTGTGTGTGTGGGGGGGGGGGATTGGTGGGGGGGATAAGTGTGCCTGTGCGCCCAGAGGCGCAGCGCCGCGTACTTTTGCACGCCATTATCGCTCCACGAGTGGCTGACAAATGCGTCAACTTCGCCCAGCGTTACCGGCCGCGTCGCCTGCCAGAGCTCCGCCGCCTCATGCTCGGTCGCCAGGGAGCAGCACAAATGCCCTTCCTTGAGCTTAGAAAACGGCAGGGCGCGCAGACGGCTCGCGGCGCGCCGCACGGATTCCTCTGTTCGCTTCTTGCCCCCTCCGTGGCTGATCAAAGCGGCCACAGCGACGGTCGCACGCATTCGTACCGGAAGGCCGCAGCCATCGAGCGCTCGGTAGAGACGGCCACGGTTGGCTGTGGACATCGCCAATGCTATGCAGCTTGCTAACACTACGGCCAAGCCGAACCGAATATGCACGAGGAGGAGGACGCGGAAAGGATACTTGAGGTTGTCGTCCAAAATCCAATCTTGGTCCCAAACGACAATGAGCACGTCCCAAAGGACCACGAGTACGCTTAGAACCGCTCCAGCGCAAAAGCTCAGACGGACCGACTTCCATGCGGCGCGAATGGCTGAGCGGGTTGGCATGGTGAGCAGTTGCGCGAACCGGCATGCGGTGCAGACTGGGAGGAGGACGAGCAAGGGGTGGATAGTCACGGCGTAGTAGAAGCGCAACCGCCTGGAGGGGATGGGATTGTTGCGCGTGATTAATGTGCAGAGGGGCCTGATCACGTACAAGGAGTACAGCAGCAAGATGGCCGAGGCCGCAACGCTAGTGGCCGCAATGATCAGACAGCCAAGCTGCACGATGCGGCGGTCAATCGGTCGGAAGGCGAGCAGGATACAGAAGGGGCACAGTGCATAGAGAACGCTCTGGAGCGGCCACGGAAGCGTGATGTTGCCAGCGAGCTGCAGGCTATGGCCGGCGTCCGCAAAACGTTGAAAGACCAGGTAAATCCTGTATCGTTGACACTCCACTCGATGTTTGCTGCCCACCGCACAGAACGGCGCTAGCGGCATAACGGCGCTCGCATTTGGCAGCGGCGGGCTCGGAGCTCTGATTGGAGGCCATACTGTGCTCTCGGGCATGAAAGGGCTTATCAGCTCCGCGATAGCTACCTCACTGAGTGCATAGGCGACGGGGTCCTTGTCCAGGACAGTCCCTATCCAAGCGAAGAACCATGCCAAGGAAAATAAGGTGCTCGCCTTGCGCACCCTCACCTCCCAGTCCACCTGCAACGCTTCTCGCCCGTGTCGGATAAGCCGAGCCAGCCGGGCGGAATCTGCAACGCTCCGCCTGCCTTCAGAGCCGACTCCATAAAGATTGCTTCGGTCGCGAAAGCATCCAAGCCGCAACCCAATGGAAAAGATGAGGCAGAGCATTCCAGGTACCAATGCGATCGCCACCCGATGCATTTCCACATCACGCAAAATGACATACTGCGGCTGGTCGGTTATCTTGGGTATCATCGCCGTGCGAAGCTGTGAGCTGTTGCGGGTTCGTCACGGGGAGCGGTGCCCGGCGCCGAGCACGGGGGCCGTCGGCTCCTCTATCTGCGCACTCGCTCGCGGTAGGCCGCACTGGCGATGGATCTACACCGCGCAGAGATAAGAAAAAGAGAGAAAAGAAATCGGTGCGAAGGTGGGGTGCTAGTCTGGGACCCATACGTGGCAGTTCCCTTGCTCCAAGCGCTTGCGCTTCGGCGGTGGTGATCTCCCGAATACCACGTTCGGATCGCTCCTCATCGCAAACCCTGTCATCAGCAGTTCACCCTCGCGTATGTTCGTAAGAGCATACCGAGGCTACTTTTTGAGTCCGGAAAGTGAGCAAGTGCGCTCGCCGTCCAAAGTGGGGTCGCGGGTGGCCATGCGAAGTGGTTTCGCGCACTGCCCGCTGAAGCCCCCCCGAGGCGCCGGAGCGTGACCGAGTGTCGCCCCATGACCCCCGGCGCCGGCCCGAGCGCTGAGACCGAAGGTGAAGCCAATGCGCGCGCGCCACAAGCGCGGCACTGCTCGGCTACGGCATGCTGACACGGATCCCTATCCTCTCAGGTTGCTATCGCTCGGCCGGCGATATTGGATCTCGCACGCGACCTTCGGCAAACGAAACAAGTTCAACCTGCTTCTCCACGAGACATTCGGCGGTGGCTTCTCGCCGCCAGCAGTTGCAAAGATCAACCGCCTTGCGCGCAAGGCTCAACGCTCGGGCGTTGACCGCACCGCGTACCCTCCCCACTCCCTGAGGGAGGGTGTAGAGGATGTAGAGTGTAGAGCGCTGTAGAGCTGTAGAGATGTAGAGCGCTGGTCTCGCTGTAGAGCTGTAGAGCTCTACATCCGCCGCGTGACGATGTGAGTCGCCTGTAGAGCGATGTAGAGGCGCTCTACAACGTGAAATCTCTACAACAAACTCTACATCATCAGCGGCGAACGAGGCACGGTCGCTCTCCGACATGAGGCGCGTTGCACTTGCCAGTGCTGCCCTGGCCTTCTGTCTGCCCGCCCAATGGGTGGCAGGTGCCTCTGCTGCTGTGGCATGCCTCACGGCTGCGACTGGCCGGCGCCTCGGCGCGTGTCAGCTCGGCTCGGCGTAGCGATCGTGGCCAGCGCAACTCGCCTGGACTCAACGCTCAGCCAGGAGCTCTCGCACGCGCTGGCGCGAGTCATGGCGCATGCAACGCGTCTGAATGCTCGCCTCGCCTCGCGCAAATGCGACCGTCCTCGCAGCCGACAGTCCACCGCCTGCTAAAGAAGCACAGCGACGAATGCGGCACCGGCGACACATGGCAGGCTGGTCATGACGCAGTCATAGGGTGTTGTGTGCCGTCAGAGTGACTCCCTGTGTGTCAGGGATAGTCAGGGCTGTCCATCAGAGCTGCAGTAAGCTCGGAGACACCCCATTAGCGCGGCTCGACCTCTTTGAGTCACTGCCTTCCCGGCGGTTTGGCTGTAGAGCCTCTACAACAAACTCTACAGCAAAATCGCGCTCTACATCGCTCTACAGGCGACTCACATCGTCACGCGCCGGATTTAGAGCTCTACAGCTCTACAGCGCTCTACATCTCTACAGCTCTACAGCGCTCTACACTCTACATCCTCTACACCCTCCCTCAGCCCACTCCCGCCTCTCATTTGTGTCACACCACGCGGAACGCATCTCCATCGCTTCGGTGAAGGGGGTGAACCGTCCGTGCCATCCTCGATCGCCGTGCAAAGCTCGCTTCCGAGCTCTCACGCCGCGCGTAGGGCCCTTAGGGGCCTAGGGAACACAACCCCCTCTCTCTTTTCTCCCAGTAAGCTAAAAGTACACACATACCAGGTGTAGGTACTTCTTGCTTGGGCGGGCAGCCATGCTGAAATTCTGGAAAAACCTGACCGGCCCCTGCCCTGCCCCTACCTACCTACCTACCTACCTTACTTATGGGAAACTAAAAAAGAAATCACGGGATGGGTGAAGGTGGGGTACTGTACCAACTAAAGTGATGGCTGGTGGTACTATACTGCAACCACAGTCCTTCCTGTGACATGGCAGGCCACTCTCAAGCCCTACAAGCACCAGATCAACGACTTGGGGAGGGTTGACATCGTGATTTGCGCGGACGGAAAAATTCTTTTTCTGCGGTGAAAATTCCGGCGTGAGAGAGGGAAACCCGAGAGGGCCCAGACCCTACCCTACCTACCCCGTCATGATGCCCGGCAAGCAAAAAATAAATAACACCTGAGCCGCCACCCTCGCCTCACCCTCCCGCCGCCTAGCCGCTCGCTCGCCGTTCGCTCGCCCGCTCGCGCCAGACCTTCTACCTCCTCGTGATCCGCCCGCCCCCACCCTCGCCTCACCCTCCCGCCGCCTAGCCGCTCGCTCGCCGCTCGCTCGCCCGCCCGCGCCAGACCTTCTACCTCCTCGTGATCCGCCCGCCGCCACCCTCGCCTCACCCTCCCGCCGCCAAGCCGCTCGCTCGCCGTTCGCTCGCCCGCTCGCGCCAGACCTTCTACCTCCTCGTGATCCGCCCGCCGCCACCCTCGCCTCGCCCTTCCGCCGCCTAACCGCTCGCTCGCTCCTATCCGTGCCACCCTATCCGTGGTCCTGCCGCCACCGCGCCATCCTCGCTCCTTCCTGCCGCCGCCCTCTGCTCAGTCGTTTGACCCGCCGCCCAATGCTCCGCCGTTCGCTGCCGTGGTCTGCCGCCGTGCCGCCGCTCCTTACCGTGCCGCTCCTTCCGCGCCTCGCCGCCCTTGCCATTTATTCGCCGTCCCTCCTGCCGTGCGTTACCGCCGTGCCGCCGTACCGCCGCTCCTACAGTGCCGCGCCGCCTCCCACACGCACACACCTTACCTCCTGCTCGACCGAGTTTGCGATGAGAAGTGACCCGAGCCGCCGGGTGCCCCGCAGCGGCCTCGCTGGACCAGAAGAACCGGTCCGCGAGTGCTCCGCAGCAGCCTCGCTGAGCCAGAACGTCGGCTCGCGAGGTGGGGTGCTCGTTTGAGCCCGACCCAGGTCGTAGTGTTCTTGCTCCCAGCGCAGCGCTTGCGCTTCGGCGGTTAGTGGTGCACTAACCTCTGAGAAACCCTTCGGGTCGCTCCTCATCGCAAACCCTGTCAGCAGAGTCTCCTATGGGAATGTACGTAAGAGCTACATACACTGAAAAACATTGAAAAACGAGACCTCATCACCGATCCGAGCTCGGCTCAAATTGCCATCCCCCCACGCGACACATCATGTGCACGATTCTCGCCCTTGGCGGAGACGCGTTCGTTCCCACTGCCAGACCGGCTGCGCGCATCTCATCGTCGCGCCTCGTTATGGCTGAGTCTTTTTCTGTCACCTTTGTTGCGCCTGACGGCAGCGAGCGAGTGCTTGGAGTGCCGGACGATGAGTACATCCTCGACCGGGCTGAGGAGAAGGGCATCGAGCTGCCCTACTCCTGCCGCGCCGGAGCGTGCTGCGAGTGCATCGGCAAGGTGATACTTATCTCCACCGCCTGTCGCCTCCGCCCTCACCTCCTCCGCCATCAGCCCCACTCCCCACTTCGTCTCCACCGCCACCTCTGCCGCCTCCGCCCTTTAGGTGATCGAGGGTGACGTCGACAATTCGGACGCAGCCTTTTTGGACGAGGATCAGCTGGAAGAAGGCTGGCGCCTGCTCTGCACGGCATACGCCACGACCGATGCCAAAGTCTTGACCCACCAGAAAGAGGAGTTTCTCGGCCTTTAGGTCAGCTCCGCAGGGGAAGGCGAAGGGCGGGGAGCGAGAGCGGTGCGATGAGCCCCAAGCGTCACCGTCCCGCGCGGCTCCTGTCCGTGATAGTGCTATGTGTGAGAAACGAGAGCGAGATCCGTCGATTGACCGCCGCACAGCGGCACAGGCGCTTTTTTGTGCGCCCCGCGGCGTGAGAGCGACTCTGAGAGGCCAGGCGGTGTGCCGTGTGCTCACCTCGACTTGTGTGTGCGTTTTGTGTGTTGTGGCTTGTGCTGAAGCAAAAAAGAAGATCACTCACCGCTCCCCAGTTTCGGATCTCAGCCGGCCTTCTTCTTGTTCGTCGCCTCGCCCTCCGCCGCCTCCTCCGGCACTCGAATCCCGCAGGCGTAGATGAGAAGCTTGATGCCGCCAGCGAGGCAGGCGGCGATGGAAAAGGCGACGACGACCGTCTGCTTGAGCGGCTTCCAGAGCGAACGCAGCAGCAGCCACCACTGTGGCTCGTTTGGCCTCAGCGTGGTCGGCACGGCCAGACTGGAGAGCTGATTTCGGTAGCCGCCGGTGGCGAAGGCCGACAGCAGCGGGAGGCTCCGCCGCCGCTCCTGGAACTCGTAGGCGCGGCCGTCCGCGGACAGGAGCAGCAGCGTCGGAAAGCGCTCCACATCGAACGTCAGTGCGATACCATTGTCGGTTGACACGTTGACGCGGCCGACTCGCACGCCCTCGCCCGCCGCGCCCAGCCGCGTTTCCATCGCCTCCCACATGGGCTCGAGCCGCTTGCAGTGAGGACACCTAGGAACACGCAAGGGTGGATATTACGGTCCGTCGGCGGAGGGAGTGCGGCTGCGGATCGAGGCACCCTTGCTGCGAGAACATGATGAACCAGTCATGACGGCCCGTGATGTGCTCATGCCAGTTGTCTCGAGTGAGGAGCTGCACGCTACCGACCACCATTGCATGAGCGAGGAGGAGATACTGCAGCAGGCCGGCGATCATCGAGCAATGTTAAGGGCGCGCTGTCTGCTATACCGTAGCCGCAGCCACTCCCAGCTAGCTGCTCGTGTGAAGATGTAGGACCTTCCTTAGGTCCGCCTCTCACTGTCTGTGCGATGTGAGCTTCTTGTTTCTTATCAACCTATCTGTGAACTCTGTCGAGCGGGAGCTCGGTCAGGGGTCGTAAAGAGATGTAGGACCTTCCTTAGGTCCGCCTCTCACACCCTCACTGTCTCTTTGTTTCACTGTCTGTGCGATGTGAGCTTCTTGTTTCTTATCAACCTATCTGTGAACTCCACCACCCTCGCCCAGGGATCTACAATGCTGTCTTAAGGTCCGACAGGTTCGGCACCGGGCACCGCCTCGGTATACAAAATGCGCCTGCGGGCGGACCCTTACAGATCACAGATCACCTATCTGTGAACAGAGTTCGTTCACCGAGCTCCGCAACTCGAGATCCCTCGAGAGTTCACGCGGAGTCGGCTGGGGCTATACCAGACAGAAGGGCGCGCCGAACGCTAAATAAATAAACAAATGCGGGACGCGATCCAAAATCCAAATCGCAACATAGAAACCCAAACACACACAGCCACGTGGCATAGGAGAACAGGAGGTGAACGGAGGTCAGCACAACTTCCCAAGGAAATAAATAAAACACTCAAACTCTGAGACGAGATGGGATTTGGGGGCCGAGCGGCCGACTACACGGTGAGCCATACGGACGTTGCAGTAAACCTTTTCCTTCTAAGCAGGGCTACACAATGACCCTATAGTGTGGGGGTGTTCCTGGCGAGTTGTGATGTCACTGATGAGTAGGATTAGACTAGCCAATACTATTTTCAAGTTCATATATGAAAATACCAACTTGCCTATGTGCACGTCTCCCCGCGGCGGCCCGGAGGGGGCCCGGCGGAGCGGTCAGAGCAGCACTGCGCCGGCCGGCGAGCGACTGTCGACTATAGTACGGGCTCTATTGAACGGCCTCCAAGGTGCTCTCTAGACTGCCCTATTCCCGCTCGCCCGGCTACGACGCTGTACGCTGAGCTTCGAAGGAAAAGGTTTCCGCTCGGCAATAAATAAAAACGGACACCTCTACTGTGAGATGGGTAAAAAGGAACAGGTCCCCGCCCGTGCGATCTTTGTGCAGGGTTCTTTGTGGGTGTGGTCGGCGACTAGCCCCGGGGTCGTCCTCTCCCGATGGGGGACTAGCACTAGCCGTCTTCCACATGGTCCCTCGGGTCCCTGCTGCTCCTAATCTCTTCGTACATCCTCCTGCTGATCTCCGCAAAGTCCTGCTCCCTCCCTCGTCTCGCCCTGCGCGTCTGCTCTGCCTCCCCGTCGTCTGCCCTGCGTCGTCTGGCGACGGTCCTCCATAGTCGGTCGAGGTCGCCGCCCTCCTCGTGGCTCTTCCCAACGTTCCCTCGGCGGCCGATGCCGTCTGCTCCGGCTCCCCAGTAGGAAGCGAAGGACGGCGCTTCGGCGCTGTCGTTGTGGATTTTTTTTAGAAAGGCGGTCGCACAGCACGATTCGCGCGACAGGCGAGGCGCGGGCGACGGCTTCCTCAGAAGCCTTCGCCCGCACCACAGGAGCAAAAGAATTCAAACACGTTTACGCGTGCGGAAGACCAGGCGTGGACGCGCTGCTAAGGGACGTAGTTTAGCATGCGCTCCGCGTCTCTTTCCACCAGGCGGCCGCCTTCTTCGGCGTCCTCTGCTGCGTCGTGTAGTTCACGTAATAGAGCCCGAACCTATGGGGAGGGCAGGCAGGCGAGGTGGGAGGCGTGGCCTCGAGGAGGGGCTGCCGGCTGCAGTGGAGCGGCCGGACCGCTTCGAGTAGCCGTCCGCCCATTCAAAGTTGTCGAGGAGCGACCAGCCAAAGTAACCGCGCACGGGCACGCCATCCTCGACGAGGGCGAGCCGCACCTGCTCCGTGTAGCCGGTGTAGTAGTCGAGCTGCTCTTGGTCGGCCGCCGCCGCCGCGGCGGTGAAGGAGTTGCAGGACCAGCCGTTCTCCGTGACGTAGATGTCGCCCTTGTACCTGGCCGCCACCCAGTTGAGCAGCCCCCGCAAGCCGGCCGGGTAGGAGCGCTGCCACGGCGACGCCGCCTGCGGCCAGCCGGCGCCGAAGGTGGCCACCACGTGCTGGTCCGCCTCCCACCCGCTCGACGCGTCGCCGCGCTCTCCGTCCGCCACGTCGCGCACCATGTGCGTGGAGTAGTGGTTGATGCCGAGGAGGTCGATCGAGCCGATGAGCAGCTCGCGCTGCTCCGGCGAGAAGGAGGGGAGCCGCTCCTGCACAGGCGGAGGAGGGAGGCGGGGAGGGAGGTGGGGAGGGAGGCGGGGAGGGAGGCGGGGAGGGAGGCGGGGAGGGAGGCGGGGAGGGAGGCGGGGAGGGAGGGGAGGCGGGGAGGGAGGCGGGGAGGGAGGTGGGAGGGAGGGGAGCCGCGGTGTGTGTGTGTGTGTGTGTGTGTGTGTGTGTGTGTGTGTGTGTGTGTGTGTGTGTGTGTGTGTGTGTGTGTGTGTGTGTGTGTGTGTGTGCTTGTGTGTGTGTGTGTGTGTGTGTGTGTGTGTGTGTGTGTGTGTGTGTGTGTGTGTGTGTGTGTGGAGGGTGGCCGAGAGGGGGCGTTGCCGCACCCCGACGTTCCGCCGCATCGCCGCCGGGTAGTCGCCGCTCAGCAGTGGCTCGAGCCACCAGCCGAGCCAGAACTGGAGCGCGCGCTCCGCGGCGGCGGCGTCGGCGGCGGAGTTGGTCAGCGGCCGAGCAAACTCGCAGTTGAGGGTGATCGAGATCCTGCCGCCAAGCGTGGCCGCAAAGCGCGTCCGGTAGACCGCCACCGCGCGTGCGTGCGCGTTGAGCACGTTGGTCGAGACGACGTACGGCGTGACGTCGCCGCCCGCGCACGGCCCGCGCCCCGACTGCGCCGGCACGCAGCCGGGCGCGTGGTTGCCGGCCGAATAGCCGCTGACGGTGAAGGTCCACGGCTCGTTGAAGGTAAACCAGGTCGCCACGCGGCTTCCGAGGCGCTCGAAGGCGAGCGTGGCGTACGCCTCGAACTCGGTGAGGATGCGCTCGTTGTCGGGCGTGTGCCAGCCGCCCCTGTGCTCGTGCAGCGCCTGCGGCAGGTCCCAGTGGTAGAGGGTGACGTGCGCGGTGATGCCCGCCTCGAGGAGCCCGTCGAGGAAGTCCGAGTACCAGGCGATGCCCGGCTCGTTGGGCACCATGGAGTGGCCTGGGGTGCGAAGGAGGCTGTGAGGAGGTGCGGAGGAGAAGTCGCGTTGCAGTTCAAGTCCAGAGCTGCCGCTCACCATCCCACGACATCATGCGGCTCCAGGAAAGGGAGAACCGATAGTGCTTCAGCCCGAGCTCCGACATGAGCGCGATGTCGTCCCGCCAGCGGTGGATCACGTCGTCCGCCACATCGCCCGTGTCGCCGCCGGCGACTGCGCCCTTGGTATGCGAAAACACGTCCCAGATTGATGGGCTCCGGTTCGTCGCATTCCAGCCGCCCTCAATTTGATACGCGGCTGTGCCCAGGCCCCAGACAAAGTCCGCCGGGAAACCGTTCGCGCAGGTGTCGTTCGCCTCCACAGCATTTGCCGACAGCACTGCTCCGGCTTTGGTGTGGCCAGCGCTGGCCGTGAGCACACCCAGAGCGACCAGCGAGACGGAGATGACGGCGAGTCCGCCAAAGGCAGCGGCGGAAGCCGGGCCGTTGGTTAAGCGACCGGCGCTCCGGCGATGGAGTAAGGCGTAGGGTGCTGTCGGCATGCTGGCAAGATTGTGGCAAGAATTTTCTGATCACGGGTGACATCGCTCACAGCTGCGAGAACAACTGCGGCTGGGGTTTCGCTCGTTTTCACAACGCGGCCGCCTCGAGACGCCGCGCCGTCGTGCAAATCGTGCCCGAGCCGTCCACAAGGCCGCCGGCACATTTGACAATGTGCCCGGAGCGCAGGGAATCGAATGGGTGCCGGCCGCACTGCAAGCGAGCGAGCGAGCACTGCAGTGCAGTGCTCGCTCGCACTGCGGCGCTGCGCCACGGCGGCGAAGCATGTCTGGACTTCAAGGACAGCGCTTCTCCGCTGCTCGAGGCTTGCGGCAAGCTGAGGGAGGGTGTAGAGGATGTATGTAGAGTGTAGAGCGCTGTAGAGCTGTAGAGCTGTAGAGCGCTGTAGAGCTGTAGAGCTGTAGAGCTCTACATCCGGCGCGTGACGATGTGAGTCCGATGTAGAGCGATGTAGAGCGCGATTTTGCTGTAGAGTTTGTTGTAGAGGCTCTACAGCCAAACCGAGCCGCGCTAATGGGGTGTCTCCGAGCTTACTGGAGCTCTGATGGACGGCCCTGACTATCCCTGACACACAGAGAGTCACTCTGACGGCACACAACACCCTATAACTGCGTCATGACCAGCCTGCCATGCGTCGCCGGTGCCGCATTCGTCGCTGTGCTTCTGTAGCAGGCGGTGGACTGTCGGCTGCGAGGACGGTCGCATTTGCGCGAGGCGAGGCGAGCATTCAGACGCGTTGCATGCGCCATGACTCGCGCTAGCGCGTGCGGGAGCTCCTGGCTGAGCGTTGAGTCCAGGCGAGTTGCGCTGGCCACGATCGCTACGCCGAGCCGAGCTGACGCGCCGAGGCGCCGGCCAGTCGCAGCCGTGAGGCATGCCACAGCAGCAGAGGCACCTGCCACCCATTGGGCGGGCAGACAGAAGGCCAGGGCAGCACTGGCAAGTGCAACGCGCCTCATGTCGGAGAGCGACCGTGCCTCGTTCGCCGCTTATGATCTAGAGTTTGTTGTAGAGATTTCACGTTGTAGAGCGCCTCTACATCGCTCTACATCGGACTCACATCGTCACGCGCCGGATGTAGAGCTCTACAGCGCTCCAGAGCGCTCTACATCTCTACAGCTCTACAGCTCTACAGCGCTCTCCAGCTCTACAGCTCTACAGCGCTCTACACTCTACATCCTCTACACCCTCCCTCAGGCGGCAAGGTCCAGGCCGACCACACGGAGCACCCGAGGCAGCTGGCGTGGCCTCACTCACTCATGAGACATGAACTGTGCTACCCGTCGGCGGGGCCAGCTGCGGTTTCACAACGAGCCGCCCTCCCCTATACATTCACATTTTTGTTGTAGGTCTGTTGTTGGCAAAGCAAGACGCAGCGTAATTCGGGCAAGAATGAGTAAATGACGCGGTATCGGCACGACAAAAGGCGCGAGGTGGCATGAAGGTTGCAGCGAGAATCGGCGAGGGACTGCGAAGGGAGATAGAAAGAGGCAGACGCCCAAGGGTTAGGGTGGGCGACGGCTAGCACCACACTCCTCTCCTTAAAATCCCTGTGTGGTGGCGGCGTGCCGTCCTCCCCTGCTCCCATCCCTCCCTTGGCATGTCTGTTTTCTTTCTTTCTTTGTTTAAAGGCGTGGAATTGCGCACACTAGCGCCCTGCGAGCGCCGAGCGGGGCGGGGCGCGCGCTGTGCGTCTGCGTTCCACCTTGTTAATGCTTCGCTCCTCCCCGGAGTCGAACTTGGGAGCTGTGGCCCGTCTCTTTCTTTTTAAGCGGAGAAGAAATCGACGGCGCCAAGCTGCCCCGCGCCCGCTGCACACCGACCCCTGCGACACACGACTTTCACTGTGGCTCCTTCGCACTCGACTTCAAACAATGGGCATCGGCGACCTGTTCCGCGCGGCCGGGCTCAGCCTCGCCGACACATCGTTCCTCAAGCTCAACGCGCTCTTCCCGCTGATGCTCGGCGGCGCACACATGGCGGTCGTCTCGTGGGTGAAAGGCCCCGCCTCAGTGGTGGCGGTCGAGGCGCTTCCAGTTTCGGCCGATAAGGTGCCCATGCTCGTGGTGGCATCGATGCCGATTCTGGCGACCATGCTCTCGGTCGTCGCACTCGAGTGCCTCGCCGCGATGGCACCCAAGGGCTACGAGTCGCAACGCGGGCGGGCGCAAAAGGCGCCGGGCGCGGCTTCGTGGGCCTCGTGCCCGGCGTGGGTCGAGCGGATCCAGTGGGCGCAGTACAACACATGGGAGGCGCTCATGTGCCTCCTCCCCTCCCTCTACGTCGCAAAGGAGTGCGCGTTGCCCTCGCCGCTGCTCGCCAAGCTCTGCGCGCTCTTCCTTCTCCTCCGGCTCGTCTACCCGTTTGCTTACGGGCTGGACATGGACTTGGGGGGCAAAAAGGGGGGAACGCTTCCCCCCCCCCCCCCCCCCCCCCCCGCAGCCTCCTTTGCCCGCCAACTCCTCACCGCCCCCCCTCAGCTGTGGCTGACGGGCTTTTACGCCACCGGCTTCATCTCCTTCGCCGCGCTCTACCCGGAGATCGCGCTGCCGCTCGTCGACATGGCGGCCAAGGCAAAGTGAGGATGGTGCAACCCGCGGCGCAAACGCACTGCTGCTGTTACATGTGTTACCATGTACTCGTGTACTCCCTCTAGCGACTCCTGTTACCATGCACATTCTCGGTCATCGGCGGCCATCCCCGCCCGCGTCATCCTCGAGGCGCCACCGCACAGCACCGCACACCGCTGACACCCGGACCCGGCCGAGGCGTTCGCTCCGCAATTCCGGAACTCGTTCAGAGACCCGCACAGCCGCGCACACACTGTCCACAAGACGCGCGCCGGTTTTTTCAAGGGGTAGTGCCATTTCATTGTGGCACAGCCCCCGTTACAAAACCTTGATTTTGACCATTTGCGCAAAAAGGTACATGTCCGTGCCTTCCAGAGGCAGCTGCGACCCCGCCGAGTAGACGGCGGCACACAGCAGGTGGCGCGGTGTGCCGCCGTCCACTCGGCTGGATCGCAGCTGCCTCTGCGCGTCGGCCTGGGGATGTACCTTTGTCGCGCGCCGAAGGCGACTCGACGCCGCTGAGATCGGAGATCAAGCTCTGACAGGTCGCACGTCCCTCCTTTGACGCCGACGTGATTCACCCGTGCAGATCACATCAGGACACGGTCTCGACGCGCTCGGTACGACGCCTGCGACCCGTCTCGGGTCAGGTGGCACGACGCTCATCGCGCCTGCCAGCGCTGCCGTGCAGGTTGCCACGACGAGGTCGAGCACGCTTCTATACGCTCGCCGAGCCTTCCTTTCCATCCCATTAGGCAGCCTGGGAACGGTGGCGGTCAGAGGCAAAGCCTACGAGGGGTGGTGGAACCACATGTCACGGCTACTGCCGGCTCGAGACCCCACGATAGCCTCCGGAGGCTGACTTTGAGGCACCATCATCGGACGATGTCGACGAGTTGGGTCGCTCTCGCGGTAGCCAGATGACCTATCATACTAGGAGCATCGGCCATGGCCGCAGGGAGCGCGGGGGAGGGCGCTGGGAGCAACACGGAGCTCCGTTGGACGTTTTCAAGATTAGCGTGTCAGAGTGAAATGGCACTAGCCCAGACGTCGGCCACGGGTCCAGGTCTTTATGTACGCGGGATGAACGTACGGTAGTTTCGGTAGACCACCGCTGCAGACAAACAACTCACAGCCCCCTCGCCTCCAAATATATGCCCCCCCCCCGCTCTGTCGCCTACATGTATCCCGCTCCCCGTCGCGCCGTCCGCGTCCTGCCTCCTGCGGTCCTGCGCGACAGCGAGCCCCCAGCCGAGAGGTGTGTCGGAGCCGATACGCACACACGGGCCGTCGAGGGCCGACGCGACGGCGCGCGGGGACGCGCCACACCGCCCTCGCCAAACCGCTGGGTCTTGCCGCAGAAACAAAGAAAAAAATCGGCTCGGCGTCTGTGTCTCCGTCGGGTGATCTCCCATCCCGGGTGGTCTCAACGAATGGGCGGTCCCCCCTTGCAGACTCGCGTCCTCGTGTTTTGGGAAGCGGACTCGGCCTTTTATCCGGGCGTCGTGACGGCCATCAGCGGCGAAGAGACGACGGTCACACACGACGACGGCGACGTCGTTACGTATCGGCTCGCAGAGGAGGTGTGGTTCGAGGAGGTGCGCGTCGGCTCCCGAATCCGCGTTTTCTGGCCGGCGGACGCCAAGTTTTATGGTGGCGAGGTCACGAGGCTTAGCGGCGACAAGTGCACGGTTCTGCACGATGACGACGAGCGGCAGACGTACAGGCTGACAGACGAGGTTTACTTCGTCGAGGCGAGCGGCGTGCACTATGATGGCCGCTTCGCGACAGGATACAAGTGCGTATGCTATCGCGAGGCGCAGAGCAAGGCGATGCCTTACCGCCTCCGCCTCCAGTCAGAGCCGTGGAATGACACGCGGGGCTTTGCGACCGCCAACGAGGCCGCGGCTCACTATGCGGTGCACAACGCGAGCGCGCCGCCCGTGGCGCCTGTGCTGAAGCCGGAAGAGGCTTCAGAGCCGCCGCCTCCTGCCGCGTCCGTCGCAAAGCCGCCTGCTCCTCCCCCAAAGCCGAAGCCTCTGGAGCCGCCAGCGCCCGCTGCAAAGCCGAAGCGACTGGAGCCACATTCTCCCGCCGCAAAGGCGAAGCCACTAGTGCCGTCTCCCGCCGCCGCAAAGGCGAAGCCACTAGTGCCGTCTCCCGCCGCCGCAAAGACGACGCCTCTGGAGCCGCCTCCCCCCGCCTCCTCCGTGGGCTGCCTCTGCGGAGAACACCCAAGAGGGGTGCTCGGCTGCCTTCTGCTCTTCGGCCACGGCGGGAAGTGCATCGTCCCCTCCGCCGCTGCCTCCGCTGGCGCGGGCAAGCGGCGGCGCAGCGGCCTGCCAGACCCGCTCGAGGGGGAGAGGCGGCCCGACAAGGCGCCGACGAGGGACACGGCGAAGGATCTGGCGCGGGCGGACGCCAGAAGCGGCTCAAAGGGCAGCGCAGCGCCGGCTGGGAAGAAGGGTGAGTGGAAGGGAGAGGGGAAGGGAGAGGGGAAGGGAGAGGGGAAGGGAGAGGCGGCAGCCGATGAAGCGGCGAGCACGCTGCCGCCGAGCCGCGCGGTCGTCACCACGAGCCTAGCCGCGAGCACGCTCTCTCCGGCCAGCCAGTCTTCCAGCCAGTCTTCCATGCAGTCTTCCATGCAGTCTTCGGGCCAGTCCGCAGGCTCGTTCCAGCTCAAGGCGCGCGGGCGGCTGGTCGCGCTCGAGGCAACGCTGTGGGCCTCCTCTCGGCGCCGCCCGCCGTGCACTGTCTCGGAACTGTTCGGGACCGGCGGCGGTAGGTGACGCTCCTCGGCGCCGAGACGCAGGGGGCGCCCATCCCGAGGCTCGAGGCGCGCAGAGCCCCCCCTCCCCCCCCTTCCCCCCCAGCGCTGCCCTGCCCTGCCTCGCCCTGCCCCGCCTCGCTCTCCCTCACCTCTCAATCTCTCCCGGCGGCGCAGAGGCTCGAGCGGCTCTTTCCATCGGCCGTCGGCTCAGTCGGTGGGCCTGTCGAGACCAAGTCCGTCGTCCAGCGGGTCGCCACTCTCGAGGCGGCCGTCCGCGCCGAGGGTTTCTGAGGGTGGCCTTTGGAGGCGGGGGGGGGGGGGGGATAAGACATGAATGCGCCTCCAAGAGTGTCCGAGAGAGCGTCCCCGCACCGAGACGAGAGAGGCAGAGGGCCGCCCCCGCGAGAACGAGATGTCCAAGGCCAGGGCCTTCTAGAGGTAGCCCGAGGGGCGAGGGGGGGTGAGGGTTTGGCATCTGGAGAGAAAAGAATTTACCTACCTCGAGGCACATACAGGTTACAGCTTAGCTCTGCGCAATCCGAGGATCACACAGGCTCTGCACTCTCCTGACTCCTCTGTCCGCTCGTCCGCTGGCTGTGCACCGCTGGCTCTCTCAGTCTCTCTCTCTCTCGCTTTCTTGCAAAAACGAAAAACGGACACGGGACAGTCGATCAACGGCGCATTGACACTTGAGACTTGTCACACAGACACAGGGAATCAAAATCAAACACAAGCTAAATGTTAAAATGCATCCCGTGTATAAAGCCGTAGTATGTATGTAGGAAGTGAATGCAGAATAGGGGGGGGGGGGGGGGAGCGGCAAGCGACGCGAGGGGGCTGCTCCCACCGGCCGGGCGGGCGGGCGGGCGCCCCAGGCCCTGAGGTGCATAACTACGTGGTAGTAGAGAGCAGGGCTGCGGGCTCACGTGGCGCACACGCCGCCGCAGCGCCGAGAAAGCGGAGAGGCTGGAAGGTAACTCGAGTGGGGCTCCTTCCTTGCCACGTTGCAACGACGCACGTCGCGCCCGCCGCACGTCCCTCCGCTCTAGAGCATGCAGCCGACCGAGTTCTACCACGGGACCTCGCTGGAGGCGATTATGGCAATCCAGGAGTCGGGCTTCCGCGTGGATCTGTCCGGCTCCAATGCCGGCGCCGCCCTCGGGCCAGGAGTCTATGTTACCACGACGCTACTGAAGGCCCTGAACTATACGCTGAGGGCGCGACCGGCAAGCCAAACCCAGCATCGGGAGGTGTGCTGGTGCTTGAGGTCGCCCTTGGACGCTGCTACCGCGTGCGTTCGAGCAGCCAGGAGGAGCGCACAAGCTGGGCAGCTCATGGCTACGACTCAGCCTGGGCCGCAGAGGGTGTCATTGGCATCCGTGAGGAGAACTGCGTGAGGGACCCTGCCCGCATCCGCATCACCAACGTGGTCCTGGGCAACACACGAGCTGCACAGGATTCAGGCTACGAGGTTTGCAACGGGCGCCTTCGCAATGTCGCGGCGGAGAAGGAGGCGCAGCGCGAGCGCGACGCAAGCCGCCTAATCGAGCTCGGAGCTGAAAGGCAGCGGGCAATCGAGTTGCTTGAGCGATACGGCTCGTTGCAGGCGGCTGCGAACGCGTTGTGCGCAGCTGCGGACGCCTCCATTCCTTCAGAGGTGCGGAAGTGTGTGGAGCAGCTGCGCAGCGGAGGGGGTTGGCAGAAGGAGGAGGCCGCGAAGGAGCTGAGGATTCTCGCCTTCAACAACGCCGACAACCAGGTGGCGATTGCGAGGGCGGGCGGCATCGCGCCGCTTGTGGCGCTGGCTCGCGGCGGCTCGGACGGGCAGAAGGAGGCGGCCGCGGCGGCACTGGGGAGCCTCGCTGGGCTCATCGCCGACAACAGGGTAGCGATTGCGAAGGCGGGCGGCATCGCGCCGCTGGTGGCGCTGGCTCGCGACGGCACGGACGGGCAGAAGGAGTGGGGCGCGCGTGCGCTGCATAACCTCGCTTGCGACAACGACGACAACCAGGTGGCGATCGCGAGGGCAGGCGGCATCGCGCCGCTGGTGGCGCTGGCTCGCGATGGCAGGGACGGGCAGAAGAAGGGGGCCGCGGGGGCGCTGTCGAACCTCGCTTGCAACGCCGACAACAGGGCGGCGATCGCGAGGGCGGGCGGCATCGCGCCGCTGGTGGCGTTGGCTCGCGGCGGGACGGACGGGCAGAAATGGCAGGCCGCGGCGGCGCTGTGGAACCTCGCTGTCAACGCCGACAACAAGGTGGCGATTGCGAGGGCGGGCGGCATCGCGCCGCTGGTAGCGCTGGCTCGCGACGGCACGGACGAGCAGAAGAGGTGCGCCGCTGGGGCGCTGATGTGCCTCGCTTGCAACGCCGACAACCAGGTGGCGATTGCGAGGGAGGGCGGCATCGCGCCTCTGTGGTGGCGCTGGCTCGCGGCGGGACGGACGGGCAGAAGGAGGTGGCCGCGGCGGCGCTGGGGAACCTCGCTATCAACGCCGACAACCAGGTGGCGATCGCGAAGGCAGGGTGGCGATAGCAGGCGGTGTAGGTGGCGCACCTGCATGGTGGGGCGATCGCGCACCTGCATGGTGGGGCGACAGTTCAGTCAGGGTGTGACGAAGAGGGTGGGCCCGGCGGAAGGTGGCGGCCTATTACCCGGGGCGGCGGCGAAAATTTCTCCCTCCATACAGTACCAAGATTGTCCGAAAAAGAAATAACCCCCCTCCAGCTGAAGCACCGGCCACCGCAAGCAAGGTACACGCCCGTGCGGCGGTGGTGACTGCCGAACCTTACCTGTCCAAGAACCATGCGCAGCCTGGTCAAGCTCCAGACCATGCGACTGCTGATCAAGCTCCAGTACATGCTCGCAGGAGTCGCCGCGGCGAGGGAGTGCGGCGTGGCCACTTACACGGCGGAGCAGGTGATTCCGTCGACTGCGATTATGGATGGGGTGACACCGCCAGTCGTGGTCGGCGACGCGTCCAACCTGCACTCGCCGCCCGTGCTCGACCTGGGCGGTGTGTGGTGGATTCGATACCAGCCCCTCGACGACTCCGAGCGCGGAGATCTTTCGTGGGAGAACCCGGAACGTTCCGATGGAGAACTTCCACACTGGCCAGTATGGGCGGCCACTGAGCGCCAGACCGATCCCGTGGGCGAGCGACCGTGTGCGCACGCACGGGCTCGCTCGTTCGGAGCTCAATGGTAGGCACGGGCGATGCCTGGGATGGCACGAGAACAGCCAGCGTTTCATGGTTCAGCTCGACGGCGCCGATGCACCAATCCGCGTGCGTGCGCACCATTTGCTGGGTCGGATGATGATGGAGGACGATGAACACCCAGTCGTGGATTCTGAGCAGGAGGATGAGCCGACCTGGTGCCATGCGGCGCGCGAGATAGTGGTACGCTGGCAGCCAGCCACGTGCGTCCGCCCGGACCGGAGCCTTCAAGAGCGAGCAGCCGAGGCAGTGCTTGCGGCTGGGGGCAGCCCGGAATCGCTGGCCTCCGCCGGCACGCCTTCGCCGATTGTAGAAGTGGTGAAGGACGCCGAGAACCGCGGGACAATCAGCGTAAGCGTGCCTCACGACTCGGACTTGTGGGAGTGCATGCAGAACTTCTTCTGCGATGGAGGTCCTGGCCCATCCATAGGGCACGTCGACGGCGAGTGGCGCGAGGAGCAATCTCGCACCCACGGTGCACGGTGGGTGGCCGACGTTTCATGGGACCACGACACACTCGGAGAGGTCGGCCGAGAACCACGAGGTCTGCACGAACTCGCGGCCTACTATGAGACACTGCGGCGCCTCTCGCAGCTGCTCGCACGCGCGCCGTCCACGTACAGGTGGAACTCCACTGGGCAACTGCCGTGGACAGAGCGTGGCTGGCGCGTGGTCGCCGATCCGCCGCTCTGTGTCCTCCCTGGTGCCGACGACGCCGTCGGTTATCATGCGACGGGGCGGCTTCGGATGGGCTTCCCAATATTCTTTGGAGGGCGGGACGACGTACCGGAGGAGGTGGGTGAGGGGGTGCTCGATGGCTCCACGCAACTGCTTCAGCATGCGCTCTTCGGTGTCCGCATCCCCGCCGCGCTGTGCACCGGACGCTGGAGGTTGAACGCTGATGATCTGACCTTCGACCTGAAGCGACAAAGCTGCGCGGGATCGTCAGATGACGAGACGGTGTATGACGAGTGCTGCAGCGTCAGTGGGTGGGTCGCGGAGATCGCTGAGCACGTGGCAGGCGAGTATGCCGCGGCGGGGCGCACAGATGTGCTTGTGCGCTTCGATTTTGAGCTCGGTGACGACGGCGGCAGTTTTGGAACCGGCTGCCCTCCACCACCACCACAGAGATGCTTTGGCATCGCCCACGACAAATGTGGCGAGGCGTACATGGTGCTGGACGACGACGACGACGACGAGGTGTACGATGTGCAGCATCTCTTACAGGAGATCCTGGGTGGCGAAGGTGGGGAGGAGGAAGGGGACGGCGAGGAGGAGGAAGATGATGGCGATGACGTCATTGACGAGGGCTTGTGACATGAATGAAGAATGAATGGCTTGTCCCAAAGTGGCTCCTGTGAGGGCCTGAGCAAGTGAGCGGATTGGTGAGTCTCGCGTCATTACAGTATTAAGTGGTCAGGGGGGCTGCCAGGGCTCTGGTGATTGTTCGTTCGCGGCGGCGGTTGTTTGAAATTGAATAATATAACAACTAACATGATTGTACAAACTGGAACCGGCGGGCGCACCGTGGAAGGGTGAGCTCGCAAATAGGCGTGTCACATATCCCGACTCCACGTGCGCGCGTCGAAATGTGTCACACATTGCAGATGGCACGCAATCTCTCCTCTTGTGCGCTGTTGAGCCGCACGAGTTCTCCCGGACCGGAGAGCAGCAGCGCGTAGAGACCTACAGCCGCACGAGACAGGCGCGAAGTGAGCGCCGCGGGCTCGTACGTCCCACCACGCATCGAAGGGGGCTGGCTCGGCGCACCGTCCTCCTCCTCGCTCCCTCCCCCACCCCAGTCGAGCGCCCCATCGAGGGCGAGCGGGCCAAAGGCCACGCGGCGCAGCCCAAAGACAGGGAGGCCCGCCGCCGCGAGGAGCCGCCGGACGACCCGGTTCCGACCAATCGCGATGGAGAGGCGGAGCACGAACGCCCGCTCCCCTGGCAGGGCGGGGGAGGGGGGCACGGCAGCGCTGCCGCCGCCCCCCTCCGCCGCGCACGGGTCCGCGCCGGATGCTGGCTCGGCGGGCAGCACGCAACCTCGCGCCGCTCGCTCGCGCGCGACGTTGCTGGCGCGCCGCTTCGCATTCCTGGCGCCGGCGGTGCGGATCGCGGCCGGCGGCGGCAGCTGCCACTCCCTCACGACTTGGACGCGCGACAGGCGCGCCGTGCCGTCCTTGAGCTCGACGCCCGCGAGCAGCCGCCGCAGCTGCTCCGGGCTCGGCCGCCCCGGCTCGCGCAGCCGCACCGTCGCCTCGTACACCTTGCGCACGACGCCCGGCCGCAGCAGCCGCTCCGAGAGCTTGCCGTCGTCCGTGAGCAGCAGCAGCCCGTCCGTCTCCTTGTCCAGCCGCCCGACGGCGGAGAAGCGGCCGCCCGCGCTCGGCGGCAGCCGGCCCAAGTAGTCGTTGAGCGTGGTCTTGCGGCTGCTCCCCGCGGCCGGCACCGACGCCTGCTCCACCTCGACGCCACGAGGCTTCCAGAGCGCGAAGATGGCCGTCGAGGGGAGCGGCGCCCGCGGGGAAGGGGCGGCGGCGGGAGAGAGGCAGCTGGCTGAAGGGGCGGGAGGGGCAGACCCGCGCGGTGGCGGGTGCGGCTGCTGCTGCGGCGGGTCGAGTGCGTCGCCGAGGAGGGAGCGGTAGCCCGCAGCCACGCGCTGCTTGAGCGCCTCCTTGTCGACGGAGCGGTCGAAGCCGGCGTCGATCGCAGAGAGAGTGCACTCGAGCAGCTGAGACCAGCTGAGGCCGTACTCGTGCCTCAGTGCGGCGAGCTGGCGGGACGGCCCGCCGTCGTGCGTGTAGCGCGGAGAGCCCGAGAAGAGAGTGTTGTCGCACGACACCGACGCGGACACGCCGGCGGCGAGGAACTCGCGGAGGGGGTGCGCGCACAACGCGCCGCCAAGCAGGCGCGTGTTGCCGAACGGGCTGCACTCGACATGCACGCCCGCCGCCCTCAGCCTGGCCTGCAGCTCCGGCCTGCGGGGGAAGGGTCCGAGAAGGCTCGGAGGAGGGATCCCGCGTCGCGCAGCCCGAGCCTCCAGCTCCCGCCTCCCGCGCAGCTGCAGCGCGTGGCCGACTCGGTCCACGCCGAGCGAGAGGGCGACCTATGGTCAGCCCGCCGCACCTCTCGCCTCCCCGCCTCCCCCCTCCCCCGGCGTGGCCGAGCGGCGGAGGCGGCCTCGACGTTTGCGAGCGTCTCGCAGCCGCCGCCTTCGGTCGCGGCGCCGGGCCACTCTGCCGCGTGCAGAGTCACGCCGCACCCCGGGCTGGCCACCACCGCAGAGATCGCCTCCCGCATCGGCTCGAGGCCAAACCCGGGCTCGAAGCCAGCCACGTCGAACCCGACCGCCGCCGAGTCCGCCGCAAGCGCCGCCATCGCCGCCCAGTGCTCGGGCGCCAGCGTGCGTAGCGCGCACACAATCACGCCGCCCGGCAAGCCGACGGACGCAAAGCCGCGGAGCACCGCCTCCAGAGCCGACGCTTCCGACAGGCCGCGGAGCGTGTGCAGCGTCGGGCAGAAGCGGAGCTCGCAGTAGACGACGGCGTGGTCCGACGCGAGGCGCGAGCAAAGCTCGGCCGTGGCCGCCTCGAGGTCGGCCTCGGTCTGCAGGAACTGATTGGCCCAGTTGAAGAGGTTGAGCTTGTCATTGCCGGCGGCGTGGCGGCAGGACATCATGTCATCGCTGAGGAGGCCCGGATCGCTCTTGGCGGCCACGGCCCACTCGCTGAAGGTGGCGAAGCGAGGGTGCCGCACGAGCGGCGAGACGACGCCGAGCGCAGGCATGCGCTCGGTGCAGAAGGCGTCGGAAAGGGAGCCGTCCAGGTGCAGGTGCAGCTCCGCCTTGGGCAGCCGCCGCGCGAGACTGGCAATCTCCGACGCCTTGTCCGCGGCGAGGCTTGTGGCAGCAGAGAACGCGGCGGCTGACGGCATGCGGCGGCCGACTCGCGGCTGGGGCTGGCGAGGCACTTCCAGCCGGCGAGCGACTTAGTTTCGCACTGTGCTGTGAATCTGTCTCTCACACCCTCACTGTCGTCGTATGCGAGGTTCTTGTTTTCTTATCACCCTATCTGTGAACGCTGCTGGTTGGCGTCGGTTGCGCAGCACCCCGTCCCCATCCAGGTTGTTGGTTGCTGCCCCAGGTCCCGCACTATGTAGTGCAATGCCCCGTTCTCTGGTCAAGGATCGCACACGGCAGGGGTGGCGGGACGGTTGTGGAGCGAAGTGGCAGTAGCCAGCCTCAAGCATCGATGGGATAATAAGATGAGATTACCGGACGAGAACGGGGGGAAGGACAGGCGGGCGACATTTGACGACGTCGGGGATCACAATGTGACGACCAAAACGATCTTGGGGGCCAGGGTGAGACAACAGGTCGGGGTGCCACATGGGGCGCACCACAGGCGTATTCTAGAGGGGGGAAAGAAACGGGGAATGAGGGGCCCCGCCACGAGAAGTGCGTTCTGGGGATGCAGAGCGTGCAAGGCGGCTAGGGATGAGGCCACAAAAGAGGCGCGCGAGGCAAGGAGGAGACGCGGGGAACTGAGAGACTGGGACGACTGGAAACAAGAAGACAGTGAGCCACCACAGGCGTCGTTGGCGCACATACTGAGCGGCAGCTGCGCTGGAAATAAGGAAGAGGCGCGTCACTTCATGCGGAAGCTCGACAAACACACAGCGAGGGCGACAGCAAGAGTTGAACGGGAGGCGCCGGACTCAAAAGACACCGCCACATTCCTGAGACGAGCGAGGGCAGCCTCCTTAAAGGCGAAAGGGTCTAGATTTGGAGCGCTCGCCGAAGAGGAGTACGACAAAATAGCGCCCGTGATTGCCTGCACGCTACCCGCACTCACGGACTCCATACCCGAAAGAAAGAGAAGCGCCTGTTCACGGCATGGAGGGTGAGCCACACCGAACGTACCGAGCGAAGAGCCGAGCGGAAGGAGGACGGGGAAGATGACTCCGAGGAGGACGAACCAGTGGAAATCCAGTTGTCAGATGTCACGATGCATCCGAAGGGGACCCCAGCGCCGGCATCATCCGTAGAGGCACGAGTGTTCGAAGAGAGAGTGGACCTGAGCAACAACATGACCTGTAGGCAAATGATCGGAGTGGGAGTCAGAAACGTGGTCCTTGCGCGAGGGGAGCTCGATAGACTCGAGGGGCCAGGATACGCCGCGAGGAGGACGGAGTTGCGCCGAAAGGCAAAAGAAGCCGCGAGAACAAGGGACCGGCAGGCGGCGGCGTCACAGGACGAGGCAGAAGAGAACGACGCGACAGAGGAGGAAATGACAAGGGAGAGAACGACGAGAGTGGGACGGCCGCGAGGTGGCATGAAGGTTGCAGCGAGAATCGGAGAGAGACTGCGAAGAGAGATAGGAAGAGGCAGACTCCCTAGGGTGGGCGACGGCTAGCGCACCACACACCTCTCCTTAAAATCCCTGTGTGGTGGCGGCGTGCCGTCCTCCCATCCCTCCCTTGGGTTGTCTGTTTTCTTTCTTTTTTCCTCCTACGGGAATGTACGTAAGAGCCACATACACTGAGAGAAAATCACAGCGGGAGGGGCGAGACCGACAGTGTTGCTCGTGTTCCATGTGCATGCATATGCACATGTGCATGTATGACAGGTCAGGTTAGGTAGGAAGGAAGGTGAATGAATGAAGAACAGCCAGTGCATGCACATGACATGTGCATGCACATGTGCATGCACATGCACATGACATCACCGTCGGGGAGAGGGGGGACGACACTGCTCTGGCAGCGTGCACCTCGATCCTGCACCGTGTTTGTTATGCGGTAGGTAGACAATCTACCTCCCATCTAACCGCGCCTACCCTTTCTTGGGTAATGGGTAGACCGTTTGTTATGACCCCCCCCCCCAATGAACACACCAGTGAGGGAGGGCGAGACGATCGAGGGGTCCCGTACCATGCGGAATCGACCCTATCAAGTGCTCAAGTGCTCAACAGCCAGGCAGGCTCGGACTGGACACCAACGCGGTATGGGTGGACGGAGGACGGACAGATGATGACGGCACGCACGAGCGACACACAGACACAAACAGGCTCACAAGACACACAGCCAGCTGGCTGCCACACACCCTGAGTTGGCGTACACATAACTCAGGGCCACACACATCCTCCCTGTCGTACCTGTCGCCCCCCCCAGCAGCCAGCACTCCAAGGTGCCAAGAGAACAAACAAGGGCACAACAAACAACAAACGACAGGGAATAACGTACGAGGCTAGAGCACTGCTCCGCCTCTAGCAATATCGCCGGCCGCAAGGCACGGACAATACCGGGTGAGGACAGGCAGAAAGAAAAAGAAATTGCGTAGACTGCAAATTCGGACCGGAATGCATCTCGCGATGGTCGGGCGTGTTTTCGTGTTCGCTCTTCTTCAGGCGACGTCCGCCGTGCTGCTGACCCCCTCTGCGACGCGGCCTGCGCTCGCGCCTGCGCGGTCGGCCGTTGTTGCAAAGGTTGCGAGCAAGAAGGAGCTCGCCGAGGCTGCGGCGGCCGAGCAGGAGCGCCAGCTCGCCGAGATCCTGGCCGGGACTGAGACCAGCGCCGCGCCGGCCAAGGGCAAGGGCAAGAGCAAGGCGGCGGCGCCGCCGCCACCGCCCAAGGCGGCCCCGCCGCCGCCGCCGCCCAAGGCGGAGCGTCAGGTGCCGGAGAAGAAGAGGATTGAGCGTGCCGGCCGAGGCAAGAAGGCTGAGGTCGCTCCTCCTCCTCCGCCGCCGCCGCCGCCTCCGCCGCCGCTCTCGCCCAAGGAGGCCAAATTCGTTGCTCGCCAGGAGGCTGCGGCCGCAGCGTCGGAGAAGAAGGCGGCCGCACGCGCCAAGGAGGCCGCCGCGCAGGCGCAGCAGAGCCAAAAGGCAAAGGCGGACCGCGATGCCGCAAAGGCGGAGCGGGAGGCGGTGGCGGCCAAAGCGACGGCGGCATCGCCAAAGCTGGCCGTGCCGAGCTTCTCCCTGCCCTCCATCTCCCTCCCGTCCTCGCCGTCGCCCTCAGCCTCTGCCCCGAGCGTCGGCGGCCTCGGCCCGGGTGAGACGGGGCTCGCGGCGGGCGTCGCGCTCGGCCTGCTGCCCGCGGGCGCGCTGATCGGGCTGCGCTCGTTCCTCGTCAGCGGCAAGCGGTACCGGGCGTGAGCCCACTCGCCGCCGCGGCCCTCCTCGAGAGGAGCCGCTCCGGTGTCGACGCGGCGGGACCCTCGCGGCAGGGACGGGGGGCAGGGACGCAGGGAGAGGGGCATCAGGGCCCTACTAAGGGAGGGCGCCCTCTGTGCTGGTCTGTCGGGAAGAGTCGAGTCTCGAGAAGGAGTTGAGCCATGCCATGATATACGACCCACCCTCCTCGGCAGCTTCGGCCCTTTGGCACCTCGGACCGTCATGGTTTTCTCTAGATGTTTTTTCCATATGGTGTGTGCGCGTGCCGCGCGCTTGACGTTGGTGGGCTGCACAGTGTCAGTCCGTGTTTGTGTTTGGGCTCGATCGAGGAACGTCCGAAGAGCGAAGTTTGACACGTGGCAACGTTCTCGCTCGTGTGGTCGTGCTCGTGTGTGCGACGACGCGCGCGCTGTGGCGTGCGCCCCGCGGTGTGCTCTCGAGAAGGAATGAAGTATATGCGCGCTCTGAGATCATTGCTGCTTGCAAGCGCTGCGCGCGCCTATCTCCTCGTCGCGCAGCCGCAGTCTTCCTCCACGGCCACGATGCAGCGGCCCGTAGATGCCCACCGCCTGCCAACTGCTCACCATCATCACTCTACGCGCGAATGCACCCGGGCACTTATGCCCGTCAGGCAGCAGCTGGGCGATATGAGCGGTCTTCACGCGAGGCAGACCTTCCCGTGAGGAGCCAAGATGAGAAATACCTTCCCCCCCTCGAGCCCGCCGTGTCGTAAATACACAGCCGGCACATAATGCATTCTCAGAGGCGAGTACTGCTGCGACAGGTGTCACGGTCGCACACCAACGTGCGAAGCAGCGTCTCCGCCGTGCAAATTCGACTCGAGCAGCCCCTTTTATCCGCTCGGAGCCCACAGCGATGTGTGCGAGCTCGATGCGCCCCGTGTCAAGGAGTGGGTTACCGACCGCACCACAATCTTCAAGCAGCACCTCGCCCCCACCCACGGCGCGGCCGCACTGCGGCGATGCCCATTCCTCGTCTGGACTGCAGCGCTTGGCTCTGGTCTCGCGTGTAGGGAACATCGTGCATATCCTGGCCGCGGCTGCCAACTCGTCCACGCGCGTCTTGCTCCTCACAAGGGATGAGCGCGACTCGGCGCACGCCATCTGTGAGCGCGGCCTTCACCCGGCCCTCGGCGACGGTGCACTCCCGCGAGCTCTCTCCTGTAAATGAGGTTGTGCCTTGCGACTGATGGGCCTCCCCATCGCCGACGCAGGGTCTGCTGATCCCAACAAGGCGCACGCGCCCAACGTGACGGCGCTTCGCGCAGAGCAGGAGGCGCTGCGGCAGTGGCGCAGGGGCTGGGAGCGTGCGGTGTCACACGCGATCGATGGGACCGGCTCGCACGCAATCATCAAGTTCTCCTTTGAGCAGATGAAGGCCGTGGGGCGCGAGCGCGTGCTGGCGCAGATGCTGGGGGTCCTCAACCTCGCTCCAAAGCGCCCGTTTGTCGACGTGCCTCGCCGGCTCGTGAACAAGACGGACGCCGCGTGCGATCAAGTGGCGCACCGTACGACCGACGGGTAGGATCGCCGCGCAGCGGCGGCGGGCGGTGGGACTGGGGGGGGGGGGTCATCGAGGGCCATTGTCTCGAAACTCAGGTGTTGAGGATCTTCGTCATCACACGCATGCCCCTCCGTTGGGATTGCCATCAGTCAATACATGTAATTTTACTGATGTCAAAGAACTCATGAGCGCATTGCATCAATGTTTTGCCACGCTCGATCCGGATCCATCCCCAGCGATCCCCCCCCCCGCCCAGGCGGGTCCCCACCCGCACCCCGCATCCCCACCCATCCCCACCCATCCCTAGCCATCCCCAGCCATCCCCAGCCATCCCCGTACGGGCTGGTTCAGAAGTCAGGCGGGGGCGGTGTGGGGGCGGCGGAGCCGGTGGCGGACGTGCGCGGCGTGCCCTCCTCGAGCTCCTCGTCGTCGCCAAAGTCACGTGTGCAGTACGACGACCAAGCCACGCTCCAGCTCGGGCAAGAACTTGACGGCCTTCTTGAGGCAGCTCGTCTGAACTGGGTGGACCACGGCATACTTGGGCAGCTGCGCCGCCAGCCACGCCTTGATGCCCTGCGCGAGGAAGGTGAGCGCCGCATATCGTCCTTGACAGAGAACAGGTAGCACGCCAGCAGCCGGCCGCCCTGCTTGCCCGTGACGCCGACGCTCTCGTCGTCCTCGTGGTCCTCGGTGTCGATGTCAGAGCCGAGCAGCTTGCTCACGATGGCCTTGGGCTCGAGCTCTGGGTAGCGCGTCGCGATCACCTGCGAGCACGTGTGTGCAGCTGAGGGCGCGTGTGCGTGTGTGTGCCTGACGCATGCGCGCAGGCGCGCGAAGAAGGTACTTCACAACTTTGACGTACAACATGTACATGTACATGCACAGCTGAGAGCGTGCGGCCGACGTATCCCGCTGATCCCCGAGGTCCCCACCCATCCCCACCCATCCCCACCCATCCCCACCCATCCCCACCCATCCCCACCCATCCCCACCCATCCCCAGCTCGCTCTATCACACACCCCAAGAGCCCTTGGGGAAATCCGTTCGCCTACGCTCCGAGGCGAAGATCGTGAAAAGAAAAATCGTCGCCACCGACAAATCTCCAGCAATGGTGTTTGGGGTCGCCGTAATTCATGCCGTAATCGGCCTCATCGTGCCAACACCGCCGGCCATTGTCCGCGCCGCGTCCGCTTCTCAGTCAGCTTCGCTGGCATTCCCGTCGGCTCAGTCAGCCTCGCTGGCATTCCCGTCGCTCTCGCTCGCCGCCGGCGCTCTCGGCTTCGTGCCTCAGGGTGAGGTCTACAAGGGCAGTGTTGAGGACGTCTCTCTCACATCGATGCTGGATGACGTGCCCGCACCGGGCGCCGGATCGAAGAAGCGCGATGCGGACGCTATCGCTCGCGATGCCGCCGGCGTCGCGCGGATGAAGGCCAAGGCTGCGAGTGCCGAGGGCGCGGTCTCCACCGACTTTTCGACGATGACAGCAAAGGAGGCGGCCGCCGCCAAGCGCGCCGCGTTTGAGGCCAAGCAGGCGTCGGCGGAGCCACTGTCGCTGCCCTCCCTGCCGAAGCTGTTCTGATGGCGAGATTGGGTCGCGCCTGAACTGCGAGCCCAATGCTCCTTCTCTTCGTGCTAGGCGGCACACTTACGGTTGAGGATGAAACCGGCTCTATCTAGACAAGAGCACCGACATGTACTAAGAAACCACGCGCATATATGTGTTTGTGCCGCCGGTCCGCACGCGGCGGGCGACGCGGGCGGTGGGCCGACGGCGGACCCGGGACGTGACCGGTGACGGGCGCCGAGCCGCCGACCCGAGACACATCCTGCGCGCGGCCGCCCTCGTAGCCGAGGTCCGTCTCTCTCTCTCTCTCTCTCTCTCTCTCTCTCTCTCTCTCTCTCTCTCTCTCTCTCTCTCTCTCTCTCTCTCTCTCTCTCTCTCTCTCCCTCTCTCTCTCTCTCTCTCTTCTCGAGCTCATCTCACTGCAAGCGCGTACACGTCTGCCTCTCTCGCGAGCGCAAACTCGCCCGACGCGCTCACCCCGTCGCCCGCCTCGGAGACCACGGCCCGCCGCAGCGTCGCCCCACGCGGCAGGACGACGCAGCACGCCGCGGCGACTGGCACCCAGATCTGCGGCAGCAGCCGCGCCGCCCAGCCGAGGCTATCGAGGGAGAGGCGCAGCTCGGGCGTGTCCCACAGCAGGCAGGATCGCCCGCTGCCGGCAGACGCGGCCTCTTCGAGCAAGGTGCCGTCCGCCTCCACCGAGCCGGGCCGCAGCCCTGTGCGGAGAGTGTACTCCACCGGGCCCGCCACAGCACCCGGCCCTCCCTCTCGGCCGCGCACCTCGAAGCTCTGGAGCCGGCCCTGCAGCACGAGCTTGCCGCCCTTGCCGACAGATACGCCCGTGCACGCAGAGCGAGGCAGCCGCGCCGGGCTGCTGCTCCCGTCCGGGTTGAGCGACGCGAGCATGCCTGGTGGGTGGGGCAGAGCGGAACCAGTGAGCGACTTGGAGTGCGTACGTGAGTATAGCGGTCGAGTGCGTGTTTGTGCGTCCTGTGTGCGTGCGCGTGAGGCGGAGGCTTGGCCGCGCGCCAGGCAGCGAGGAGCGGCCGATGCCGTCGAGGACGAGGCCGAGCATCCACCGCCACAGACCGCGGTTGAGCTGGTCGCTGGTCGCAAACGCCTCCCACTCGAGCGCGCCAGATCCGGTGTTGGGAAGCCGAACCCACGCCAGCAGCAGGAGAGGGAGGAGCATCGGCCTGGCAAAGGCCAGCCACAGCGGCGCCAGCAGAAGCGCCGGGGCCTTCCAGCCGAGCTCGACATCGCGGCCGGACAGCGTCGCCGCCTGCAGCGGCAGCAGCACGCGGTCGGAATCCGTCGGGGTCGCCGTCAGCTGAAAGTCGAGGCGGCCGAAACCGAGCGGGGCGAGCGGAGTCCGTGACGCGCCTGAGATCTGAACATCGACGCGCGCTCCGATGAGGAGGCCAGCCAAGCGTGCGTAGGCCGGGATGAGCATGCTACGAGGCGAGCAGCGGCGAGCAGCGGCAACGTATGCGGAGCGGCCGAGGCGCGAAGCAGTGGCGCGAAGGCCGCCTCTTTTTTCTCGAGGATCGGAGGGATCTATTGAAGGGTGCGCTTCATAGCTCCCCGGCCCTGGATGTGAGGTTGATGACTGCACTCCAAGTGCTCCAAGGGAGGGCTTTGAAAAGGTCACGTCCAAGTCTACGTCAGCGAGGGCCACCTCGGGTCCTCCTCCGCCCAGCGGCGGATCATGTGGTGTGCAATCGCCAGCGGGGGCGGGGTCCTCAGGCCGCCCTCCCCTCCTCCCGGCGGCGCCGCGCTCGAGCGCAGCATCTGCCGCGCCTCCTCCCGCGAGAACCAGCGGGCGTCCTCGAGCTCGCCCGGGCTGCCGTCGCCGTTGGCCACGCGGATCGCCTCCGCCTCGGGCGCAGAGTCGGCGCGAGCCGCGCACGCGAGCATCAGCTCGCAGTGGTTGCCGCGGCCGCACGGCCAGGGCTGGGACGCGACGAGGGCGACGCTGCCGCAGACCACGCCCGTCTCCTCGTGCACCTCCCGCGCCGCCGCCGCCTCTGCGCTCTCTGCGTGCTCCACGAAGCCAGAGATGCAGGTGTAGAAGCCGGCCGGGTACCGCGACTGCCGGCCGAGGAGGCACCGGGAGCCGTCCGCCGACTCGACGAGGACAATCGCGACCGGGTCGACGCGCGGGTACAGGGTCCGCCCCGAGGCGAGCTTGCGGCGGCGGCCCTCCTCCGCAAGCGCAGTCGGGCTGCCGTCTGTCCCGCTGAAGGCGGCGGAGCGGTGCCACGCCAGCAGCGATACGGCGCTGATAGCCGCGCTCGCCTCCTCCTCGCTCGCCTTGCGCTGAGCGACGAGGCCGAACAGCTCACGCGGGGCGCGCCACGACGCGTCCCTGCCGCCAAGGAGCGCCTCCACCGCGCTGTCCTCGGGAAGGTCGACCGCGTCGAGCATCGGCGCCGCCCGCACGGCGAGAGCGAGCGGAGGGAGGGCGAGGGACTCACTGGGCGCGACGTAGATGATCCCGCCCGCATCGCACGGCACTTTGCCTCCAATAACGAGCAGCGTGCGGCGGGCGGCCGTGGCGAGCGGAGGCGTGCACGAAGGCACCCGCCAGCTGCTCGTGAACCAGCCCCAGGTGAGCATGAGTTGGGGTGGGCGTGGAGCAAAACGCAGTTTTTTCCGCCCTGTGTGTCTTTTCTTCTTTACACACAATCGCTGTCGTGGCATCGCTTGTCATGTGAGACCGTGCGCGATCCTTCTTCTTCTAACGCGGAAAATGGCGGCCGCTGCTGCCACGACGATAACGTCTCAGCACCTCGACGACGAGGCGCAGAGCGCGCTTCGCCGCATCGAGGCGTGGCTCCAGCGCGAGGAGCGTGCGGCGCGGCCGCCGCCGGCCGACGACGCCGCGACCGTCTTTGCGGTGTCCGACGGAGGCCTCGCGGAGGATGCGATGGAGCTGCGCGCGTACCCGGCCCACGGCGCACCCGAGGGCGCGGCGGCCGCGACGCGCACTGCCGCACAGCTCGAGGCGCTGGTGCTGCAGGCCGAGCGCCACACCGCTCGCAGCTCGCTTGCGGCCGACGCCGGCGCGGCGCGCTGGCTCGCGGCGCAGGCGCAGGCGGCGAGCGGGCTGGCGGAGATGGCTGGCGCCGCGCGCGTGGCGCTCGCGGCCGGGGCGGCGCGTGCGGCGGCCGCGCGACGCGAGGCCACGCCCGTGCTGGATGCGTTTGAGACGGCGGCGGCGGAGCAGGCGCGAGCGGCGGCCGTCGCCGCGGCGCACGAGGCACAGATGAGGCCCATCGAGGCGGCGCGCGCGGTTGGCACGGCGCTGGACGAGTCGCTCGCCACGGTGCGGGGCGGCGGCCCCATGCACTCCGCCTCCCACCCCCTCGTCGCCGCGCTCGCCACGCTGGACGGGGCGATCTCGCACGTCGACTCGCACCCCGAGCTGCAGTCCGCCTCGCTGCGCGCCGAGCTGCACGCGCTCCGCTGCCGGGCGCTGCGCGCCGTGAGCGTGCAGCACGTCGCAAAGCCGCTCGACTCCGCCGTGGAGAAGGTTCTCCTCGAGGGGCGCAGAGCCGCAGCCGCAGCCGCAGCCGCAGCCGCGGCGCCCGCAGCCGCCGCGGCGCCTGCAGCCGCCGCCGCGGAGCCGGGAGGTCGACCCCACGCCTCGCATCCCGCCTCGGATCCCGCCTCCGCCTCGGCCGCCCCGCCGCCGGCCGTTTTGCAGCCCGGCAAGGCTGCGGCCAAGGCTGCGGCGGAGGCGACAGCTCACCCCACTCTGGTGCCGGCACGAGAGGTAGCAGGCAGCTGTCGATGACACGTCCGCGACACGTCTCTTCAGGCGGAGCTTATCTTCGTGCGGCTGGCGGCCTCGCTCCGGCCCTGGATCGAGGAGCTCGAGGCTCGGGCGGCGGAGCACCAAGACTACGCCGCAATCATGGCCGACGCGCGCGCCTCATACTGGCGCTGTCGCCACGCGCTCGCCGCGGCCGAGCTCGCCGCCCGCCTGGCCGGCATCGCGCGCGACGAGGCGGGCGGCGCGGACCACGCGATCCGGCGCTGCTGCGGAGAGGCGATGCTCGCCGCCGCGTCAGAGGCCAAGCTCCACGCCGCCTTCTTCTCCCCGCCGCCGCCGACGCCCACGCGCCGCAGCTCCTTCGTCGCGCAGCCGTCCGCAGCAGCGAGCGGCGTCACGGCATATGCAGCAGCGAGCAGCGTCACGGCTTACTCGGCCACGGAGGGCGGCGGCGAGGCGGGGGGCGGCGGCGGCGGCGGCAGAAGAGGGAGCGGCAGCGTGGAGGCTGCCCTCGAAGGGGTCTGCTACGGCCTCTCGGATGCGGTGCGACCGCTGCTGCTCCGGCAGGCGAGCGCGGCTCACTCTGCGGCATCGCACCAGACTCTGCGACATCTCGCCACATCCTCGAGCGTGGACTCGCACCCAGACAGGCAGCAGATCGCATCCGTGCATGGAGTGCCTGCCTCCGTTGCATCAGGCGAGCGTGGACTCGCTCTGCGACATCGTCGCCGTCCTCGACTCCGAGGCTTCCCCCCTCCCTCTCCCCGCTCCACCCGCCCCCGCCCCCCCCCCCCACCTCCCCAGCTCACCCCTCACGCCGCCCGGCTCCCCCACCTCGAGGCGCTCGCCGAGGCGGTCCGCACTCGGGCGGGGGGCGGCACGGCTGCGGCGGCCGGCGCGGCGATGCAGCGGCTGCTCACTCGGTGCCGTTGCGGCGCTGGTGCGAGCGGCCGTGTCGCGGACACGTCCACGACGCGTCCACGAGACGTCCCGTAGGCTGCTCGGCGATGCGCGCGAGCGGCTCACCTTTCGGCTGCAGGCGTGCGTGCGGGACCAGATCCGGCAGTACAGCCACGCCGCACCGGCGGCGCGCGCGTCGCTGCGTCTCATCTCTGGCGACGAGCGCGGCGGCGGCGGCGAGGGTTCGGCCCCCGGGAGGCGGTGGTACCCGACGGTGGAGCTTGGGCTCGACCTGCTCGGCAAGGCGCACTCCAGCACTCCATGGAGTGACGCATCTAGACCCGCGCAGTGGAGTCGGTTGACTAGCCCAGGGCGTGTTCCCAGGCGTACGCATCGCTTCCGCGGCGCGTCTTTGACGGCCTTTCTCAGGAGGTGCTCGAGGCGTGCACGGCCTCCCTCCTCGCCGCCGCGCGCGACTTGCCGGACGGCGGCAGCTCGCTCGACGCGAGCTTGCTGCTCGTCTCGCAGCTGCTCGTCCTGCGCGAGCAGATCGCGCCGTTCGACGGCGCCGCCGCCCCCTCGGCCCGCTGCCCAGCCGTTGGGAATTCGACACCCTTACCCATCCCCGGTTCGCGCAGGCGCCTTTGCCGTCACCACAAAGGCGCTCGATTTCTCCACCACGCGGGCGATGATCCGGCAGCTCGCTGGCGCGCGCGGGTCGCTCTCCGCTGTCGGCGCCGTGGTCGGCTTGCTCCAGCGCGCCGCGCCGGCCGTCGTCGAGTCACAGTCCGACGCGAAGGGCTCCCTCGAGCGCGAGTTGAAGCGGGCGTGCGAGGCCTTCATCGCAGACGCAACCACGCCCGTCACGAGGCCACTCCTCGCGCTGCTGCCCGGCTCGGCTGCCGGAGGCCGCGCCGCCGCCGCTCGGCCCGTCCCCGCCGCCTCTGCGGCGGCGCGGCCGCCGCCGCCGTCGGCAGCGGCGGTGGGCGCGGCCCTCACCCGCGCCGAGGCGGCGCTCGACACGCGCGTGCGCGCCGCCTACGTGCGCATGTGCGGCTACCTGCACGAGCCGGCCACGCGCGCCATCCTGTACGGCCCCGTCAAAGGAGCGGTGCTCGACGCGTGCGGACAGCTGCAGACGCTGCTGCACGCCACGGGCCAGGCAGAGGAGTATGAGCCCCGCCTCCGTGCGCTCGCGGCTAAGCTCGAGGCGATCGAGGCGGCCCCCTCACAACCAGCCGCAGAGGCGCCGCCGCCGCCGCAGGCGGCGCCAATCCCCGAGGAGGCGGGAGAGTGAGAGTTGCGAATGATATCATAACGAGACGCGAGAGCGTCTGTGGCATGTGGACACGTGGCGATCGCTAGCCGCTTCCTCGAGCACAGGTCGTCGGCGCGCCACAGGCGCGCCGGCGCAGCCTGTGAATCAGCCTGTGTCGGTTGTGGGGACGGTGGATATGTGTGTGTGTTCGACTTGCCCGCGCGACTCTTGATTGCTTTTGCGCGTCGGTACACGTCGCACGGTTGGACGGTTGTGGCGTGCGGACTGCGGAGTGGTGCGCGCCCCTGCGCGCCGCGGTGGTTTTTTGCCCGAGGTTCATGAAACGGTATTAGCTTTTTGTACGACGCTCACATGTGCGTGTGCATGTGACAAACATACGCGATGGTCCGGTGAATGGAGGGGGTGAAGAGTTATAGATACAGAGGCTGAGACCAGAGGCTGCTGACTGCGTGCGCGCCGCCGCCCGCGCGCCCGCCCCCCCACCCACCGAGCACGACCCAGCTCCAAGGAAGCTGCTCGCTGGCAGAGAAGGAAGCAACGACTAGATCTTCGAGGACACTCGCTGAAGGTTGGCCTGAAAGTAGGGCGGGGGCGAAGACGGTTCCGCGGGCTCCCCCTCATCCTCCTCGCCCAGCGAGGTTGTGGCGGCGAAGCTCGAGCGGGCGGGCGTCGGCGGCACTGGCGTTGCCACTGCGACAGGGACGCCGGTGACGGCGATGCCCTCCGACGTTCGCGGCGTGGCAGCTGCGGCAAACGCGTCACCCGCATGCGTCGGGAGCGTGACCGAGAGCGCGTTTGCTGCTCTGTAGCAGTAGACGGCCTGCGCAATCTCAGCCAGCGCGCACCAGAACAGGACGACAGATGACACGGCAAGGAGGAGCCAGCCGAGCCCGTCCCACCATTCCGTGTCCGCGCAGTAGCCACCGTCGCCGTCCGAGACCCAAATGACACATTGGTCCGAGAAGAAGGCAAGGCTCAGATAGGCATAGCACAGGACGAAGAGGTGCATGCACGCCGCAAGGAGCGTCAGCGTGCCAATGGCGACAAAGAAACCGCGCGTCGGCGTCTTCGCGCTGGGGTTGGTGCTGTGGATGAGGATTGAAGCTGCGAGGACGCCTCCGATGCCGCCCACCACCACAGGCCAGTACAGGAAGACCTGCGGGATGGTCAAGATGGCGAGGCAGAGAACGGTCGAGGCCGTGCGGCGAGCCTTGGCAACCTATGAGCAGGGCCGGGCGAGTCAGGAGGTGGGTCCGGCGGGGTGGCGGGAGGTGGCGGGGTTCTTAGGGTAGTATTGGCGATGGGGCGGCGCGCGCCTCGGGAAACGCGTTGTTTGGCATGTTTTGCCGGCGCCGCCTGTGCGCGATACGAGCGCTTTTGTGTCGCCTCCTGACCTCGTCGCAAGGACGCTATTGTGAAAACGCCGATTTTCAGAAAAAAATGCTTAGCAGCCCACGCCGGGAAGGAAGGCGCGCGGTAAGTTCGGAACCTCCGACCCTACCACCCCCTTCCCTCCCTCCCTGCCTGAGAGCCTGGGATGCTGAGCATCAGAAAGGCACTCCCAACCAGCCTTGCTTGCTTGCTGGGCTTCCAGAAGGGCCGTTGTTGCCGGGTTCGCACCTCCCAGTGCACACGAAATGAATCTCGAGGTCTCAGATGACGCTCGCTTTTCGAGAGGAGCAGTGCAGTGCCGAGAGCGATATGGCAGCGACAGCTCTCAGCTGGCTCGGTAGCTGGGCCATCAGTGCCCACATCAAAGACCGCGTTCAGTCCTACACCCGCCGCACGTGGAAAAAGGCCCTGCGCGGGACGCTGGAAGAGTACTGCGAAGACTACGAGTGGGACGCCGACAATGAGATGAGCGACACCGTCGTCATCGTCAAGGACGCCAAGCTTCGGCCGCACGTGATCGATCAGCTTCTGCGCAGCCTCGGCGTGCGCGCCGACGCGGCCACCGTCGGCAGCGTCCGACTCTGCCTCTCGGTCGGCCTCGATCTCGATGTCGGTCTCTTCTCCAAGCCTTGGCGCGTCGAGGTTCAGGACCTGAAGCTAGAGCTCGAGCTGGGGGCCGCGCCGGCGGGGGACGAGGCTGAGGACACGGCCGAGGCAGCGGGCTCGGCGCCTTCACCCGACTCCTCGCCGCAGCGGAGCTCAAGTTCCTCCTCGAAGAGGAGCTCCTCCTCCGAGGATTGGCTGCCTCTGCACCGCGCGGCCGAGAACCTGCAGTTGTCGCTCCGCAACACGGTGGTGGTGCTGCGCGGGCTGGAGCCGGGCAGGTGCCTGGTCATTCGGCTCGAGCAGGTCGGCTCACACCTGTGTGCTGTGTCACGGACGAGACATGCCTTACCCGACCTCTGCTTGAGCAGGCGACCCTGTCCACTACCGACAGCGAGTGGGCGCCCATCCAAAAGGTCGCCGCGGACGCCGTGGACGACGGCTCGGTCCTGCACAAGGAGGTCAGCTTCTTCGGCCTTGACGTGCAGCTGCAGCGCGCGCAGGAAGCAGAGGTGGACTCGTGGGAGCGATCGTGGCTTGGGGAGGGTGGCGACGAGGCGGATGGCCGGGCGAGCGGCGTCAAGGAGGGCGGCGAGGGGAGGGTGGCGGTGGAGATACCGACGGCGGTGGCGGGGAGGGTGGCGGTGGGGATGGCGATAGGCGACAGGGCGAGAGCGCCCCTCCTGTCGCCGCCGCCGCCCGTGCAGCAGCTGGTAGCGGTGAGCGGTCTGCGGGGCAGGATGCGGATCAAGAAGCGGCTGAAGCGTGACCTGACCGGCAGCGTCGCTTCCGACTGGTGGGGGGATGAGTACCTCTTCCTGCTGAGCGCGGCGTCGGACGGCGTGCCACGGCTGCAGCTCACGGGCGTGCTGCTGCGGCTCAAGTGGTCGGAGGAGCTCGTTTGCACCCCCCCGGCACTCTCTGGGGGCCTTCGCGGAGCCTCCTCAGAGCTGTCCTGTAGGAGATCGAGGAGTATGTGCTCAACCACGAGAAGACGGCGCAGCTCTCGGTCGGCCACTCCCTCGACGCGACGCTGCTGGCAGAGCTTAGCCCGTGTGGTAGCGGCACTCGGAGCGTCCCTTCTCTTCACACGCGTCTCGGTGTGAACAGGCGGAGCTCAACACTTGGTCGCGACAGATCCTGCAGGCATATGCGGAGGTCGCGCCGTCGGCAGAGACGAGGCTCGCCATCGAGCAGCGGCGGCGCGCGGAGGAGCACGAGAAGCTCGTGCATGTGACCCGCTCGCTGCGGGCCGCGCGGCAGATACTCGAGGACTGGCAGGTGCCTATCGCCTGTGCTACCCCCCACACACTACACACAGTGTACTGCACGGCGCATCCTGCCCCATGTCAAAACTCTAGTGCACCCTCGGCAGGCGACCTTGCACGCCGGGTGGGAGCTGCGACCTGTGAACGGCGTCTCTTCACGTTGGGCAGCCGTGTGCATAGGCGACCGCGAGCGCAAAGCTGGACGAGGCGGCGCGCATCGCCGCCGAGGTGGCGATCAAGCAGCACTCCCAGAGCCAGCGCGTGCGCGCGAGGCGCGTGCACGACGCCGGCACCGTCTCTCACCGTAAACAGCGCCTCTTCACACCCTTCGGCGTGTGTGAGCAGGCAGATGCTCGAGGCGCTCGAGGCGCGGGTGGCGCAGCAGGCGCCGCCGGCGGAGGTAGTGGCGGCCGCGCTCGAGGCGCTGAGAGAGCTGGCAGGGCAGCCCGTGCTGCCGCCGCGAGCCCCGTTTGAGGGCGGCTACAAGCTCGGCGACGCGAGCCGCGCCACGGCAGCGGTGGCCGCGGGCGGGGTGGAGTCCGTCGTGCGCACGGCCACGGGCAACAGCGGCTACAAGTTTGGCGACGGCACGCGCGCCGCGATGAAGTGGATGGGCGGCGGCTCCTCTTAGTGAGCTCCACGCTACGGGGCTTTCCTGCGGGCGGGTGGGTTTACTCTCCGATGACGTTTGTGTGTTTGTGTTTTCGAGGCACATGGCATGTGCATGTGCATGTATCACGGAGTCTGTTTTCTTTTTCTTAGAAAGGCACCCGGAGGCACCCACCTGGCGAGTACAGACCACGCCTCAGCCCTCACTTTTCACAGGGGGGGAACCGTCTGGATAGCAACTGGTCTGCTTTTTTTCGCTGCACATTGCTGTCGTGAAGCTTGTGCTGTGAATAGCAGGCCTAGGCGTGGTCTGTACTCGCCAGGAGGCACACCCTTGTGCTAGTGCCAGTGTAGTTTATTTTTGCTTGGGCGGCAGCCATGCCGGGGTAGCTAGGGTAGGTCTGGGCCCTCCCGTCGGGTTTTCCCCTCTCTTCGCCACGCCGGAATTTTCACGGCAGAAAAAGAAATTTTCCGCAAATCACGATGTCAACCCTCCCCAAGTGGGTGATCTGGTGCTTGTAGGGCTTGAGAGTGGCCTGTCATGTCTCAGGAAGGACTGTGGTTGCAGGAGAGTACCACCAACCATCACTTTAGTTGGTAATAGACTATAGTACCCCACCTTCACCCGCCCATGATTTCTTTTTTAGTTTCCCATAAGTAGGGTAGGTAGGTAGGTAGGTAGGTAGGTAGGTAGGGGCAGGGCAGGGGGCGGCCAGGTTTTTCCAGAATTTCAGCATGGCTGCCGCCCAAGCAAAAATAAACTGCACCTGGCGTGGCTGTGTTTTAAAGAAAGATAGAACGAAAAAGACAAACCAAATTAAACGAGGGATGGGAGGAGGACAAGGTGTTACGAGCAGGATCTTGTAAGGATTGTAAGGACGATGGCTGTGTTTTATACAGTTCCACCGCAAATTCTTTTTGGTTGTGAAGACCACTCCTACGCTCGCCGTCTCGCTCGTCGCCTGCAGGCTCACATAAACGCACAACGACGGCGCCTGCAGGCTCACACGTCGACACGCACGCGTCACGCAGAAGCGGGATGAGACATACGTGTACCCTGCTGCTCTGCTCACTCGTTTGCGTCGCGGCGGCTGCGATCCCGCCAGCCACCCTCCGCTCTTGGCCACTTCCCGGCAGCGGTGGCAGTATTCGTCTCCGCTCCTCCGAGCAGCGGTTTGACCGCTCTCGCGAGGTCACGGGCGACAGCGTGTGGGCCGGCACGATGTGCCTGTTGCAGTGGCTGAGCGAGCCTCAGAACCGAGGCCTGTTCGAGGGCAAGTCGGTGTTGGAGCTCGGCAGCGGCACTGGCATCATCGGACTCAGCCTGGCGCAGATGGGCGCACGCCGCGTCGTGTTGACCGACTTGGAGCAGCAGCTCCCGCTGCTTCGCTCCAACATTGCATTCAACGAGGACGACCACGCTGGCTGCCTCGTCAGCGCGGCGGCACTGCCGTGGGGGGAGCGGCCGACGGGCGCTCTTGCGCGGGAGCGCTTTGACCTCATCCTCGGCTGCGAGGTGACGTACATCGACGCTCTGCTCGAGCCGCTCGCGTGCACCACCGCCGCCCTCCTGCTCGACCCGCCGGACGCGTCTCCTTCTCCGCCGCCGGTGGCGCTGTTCGCCGCCGCGCGCCACCGAGCGTTTGCCTCCGTCCCGGACCACGCACACACTTTTGTGCACGACCTGCTGGAGGCGCGTCACGGGCTCCACTCCAGGCTCGTTGGGAGCGTCGAGCGGCCGGCGGAGGTGGTGGGCGCGGACTTCTTCGCCGGCGCACAAGAGGCGGAGAGGGCCATGCCAGTGAGTTTCTTTCGAGTATCGAGCCAGCGGGACGAGGTGTACGCGGGGTTCGGCGGCGGCGCCGTTTAGGGGCGGTTTTTCTTTTTCTTTGAGTGCCGCCGACGACTCAGGACTGGCGGGCGGTGAGCGACGCACGTTGGAACTCAAGCTGCACGTTGCGCTCCAGGATAGCCAAATTGCGGTTAAATTTGCTCATATGGCGTGCACTCGCCTCCTCAGCGAGTGCACGCAGTGGTGGGTCGAGCCTTTGATCGCGTCGGTGTCTTTCACCGCGTGGATGAACCTCTTTGCGCTCTTCGAGAAGGAGAGCAGCAGCGCGTTCGTTCAGCGACTCCTCGCCGTCGTGCAGGCGGATATGCCCGTGCTCTGTTCCTACTGGGCGGGCGTGTACGCGTGGATCGCACTCGTGGATCCTCCGGCTGGGGTCGAGAGCGGCTGTCCCGAAAGCCCGTCTGACTCGCTTCTGCTCTTTGCAGAGACCGCTGGAGGGCTGGTGGCTTATGACTTTCTCTTCTTTTGGCTGCACCTGGCTATGCACTGCTGGCCCTGGTTCGGCCGACTCCTCGATCACGCGCGGCATCACGATCGTGACGACACCGGCGCATCGGTGCAGGCGCAGGGCTCGGCCTTTCGGACGGTGCGGCACTCCTTCGTCGACGGCGCGCTGCAGGTGTTCGTCAACATTTGCGTGCAGCGGCACACGGTATGGGGCTCGCCGAAGAGCCGCCTCGCTCGCTGGCTGCACAACATCCTCGTCACCATGCTGCTCAGCGAGGTCCGAATGCAGCCGAGAGCACTGCCCGGTCGCGGGATCTTACCGGCGGATCTGCCTGCAGGCGCACTCCACGGGCTCGCTGCGCATCGCCCGCCGGCTGCCCGTCGCGCTGGTTCGTGGCGTGCACGAGCACCACCTTCATCACCGCCACCGCGGCCTCCCCTTCCAGCAGTTCTTCTCGTACCTCGACGACGCGACGCTACGATTCGTGCGCTTGAGGGCAAACGCCGAGTAACATTTTCTCATGCATCTCCACCCCAAAACGAGACCGGCACGCGAACTGGCAAAGACTGTGCTCTCTGACTCTGTGGCGCGCTCATCTCGCATATCCGGACCAAACACACACCGCCATTACGGCATTAGAGCTCTCCACCTCCCCTCCCCTCCCCTCCCCTCCCTCCCTTGGTCATCAACACCCCCAGTTTTTTTCACACATTCTCTCCTTAGTTTCTAATTTCCTAGCACGCGCCAGTTCGCACCTGTGTCGAGCCTGTCTGCTGTGAGAGAGAGTTGTTTTGTTTAAGTTCTAATTTCCTGATCACTAATAGCGAAGAGTTAGAGCCAAAACAGCGCCTAGTCGCGGGCTGCGCTGCCCGTGACTGCATTCGCACATGCGCGGCCTCCGCCTCCGCCTCCTTCCTCTCCTCGGACTCGTCAACCCTGTAGCTGCTCTCCGAGCGCCAGGCGTGCGTGCGGCGCCCTTTTCCTGTCTAGAGGGGCCTGGGACCTAGATGCACCAGCAGAGGCACGGCAGCACGTAGCATAGCACGAGGGGTTGGCACAGCAGAAATTGGACATCACCGACGCAGTGGTGAGGTAGGTTCGTGCCACAAGGGCTGTTGTTCGACTTCACCCTCGCACAGCTCAAGCACAACAAGCTTGGCGGCATCCCGGGCGGGCATGCAGTCGAGTGCACCGTGAAAGACAGCGAATGGCCTTCGGATGTCCTTTTGAATGACCCAAGCCAGACATGCGATTGTGGCTGCGGCTGCAAATGCGACAACTTTGCAGATGTGGAGCCGAACGCACCGGATGAGCTGCGCTTTACGGGCGGTGAAAACACCGGGCAGTTTTTCACGGGTGTGCCAGGCGAATCCTTTCCGGTCGACCTTGTCCTGACCAACAAGACCTTGTACAAGCCGTGGACGTCAGCAGGCAACGGCAGGGGCTACGCCCATGATGGCAGCCAGTCCGGAGCCATCGCCTTTGAGTACAGCTTTGGCGATATCTCGATGGCGGCGAACACGGAGACGGTCTTCAACATAAAGGCTTACAGAACAGACGATCCAAAGGTGTTGGTTGATGCGACGATATACGACGCGGAGCTCTGCTTCTTTGACATAGACTTTGGCAAGTCGGCAGCTGGCTTTCCAGACGGGCAGCTTCACGAAACGATCCAGGTGTGCAATAATGCAAACCACTTTTTTCAGGGCAAGCCTCCCGACCGCGAGAAGAGCGCAGACCAGCTCTACCTCGACTGGTTTGTGCCCCCGCTTTGCAACTTCGGGTACCCTGACGGAATCCCCCGACCGGCAGACCGCTGTTGCCTCGAGGACAGCCGTCTGGTGTGTATCGAGAGTGAGACTGAGGAACCTGCGTCTATAGGCGCCGCCAGACGTGAGCGACTACCTCGACATACAGGAGAGCAGTTCGGCGCTCCTCGACGGAGAGGAGTCGAACTGCGTTACAGTCTCGGCCAAGAAGATTGGCAAGGGCGGCGATAATCCGGTCCGCCCAATGTAGTCGGGAGGGCGGGACGAGAGCACATGGACTGGGATAACGCGATACAGGAGTCTCCCCTCGTCCAGCTTGCCCCCCCCCCCCTTTCACGCAGTTCCACCCGCTCGATGTTCTGCTGCGAAACTGCTCCGAGTTCAACCTTTGCCCAAGAAACTATACAAACTATCCTGAGCAGTCCGACTATACGTGTACTCCGGGCGAGTTCTACCCGGCTGCGGGCATCTTTGACTTTAATCACGCCAATGTGAACACGGGCTTGGTCCTCAAGCCGATGCGGTCACGGCAGGGTCAGCGCGATGCTTAGAGCAGCTCGTCAGCATGAGACACTCTCTTGTGGGTAGGGACACGGTTCCAAAGTTCATCTGCTTTGCGTACGACCAGATCGAAAACAGCAAAGGGACGCCGAGGGCTCGGGTCAGAATGTGGTCAATAGGGATCGAGCCGTCACCACACCTCTGCATCCTAGTAGGCTGGACTTCAAGCTCAAGGTCGGCGATTCAAAAACCGGTCTGTATGGCCGCAACTTTGTCTTTTCGGGTGAGGTTCGGCCCAGTTGCGTCCCTGACCCGACGCCTGTCGACGATGACGACGAGTCGACCTCCCCGCCGCCGCCGCCTCCGCCCTCGCCGCCGCCGCCGCCGACACCGACGATTGAGAAGGACCCGCACCTCCACTTTGCACACGGTGGCAACGCTGACTTTCGTGGTGGAGCGGGCAAGCTGTACTCCTTCTTCTCGGCGCCCGGCTTCGCTGTCAACCTGCGGACCGAAGAGGCGGTGTTTTCACTCCACCACGGCAGGCGGCGTCCCCCACCCCTCCGGAGCACACAGCCGCCCGACTCACCCGCCACGTTCGCATTCGGCGTCGCCGCTGCTACAGGCTCACCGTGAATGGCACATTCGTCACCGAGGCCCACGTGGTGGCACACACCGGGAGAGAATGGGCGCAGTGGGCCAACTTCTCGTACTGGGCCTCCGAACTGGAGGAAAACAACTGGGGTTGGCGCAACGTCAACGGCACCTGCGACGGCTTCTACATCCAGCTCGGCCGCGGCGGGTACAAGAAGTGCGGCGCACTCACGATCAAAGTCAACATGGCGACTGCCTCCTTCTCGTGTCGCGGTTGGACGGTGCAGGTGTCGGGCCGGCCGGTCTACAACCGAATCGCCGGGCCGCACCACCGGCTGGACATTGGCTTCGCGGCGGAGGGCAGCCAGTCGACGCGCGATCTACCGCACGGCATCGTCGGGCAATCCTTCTCTTCTATGGAGCCCCGAGGCGGCAAGCTAGACGTGTACCCGGAGGAGGGCGAGTACACCACCTCGGCGATGGCAGAGGGCGCTATCGACGGCTCCGCCGCCTCGTACGAGGTCTCGTCACCCTTCGCCACGGCCTTCGCCTTTTCGCGCTTTGATGCGCCGGTGCCGGTCGAGCAGCTGCCGTCGAGCGGGGCCGCGACTGCCTCTGTCGATGGCTGCGTCGACGAGTACGACGACCCGGCCGCAGCGCTCGAGCGACCGTGGCCCGACTTTCTCTCTTGTGCAGAGGAGGTCGCCGAGTGCTCCAAGCACCCGTCACTGCAGCAGCACTGCGCAAAGACATGTGGGGCGTGTGGCACGCCATCACAGGGACAGCAGCTCTCGGCAGCAGCGCGAGAGTGAATCCCATCTCGTCAGATTGTAGAGAGGTGACGCGAATCATGCCGCGCTGTCCTTGGGGCGACCAAATTAGACGCCGTGGCTATTTTTTCAATCCAAGTGCTGACGATAACAAGAGCCCTTAGTGAGCCTTGCGAGATCAAGAAAGAAGGAATGGAGCCGCGCGCGAGGAAGGAGAGATGGAACATAGGCGATAGGGGAAACGGGAGGGCCCAGGAAGGATGCCTTCTCCCGAGACTCTGCTAGGGATTCGAATATTAGCGGCGGCGGGAATTGGGATTTACCTTCATTCACAGAAGGTGCTTCATAATTCACGAGAGGTGCGTGATATGATCATCGCGGCGGTAAAAGCGGCGTCATCGCGGCGGCGCACGACCACGCGCTCAGATATTGTACCAGCTCGCAACAGCACCGTGACGATCGCGCGCTCAGATATGGCACCAGCTCGCAACAGCACCGTGACGATCGCGCGCTCAGATATGGCACCAGCTCGCAACAGCACCGTGACGGTCGTGACGGACTACAAGCCTCCGCCTCCTCCGTCAGCGGCCAAGCCACCACCACCACGAGCGCCGCTACATCCTCTGTGCGCCGCTCTGATCTTCTGCCTCGCCGTCGCAGCAGCAACAGAGGGCGCGATCATCGCGCTCCTGCTCTTGAGATCGGAGGAGGAAGAAGCACCAGCATTGGCCGTCAAGCGATGCGGCGTCGGTGGTGCCGGGAAGTGCATGCTGATCGGCGCACCGTCCTGTGACGCCTGGTTCTCTGACGAAGCGAACTGGGCGTGTGATTTTGGCCATGCCTGCTGTGCGGCCACCGACAAGCCAGTGATCTCCATCCGCCAAGCGGTCGAAGGCAACTGTGAGGATCTCGACGGTAGCGATGTAAAGGGCGTCGCGCGATCTTCGATGTGCTCCGCCGACGCCGCCTCAAATGCCACTGCCTGCGACGTGGAGCTCTCTTGCGGCTCGATTGTCATCGCCGCGACCCTCATCTTTGCGGGAGCGGACGACATGCAGACGGCAGCAGCATGGCTTACAAGCGTTCTCTCAACTCTCGAGGGTGCAACCGATTTTTGGGGTCTTCCTCCAGGGTTTACCATTGCCCAGATACCGACCCTGTCAGTCCCCTTTCTGTCGCCTAGCCCGTCGCCACCCTCCCCTCTAGCTGTTGCTCCTCCTCCGCCAGGCCTTTCATCTCCACCACCGCCACCGCCACCGCCACCGGCGCCACCGCCACCGGCGCTACCGCTGCCTCCCTCCAAGCCTCCCTTTCCACCCGGAGAAGCCCCAGCACCGTCGCCGCCATCGCCGCCGCCGCCGCGGCCGCCGCCACCGCCGCCGTCGCCGCCGCCGTCGCCGCCGCCGTCGCCGCCGCCCTCGCCCTCGCCTTCGCCTTCGCCGCCGCCACGGAGCCGCTGTGGGACCCCCTCGTGCACGGCCGAGGTGTGGGCGGCGGAGGCCCACGACGCCGAGTGCCCCACCTGCTCCTGCGGCGACCGGATCGGCTGGCTGCAGGACTCTTCAGATGGGCCTCAGGTGAACGAGGTTGACGCTTGCGCCCGGGTCGCCGGCGCGGAGTTTCCAGCCGCTTGCGGCGGCTGCAACCCCGGCCTGCGCGTCACGATGGCGCCGGTCGCACTCAACGGCGGCCGAATCGCCTACATCTTGACAGCGGCTGGAGCTCTTCCAGGATACACCTCTGGCGGCACTGCAACCGCCGATAGACGCACCATCTACTACTTCTTACCGGACGGCGATGGGAGTGCAGAGCCCACCTACAACGGCGACCGATGGCCGATCGTCTATGTCCCCCAAGGAGCGACCATCACCGCAGACCCATCTGTGACAGCAATCGTGAGCTCGCGCGTCACAACCCGGAGGCTGATCGACGGCAGCTTTGTCGAGGCAGAAGTGCTGCTGGTCAACGGAAGGCCAGCGTACCAATACTCGATGGACACGACGCCAGAGGCGGCCAACGGGAACGGTCTGGGCGACGTCTGGTTCTGGTTTGAGGAGTCCATCTCGCAAGAGGAGCTACCACCTCCAGCACCTATCCTCGCCTCGTCGCCGCCACCCCCGTCACCACCCCCCGTGGCGAGTCCACCACCTCGCACAATCAGCAACGAGTGTCCGGCAGCGAGTCCCGCCTGCACTGCGCCGTCCGGGCAGGATTGGGTCATCACCACCTCATGCACCATCCAAGCAGGCTCCTACTCCGCTCGCAAGGTGCTCATTTCCGACGGAGCCATCGTGTCCGTCGAGCAGGACGCCTCTGTCACGATGGACCTCTCCGGCGGGCTCCTCGTCGGGTCCAACTCCGAGCTGTGGATCGGCTGTGAGTCGACCCCCTTCACTGGAACGTGGACGCTGACCTTCAACGGACGGAGGGAGGACCTCGGCAACACGGAGCGGTGGCTCTCTGTCGACTACAGTGACTACGGCCTGCCGCCACGCTTCGAGGTGTGGGCAAACGCCCTGGTCGCCTCACACGGCGCGCGGCTTGAGATCCACGGCGCTCCCAAGACGTCCTGGACCAGGCTGCGTGAGGACGCAGGCGTTGGCGCCACCACGCTAACACTGGAAGAGGGCCCCGTCGGTTGGGCGCCTGGGGACGAGATCGTCATCGCGGGGACCGGAGTAAACGGGGGCTCGGAGCGCGCGACCGTGGCGTCGGTGGCGGGCGATGCCGTGACCCTACAGAACGGACTGACTAACTTTCACGAGGGCAGCTGGCCCGGCCGCGGCGCGAGGCTCAACGGCGAGGTGGGTATGCTCAGCCACAACGTGCGCTTCACTAGCGGTTTCGACCTGGGCGCGTGCGAGAACGCCTTTGGCGGAACGGGCCTGTCGGCCCGCACGGACGAGCAGACAAAGAACAGCTGCTTTGGTGGGAATGTCGCCTTCCTGCAGCATTCAATCGTCCACGTCGAAAACGCTGAGTTCTCCAAGCTCGGGCAGGCGCTGGTCATGGGCCGCTACAGCCTGCACTTTCACCTTGCAGGAGACGCCTCGGGGAGCTACTTGCGCGGCAACGGCATCCACCACAGCAACAACCGCTGCATCGTGCTGCACGGCGTCTTCAACGCCGAGCTGGAGGGGAACGTGTGCGTCGACAACAGGGGCCACAACCTCTACCTCGAGGACGGCATCGAGGTGGGGAACGCCGTCGTCGGGAACCTAGTCGTCAACCCCCGCAGCTCTGCCACAATCTGCACCGACAAGATCGGAGCCGAGGGCGGAGCGGCCGGCATCTGGATCACGAACCCGAACAACACGTTCACCGACAACGCCGTCGTGGGCGCGGCGTTCGGTGCGTGGTTCACGTTTCCGACGGTGGACGACTCGCATCCATTCACCGGTGAGAAGCGCGGCCAGCTCGGGGGCGTGTTTGGCGCGAGCGCCGCCTACTTTCGCGACCCTCTCAGCGGGTACGGTCCGGCACACTGGGTGGTGCAGCAGGAGCAGACGCGCACGCCCGTCGCCGCTTTTCACCGCAACACCTTCAAGGACTCGGCCCGGATGGGCATCACGGTCGACTTTAGGGTGCACGACTCGGAGGACGCGTACATTCCGTGCCTCGACAAGGCCGCATACGTGGAGAGCTCTTGCCCGACCTGCGCCAACGTCGGGCACACCTTCTCGTGGGGCCCGGCCACGTACGACGTGAGCGCCCCGCCGGCGCAGCGCGAGTACCAGCCCGCGAAGCAGACCTTCGAGGACATCATCGTGGCGTACACTCGGAGCCTGTACGGCGAGGGCTTCTCGTACTGGGCGACGGGCGGTCTGGTCAGCTTCGAGCGCTCCATCTTTGTGGACAACCAGCAGGGCTCCTCTCTCGGCTTTACGGGCGAGTGCGCGTCGGGCATTGCCTTTGGGAGGGGCGGCGCCAACGTGCAGTTCAGCAAGGCGCTCTTCCTCAACGGCCCGGCGCCCTTCAAGCTGTATGACGGCGGCTACCACTGCGTGGACTGCCGCTGGGCCGGGCTCGACCACCTCGTCACGATGCGGCCGGGAAGCCCAGGGAACGTCAACGGCGTGCTCTTGGAGCGGTCCGCGCCGCTTGGCTGGATCGGCTCGGACCGGGACGACCCATTGCTCGGCTGGATTTGGGACTCGAACAAGGTGGACATCGCGCCAGCGGCGGTGGAGGTCGCCAACCTGGTGGACTGGACCTCGGGCTTCATTCAGAATAGCTGGCAGGGCGAGGACGTCAACCTCGTCTCCACGGACGGGCTCGGCGGCACGGTGCGCGGCGGCGCCTTCACGCAGTGGGTCCGCAGTGGGGACCCCGGGGCAAACCAGGGCTGGGGCTACGGCGCGATCGTCAACGGGGCGCCGAGCTTCAAGCAGTTCTACCCGTGCATGGGGAACGTCTACCACTGGTGCGGCGACGGGCGCTCGTGCGAGCCGCACGCGTACGGGCGGGACGTGCCGGGCGCGCCGTGGCTGTGAGTGAGGGAGACATCATGTGTGATCATTGGCATGCTTGGGAGTGATCGGTACGTGGGGCGAGGGGCGAGACCTCGTTCCCGAGCGCGCCCTGCGCACGGAAAGAGTGCCACCCACACGCATGCGTGATCATGGTGCCCCTCTGGCTTAACCTCCGCCAGAAATGTTCCATAGTGCAGTACTGTGAGGAGAAGTCTCTCTCTGTCTATCCGTTCTCGGACTGTCCGTGCGTGTGATCTGGGCCGCGGGTGTTTTTGTGCGGTCGTCGGTGAGCGCCGGACGCAAGGGTCGGTCGCTAGCGATCTACCTGCGTTGGGCTCACTCGAGCTAGAGCTCACACCATAGAGCCCGCTATCACGTTCGCCCTCCTGGACCCAGTTTGCCGTCCGAGGCTCACATCGTTTTCTCTTCCCTGTGACGCTTGAGTTCTTTTTCTTGCGAGGCTCGTAAAATTCTTTTCTGGTGTACCTGTGTTAGTGCCAGAGAGTGCGCGCCAGTCCCGTGCCCTGTGTTGTTAGGTTAGTTAGAAAGGTGAAGAACAGTCTGGCTCGGACTGGACACCAACGCGGTATGGGTGGACGCGGAGACAGATGACGACGAGCTGGCAGGGCTTTTGAAATTCTGTACTCAGTGCGCGCCAGTCCCGTGCCTAGTGTCGTGCGCGGGAGTTTTGTTGTATCTTTACTCTGGTGTGCCTGTGATAGTGCTAGCACGCGCGCCAGTCCGCACCTGTGTCGAGCCTGTCTGCTGTGAGAGCGAGTCGTTTTGTTTAAATTCTTTACTCTTTTTATGAGTCCCCTGGGTTCCGGCTCCTAGCCGGATAGGGGGTCTGTTGCCACTGGCTGGCCCCTCCCAGATAGGTAGGTAGGTTGGTCTTGTTTCGCCCAAAAGGGCCCTGCAATAGGTAGGTACCCCATATTTTCATCTTTTTTCGCTTCGCTGCGCGGCCTGGGGATAGGTAGGTAGGTAGGGCGTTTTGGCGCGAGTCAGTGGGGACAGACCCCCTATCCGGCTAGGAGCCGGAACCCTCTCACTGACGGCCCGGCGAGGCGTGCCTTTTCACGCGATGCTCCCGCAGCAAGCTCCACTCAACGTGCTCCTAATCCTAGTCGACGACCTACGACCCGAGATCCTCGGTTCGCCTGCCCTCACGCCGCACATTGACCGGCTTGCAAAGTCGTCCACTGTCTTTGATCGCGCCTACTGCCAGCAAGCAATTTGCGGGCCGTCTCGCAACTCGTTTCTGAGCGGGCGGCGCCCGCAGCGCACACAAAGCTGGAATTTCCTCAACCATTTCCGTGAGGTCGGTCCAAACTGGGTCTCCCTACCGCAGTGGTTCAAGCAGCACAACTACACGGCGCTGGCGACCGGCAAGACGTACCACCCAAACCTGCCACCGCGCTGGGACCAGCCGCTCTCTTGGAGCGCCGACCGGCCATACGTCTTTGCGGAGAATGGGTACCCTCCCTGCGACCGGAAGGACTCGCTGCAAAACTCGATGGTCTGCCCATCCGCGCACCCGGACTCGTGGTACGCGGACCACTCCGACGCCTCTGCCACGATAGCGGACCTCGAGTACGCGCTCCGGGCAAAGAAGCGCTTCTTCCTCGTGTATGGTGCGCACCGGCCTCACCTCCCGTGGAACGTGCCGCAGCGCTTCTGGGAGATTTACCCGCCCACCGAGTCGGTCGCCGAGCAATGGCCGACAAGCCCACCGCGCCGTGAACGGCGCCTCGTCACAGCTCCATCTGTGAACAGGTGAGCGTCGCCGAGCACGAGGCCGGTCCGCGCGGGATGCCGCCCATCGCCTTCACGTACGAGGTGGACGGACAGCCGACGCTGCGCTCCTTTGGGGCCGCGGTGCCGGTCCCGTACCCAGACGCGTCGACGGCGCCGCCCGCGAACGTCTCTCGCTCCCTCCGCAAGGGCTACTACGCCGCCGTCTCGTGGACGGACCACCAGGTCGGCCGGCTGCTCGACGCGCTCGACGAGCACGCGGTGGCGGGGGAGACGGTCGTCGCGCTGGCGGGCGACCACGGCTGGGCGTTGGGAGAGCACAACATCTGGGGCAAGCACTCCAACTTTGAGGTCGCCGCGCGCGTGCCGTTGATCCTGCGCACGCCGGGGGGGGCGGGGCGGAGGCAGCCAGGTCTGGTCGAGCTCGTCGACCTCTACCCGACCCTCGCAGCGCTCGCCGGCCTGCCCCCGCCGCCCGACGTGGACGGCGCCGACCTGAGCGGCCTCGTGCTCGGAGGCGGCGGCGCGGGCAAGGAGGCGGCCTTCAGCGAGTACCCGCGCTGCCCGCGCCGGCTCGAGGCGCCGTGGGACGACCTCACCTCCTGCACGCGGACGCGCAAGGAGGACTTCCGGGTGATGGGCTACTCGGTGCGGACCGACGGCTGGCGGCTCACTGCCTGGCTGCGCTGGGACGGGGCGCGGCTCGTGGGCGACTTTTCCCAGCCGCCGGTCGGGGTCGAGCTGTACGCGCACCCGGCCGGAGAGGCGGACAGCGACTTCGACGCGACCGAGAATGTCAACGTGGCGGACCTGCACCCGGCCGTCGTGCGCCGGCTGATGGGGCTCGCCGAGGCACACTGGGGCAAGGGGCCGGGTGAGCCGGTTGAGGGGCAGGAGCCGCGAGGGAGGGAGCAGGGTGGTGTGGCGGGTGTGGAGCAGGGCAAAGCGGCGGATGCATCCATGGCGAGAGTCGAGAGCGATGCCGAACTGCTGAGGATGCAGTTTGAGGAGTGGTGGGCGGGCGGTGTGTCCGGTGCGATGAGGAGGCAGTGGACCAGGAGCACCAGCACGCGCCCGCCCGTCGCCCGCCCGCGCGGTGCTGTATCGCGATCGATTTGAACCGCCGGGCTGAAACATGATTAGGATTCGTGTTTTCTTCAATTGAGAAAAGGTCGGCCCCTCGAGACGGTACTCTGTCGGTGCTGCGATGGGGCGTGTGGGTACAGAGTACAGTGTGTGGCTTGCTAGCCGCCGGCCCGCCGCCGCCGCCCCGCCGCCGCCGCCACTCACTTGCGGTTCTTCTTCTTGGACCCCTTCGCCTTGCCCTCGCCGGGCCCGGGCTGCGGCATCATGCCCGGGGGCATCATCCCCGCCATGCCCGGCGGCAGCTGCATGCCTGCGGCGGGAGCGGGCGGGTGAGGCCGCGCGCAGTGTGTCGGGGGGCAGGGCGGCGGGCGGGCGGTGCGGGTGCGCCTGGGGGCAGCAGGCCCGCCATGCCCGGGGGCAGCATCCCCGCCATGTTTGGAGGCATCTGCATGCCTGCGGCGAGAGGAGAGGGACGCTCGCCGACGCCGCAGCGGGGAGGGGAGGGGAGGGGAGGGAGGGGAGGGAGGGGAAGGAGGGGATGGAGGGGAGGGAGGGGTGGGGAGGGAGGGAGGGGAGGAGAGGGGAGGGGAGGGAAGGGGAGGGGGCGAGGGGAGGGGGGGGAGGGGAGGGAGGAGTCGGCCGGGTGGCGGGCCCTCCGGCGCCTGGAGGCAGCATGCCGGGAGGCATCCCCGGCGGGCGCATGGCAGGCATCCCTGCAGGCGGCGCCAAGCCTGCCGGCAGCATCGCCCCCGCCATCGGCCCCATCCCACCCGGGGCCGCCGCCCCCTTTGGCTTCGGCTCGAGCCTCGACTTGAGCTTTGGTATCGACGAGCCGAGCCGGATCAGCAGCGCCTTTCTGCTGCCAATGCCAGGCACCTGCGGCGGCGGGAGGGCTGTTGGGAAGGGGAAGGGCTTGACGAGGACAGGTGCGCGCACGAGGCTCCGCTCAGCAGCCCAGCTGGCAGCTGCGGACTGGCACGCACGCTCGCGCCGCCGCACGCGGAAGGGACGAGGCCGAGAGGGGCGAGAGGGGAGGCGGGGAGGGGAGGCAGGGAGGGGAGGCGGGGAGGGAAGCGCGTGCACCGTCAGCTCCCCCGTCGCCGCGTCCTTCAGATTGACGCGCACCCGGCCGCGCGCGAGCGCGTTGCGCGGATACCGCTTGTCCTACGACGTTCGGCCGCCGGCTCGGGTGGGGCGAGGCGAGCGGCGGGGCGCGCAGAGGCAGCCGGCCACCTCGAGGGCTGGCGTGTAGCCCAGGTGCTCAAGCACCTCGGCGATCTCCTGCAGCGTCGGACTCTCTGCCGCGTGCTCCACCGCGATGCGGCGGCCGTCTGCGAGGCTCGCCTTGGAGTCCAGATAGACCTATGGCGGCGTCGAGCGAGGGTCGAGGGGAGCGGAAACCACGTCGTGGCGGCTCCGAGCCGGCGCGCCGGGTAGATGATGATGCGCTTGTCGTGCGGGTAGTCCTCGTAGCGGCCGGTGGAGCTGGCGGGGTTGGACATGCCCGCCGTGTAACACGACAGCAGCCCGCTCGTGCAAACCAGGCAGCAGGCAGGCGGCGCGCCGAAGGCGGAGGTCTCCAGCACGGGTTGTCGCAAAAGAATTTTGCAAAATTTGGAGAACAATGCGCAAGCTACTGGCGCGCACTGGCACTAAGAATTCCTTTTCGGCGGGACCCTGCCCTTCTCCCACCCCTCGTTTGGCGTGTGCGATTTATTTATTATTCCGCGCGCGGCGACGCGGTGGGCCGCCGCGGCGGTCCCGCTCCTGTCCCGCTCCTCGTCGCCCGACGCGCGCCGCCTGCGAAGCGGGCCTCATCTGCCGGCTCCTCCGTCTGCGGCTACGACTCCGAAACGCCAGAGGAGATTCAGAATGAGGCACTCTTCCGGGGATCCCGGGCTTGCCGCGCGTACGGCTTAGGCGAATAGTTCAAGGCTGCCGCGCAAGCAAGACGAGGCTCGAGGGCACCTTCGGCGAGTGGCTCGACGAGCAACCGTTCGAGGTGGAGCCTGCGGCTACCGCCCGGCTGCTCAAGCACTACACGCGCTCCGGCGCGTGGGTCGTCTCGAGATCAAGCCCGGCAGCCCCAGCCAGGCCCCGCGCACTCGCCGAGCGCATTTCTTCTCAGCTCGGACCTTGCGGGGGGGCGGAGCGCGTAGCGCAGGCTAGTCTGTGACATAAACCACGGACGACACAGCGGACACCGAGCGAGCGACGCGTCGTTGGAGCGCCTTGTCTGGGCTCGCCAGCCAGAAGGCGCACGATGGCAGGAATTGAACCCTCGCACGCGCTGCTTGGCCGCAGGATCAGGCTGCAAGGCCTCGTTGCACGGCCTGCGCTCAACGACCGCTCGGGCGTCGTAGTCTCATTTGATCCAGACAAAGAGCGGCTTGGAGTTCAACTTGACGCAGTGGACGACAAATCGGAAGCCATTCTCGTCAAGCCTGCCAACGTGCGTGTGGGTATGCGGACCGCATGGGATGTGCCTTCCTACGTGGATCGCACCTTCCCAGAAACAGACCAGGTGCTCTCGGGGAGTGCTGCTCAAGGATTGGCTAAGAGTTTGCAGTCGCTTTGTGGCAATCGCATCACGATTGTGGATGTGCGCCTTCTTTATGGGCAGATGTTCACACCGGAGGTCGACCGCTGGGTACAGGACGGAGTAGCTTCGTGTCAAGGACCAGTGCCGTATGGTGAGAAGCCGAGGCGTGAGATGCTTGGAAGGGGTGCGCTGGTCTTCATTTGGGTCCCTCCTGAGGATGCACTGGCATTCAAAGCTCACGTGATCATAGACGGGCGGGACACGAGCATAGCAGTCGTTTGGACTCACATTGGCCCGTACCTCGTTCCTCCGTGCTACCTCACCGCCAAGGAGCAGAAACACGTGCTCCGCGCCGTTGTCTATTCCCTGATGCAGTCAGCTATAGTGGAGCGTCGGATTTATGTGTTTCTTGCACTCTCCGAGTTTGTTCGCATGGAGCTTTTGAAGGCATCAGAGTTGGACCTTTGCGAATCGATGCTGTGCTTGCAGATCGAAGCGTACCTGGCTCTCGCAATGACGCAAGGCGATGCCTGGACCATCGACGCAACGCTGAGCTGTGGCAAGCTGGGCGAGTACTATGAGTCGCGGGGCGAATTTCTGAGAGCCGCCGACGTCTACAAGCGAGCTGTATCCCACGCGTCCCGCAAACCCCACATGTGGGTTCCTGGTGGCCCAAGTGGTTTGTACACATGGTGGTCCTACCTGGGTCTCGCCTTCAAGCGTGCTTGCCAGTGGCGTGAAGCTGAAGTGGTCTACAATTCTGCGAAATTGGCGATCGCTCAGTACCCGCAGACGGCAGCTGAAGCGAGCGTCAACAGCGCAACAAACTATGTCTATTCGCTACTCATCAGGCTGTATCGAGATTCAAAGCAGTTTGAGAAGATGCAGGATGCATTTCTATGTGCGTTCGGCGCGTGTGGTGCTGTCGATACATTCGGCTTCGACAAGCAGCAAGGCGATGAACTGACGAGCCCTGCTGCCGCCAACAAGGCATCGGGACGTGCCTGGATCATGACCGGCAACACACATCAAATTGTCGAGTACGAGACGAATTTGTTTGACCGTCGGATCGCGCCAAAGATGAACCCGAAGGCTCCCGCACGAAACAATATGGGAGCTGAGCTGGCCTTGAATCATCTAATGAGGGATCTGCGACTGCAGAAGCCGCAACGAGGCAATGCCTGCGCGAGCTGCGGCGCCGTGACCCGACTGAAGGCTTGCGCACGCTGTGAGGCGGTAGGCTATTGCTCCAGGGAATGTCAGGCTGCCCACTGGCGTGAGCACAAACGGCTCTGCAAATCACTGCGAGGTTCGGTGAAAGAATAGGTGTGCTTGGAGGGAGGAACGAGATGTGACTTGTGAGGCCGGAGTGCGGAGACACAGACAGCACCGCAGCCGTACGCGCAGCCGTACTGCATACAGCCGGAGAGACAAAAGACGCCCATGACGCATGAGGCACAGGACTGGCGCGCACTGGCACTAACACACACAAAACAACCACGGGTATCTCCGCTTTGTTTCTTTTTTCTTTATATCCTACTCCCTACCTAGGGCCAAGCGCTTCGTCGTTAGCCCCTACTTCCCCTACTTCTGATTCCCTCACGGCCGCGAGACAGACGAGCTTACAACCGAGTAGTGTTGCCGCGATCTTGGAGCAGGCGTGCGACCGAAACTCGAAGCCGTCCACAACGTCGACGTCCATCGCCGGGCCGGCCTGCGACCGAAACTCGAAGCCGTCCACAACGTCGACGTCCATCGCCGAGCCGAAAGCACCGTCACTCGACCTCGGCCTCTTGCGGCGCTCCGCCCCATCCCTGGCGCCGGCGCCACACGCCGCGCAGAACCACTCGCCCTCGGGTGCCGTCGTTCCCGGCGGCAGCTCGAACTCGCCATCGCAGCCGTCGCACACGATCGCCTCCACAATCTCGTCTGGGTGGAGCGATGCCGGCGCGAGAGAAGAGCGGACTGCCACCGCCTCCAGCACCACAGGTGCTACTGCCGCCTGCTGCCTGGCCGCAGCACGTCCCGGCGCCGACGGCCGCGTGCCTGCGGCGTCGTCTGGCGAGGAGGCAGGGTATAGCTCCCACAGCACCGTGCTGAGAGGCTCCCACCGAGTCTCGCCGTCGTCGTAGAGGACGTAGTGCGTGTCGTCGACCAGGGACACGTCCTTGACGCGTCCCGAGTACCACGCGTCCTCCTCCGGCCAAAAGATGCGCACGCGCCGGCCGAGCACCTCTCGACCGTACCGCGTGAGGGTCGCCCTCGCCACTGGGGCGGCGCACCCGACACGGCGGCTCGTGCGGCGAGGAACGGGCGAACGGCTCGACTTGACCGCGGCGGTGTCGCTCGCGGGCAGACGAAGTGCCTTTGGCTGCCCGCCTTCGGCCGCCGCCTCGCACGGCGGGCAGACGAAGTGCTGCAGCTGCTCCGCCTCGGCCTTGGAGAGGCCGACACACTCGCCGTGGCACCATCGGTCGCAGGAGTCGCACGCGACCCACGCGCCTTCGAAAGGGAGGCTGCTGGTCGGCAAGTGGCGATCAGTGCCACAGAAGCAGTCCGCCTCCGCCGCCGGGTCCGAAGCTTCGCTCTCCGTGCCGCTCTGCAGCCCCTCCGCCTCCGCCGATGAGAGTGAGAGGAGAAGCTCCCTCTCCTCCACCCTGCACCGGTGCAGCTCCGCCTCGAGCTCCGCTTTCGACACGTCCAGCACCGCCTTGGACGAGAGCTCCAGTACCACCATCTGGTCACGGACCGCCTTGGCGAGCGCCTCGGTCGATTCGATCGTCGCCTGGGCGAACTTCCGGAGAGGGTCGGCGGCGAGGTCTGGGTCGGAGGCCAGCTCCTGCGCGATCTGCTGCTCCATCCCGCCACGTCTCAGCCACTCTGTCGCTGCCGCTGACGCCTCGACGGTCCGCCCGAGGTCGGCGAGCGCATCACGAACCACTACGGCCTGCAAGCCGGTGGGCAGCTGCAAAAGGGCACTGCGAGAGACGGCGGGCCCGCACGCAGACCCACCCGTGGCCACCTGCGGCTGCGGCTCCAGCTCCGCATACACTGGTGTTGGTTTGTCCTCGCTCCTGCTGGCAAGCGCTGCCGTCTGGCTGACCGAGAACTTGACCCGGCATGAGGAGCACGCAAGGGCCAGCACGGCGTTTTGCCCGCTGCAGGCGGGGCACACCTTCGCTGCTCTTGCAACGCAAGGGTCGCTGCGTGCCTGCTGTTGCGAGTCGCTGCGCTGTCGCAAGCGTGGCGGTCTTGCCTTCCGAATAATGTAAGATCCGCACGCAGAGCAGATTTTGCGCGCCGTCGGATTGATGGCGCCGCACTGGCCGCATTTCTTTGTCGGCGTCACCGCACTGCCCGCATTTCGCGGACGTGGGTGTCGTTTCGGAACGCTGAGCGCCTCAACGAGCAACTTGTAGTGGGCAAAGGCGTCGGGCGCATCCACGGCTACGGCTGCGAGTGAATCCATCAGCTCGGCCATGCGTGGCAAGGCTGCCAGCTCCTCCGTGCTCGGGCCGCCGGCAAGCTGTGGCTCCGCCGTCGGGCCGCCGGTAGCCTGTCGCTCTACCGTCGTCGCCTGCGACTCCATTAGCTCGCTGGCCAGCCTATGCTCTCGCTCGTCTACGCTCGCCAGTGAGCGGCTGGGCTGTGGCTCTTCGTGCGGCAGAATGGTAATAGAGAGATGGGCGACGCACGCACGAACCCGAGGCACAGGGCATCGAGATTGTCCGACGCTGCTTCTCTTTTTGAGCTTAGCCTTCGATGTTATGAAACAACGCAAGGCGGACATGGCATATCGCTCTCGGGCCCACAGACATCCCGCACACTCGCCGCACACCCGCCGCCCCCGCGCGCGCCCCACCCCGGCCGGGAGAGAGGGGAGTGACAGTTTGGGACGGCAACAGAACGAGTATGTTGAGTCCTGGCTCAACAACGCAGATAAAGGACTTGGGTGGTCCGGCCCACAAGTCCGGCTCATGCGCCCCGACTGACCGATCTACCGCACTGATCACTTCCGCCCCCTCGCTCCCAACCCATCCACCTCGCCTCGGGCCGCGCCGCGCGATCTCGGGCGATCTCGCGCGATCTCGGGCGATCTCGGAGCTCCACGCCACGCCTCTCCACCCCGCCCCACCTCACCCACCGCCGCGCCGCGCTATCAGCCTATCTCGGGCGATCTCGGAGCGTCGCTCGCGCGGCGTCACACCTGCTCAAAAAGGAAGGAGGTTGGAGGCAGGAGGTCACGCCCCATCCAGAGCGCCGTCGTCGCCGGGTTTTTGGCCCCCGGGTCGTCGCCCGACGGTTGCTGCGCGGGGCAGCAGACCATCGGACGGCGCGACGACGCCCCGTCCGGCACGCTCCCTCCTCCACCCGGCTATTGCCGCTCGAGCGCCCTCAGCGGCGGAATTTTTCCCTCGCGCTTCCTTGGGCCCCCGGCAACGCCGACGGACTTCCCGTCCCCCCACCTGCGCCGCAATCACCGCCGTGATTGTCGGCGCTGCGCCCCTTGGCGCCTGTGCATGTCCCGCGTGCCCGCCTGCCAGGGCTGATGCCAAGGCCAAATCAACAACATGCCCGGCTGATGCCAAGGCCAAACAACTGCCTGGCTGGTGCCAAGGCTCAATGACTCTCCTCTCCGTCTCTCCCCCCCCTCCTCAGACAGGACTAACTCCTACGACACACGACGCACTCTCTCCTACCATCCGACAGACGTTGCCTGACCGACACGGGACGCTCTGACAGGACACTACTGAGACGACTACCTCTACTGCCTACCCTACTACTACTCGACTGGCGGCGCTCGCGGCGCCACGCCACCCATCCTCGGCCACGCGTTGCGCTGGGTGATCTCCCAGTTTCTTTTTTCCTTTGCTACCATTTTTGGTTGACGACCGCACCTGGCGAGTAGAGGCCCTGCCCAGCCCAGGTTACCCTCTGCGAGTCCCATTGGGCCGCTCTTTCGAGGTCTCGGAGTGGAAGGTGTCTGCTCGGCTCCGCTCACGACGCGCGCGAGGTGGCCCAGTCTCTCAGGCTGTCCGGAATTGACTTCACCAGACAGAATCGAGAGGCGCGCGCAGTACCTCGCGCAGGCTGCCGTGCTTTTATGCTATGCTCGGCCATGCGGCGTGCCGGTGCTCTGCGGCGACGATGTACTGTTGCACGTCTCGAACCTCCCGCCGAACTCGACCTGCTGCGTCCATCGGTCGGGCAGGTACGCGGCGGCGCCGCGCGGCCGCCGGTGGAGCTGCACGCCGACGTGATCACGCCCGCAGAGGAGGATGCGCTCGCAGCCGAGGCAGACAGGTACCTCCGGGCGCGACGATACGAGGCGGGCCACTTCGACGGCGTCATCCGACACTACCGCGAGCTCCAGCGGCCGCTGCGCTCGTGGTCGTCCGCCTCGCGCAGCCTCTTTGATCGAGTGGCGTCGCTCGCCGCGCTGCCGTCGGGCGCAGAGTTGCTTCCAGTGCACGTCCTCGACCTAGAGGCGCACGGCGAGATTTCGCGGCACGTCGACCACGTCGAGTACTCGGGCGGGCCGCGACTGACCACCGCCCGGCGTCTCGCAAGTGTCGCCAGGCTGCGTCCGCTGTGTCGTAGGCGAGAGCATCGTCGGCCTGTCGCTGCTCTCGCACGCGGTGATGCTGCTCCAGCACGAGGCCGACCCGGCCGCCGCCTTCGAGCTGCTCCTGCCCCGCCGCTCGCTCTACGTGCTGCGCGGCGAGGCGCGGTACCGCTGGGCGCACTCGCTGCCGCTGCAGCCGAGCTTTGAGGGGCAGAGCCTACCTCCAAAGTCGCGCCGCATCTCTGTAATACTGCGTGATCGGCCGCCGAACGAGGTGCCGCGCGAGGTTTAACCAGATATGTACAACCCAAAATTACCACTGAGGGCTCTCTGTGCAAGAACGGAGACGGCGAGAGCCAATAACATCCTTGCCCTCTAGAGAGGATACAGTAACATATACAGAGAGTCCGCTCGAGACGGACTCCAAGCGTCTGGCGTGTTTCGCGTGTGCTTTACGTTATTCTTTCAGCGCCGTATCGAGCAGTCCTTGCGCAGCGTCCTCGCCCTTGATGCCGTTGACGACCTTTCCGGCTCCAAAGGGCGCCGAGTCGGTCCGCGGCCCGTCGCCGCCGATGCGCACATTCGGCCCCATTGTGCATTCGTCGAAGCACCCGTGCTCCGTGTGGCTCATATCCGCCACCTCCACGAGCACATCGTCGCGCCCGTCCGCAAGCTGCTGTAGAAGCTCGAGCGTAGCTGCCGAGCCGCGCTTCTTGCAGTACTTGTTCATACAGACCTCAACTCGGACTGGGGCGGCGGCCTCAGCGGCACACAGCCGACCAGCCCGCGCAGCAGGCTGCGGTCGGGCGGCGCTGGGATACAGCGCAGCGCCGAGCCGCGGCGAGAGGGCCGAGGTCATGATCGCCAGCAGGAGCGAAGGCATGTCACCGAAGGCTGGGTCTAAATTTCGTGCGGTGTGAAGTGTTTATCTAGGATTCCTACTGTATCACCACAACTTTAGCGCAAATATAGCGCGAATTCTGCGCAAATTTAGCGCGAGTTCACTGCGACTTTGCATCGCGAGGTTTAGTGATCTTAGGTGTATTGTTTAGTGCGTCTTTAGTCCATCCATCCGCGCACTAGGATCCAGCCGCAGCCCCTCGCTGGGCCTCCCCTCTCCCCCTTCAGTTCCCTGCAACAGGAAAGAGAAAAAGAAACGGGGCTGGCCGGTGGGAGAAATGGAGGCACAAACAACGCCGGTCGGCGGTGGCGCAGGCCCTCCGGACAGCGTCTCGAGCGCTCCCGCAGGCGAGGCCGGTGCCTCCCACGCTGTCGAGATCGACGCGGAGCAGGTAAGCGAGCCTGCGCGGCTCTCGGAGGACCAAGTCACCGAACTGCCCGAGCCCACCCGCAGCCAGACAGAGATCATCCGGCTGGTGCTCGAGGCGATGGAGGAGCGCGGCGTGAACCAGACCTTCATCTGCGGCCGGCTCGCCCTCTCCCCCGTGTACTTCTCCATGTGGCTCAAGGAGAAGCAGATGCCGGCGCGGAAAAAGTCGCTCTACGCGTCGGCGTGCGAGATGTGGGTCGGCGACGAGGCCTTCTCCATCCGGAACGCGTCTCTCACAGACACCAACCCGGCGCAGGTCCCTAGCCTCGGCCGGCCCACCAGCGGCGGCGGCTTGCGCGCGCGCGGGAGGGGGGGGCGGGGAGGGCGCGGCCGCGGCCGGCCGCCGGCCGCGCGCGGCAGCGGCGGCGTGGGCTCTCGCGGCCGCGGCGACGGCGCGGCGGCACGGCGGCTGGCGCAGCCGACTTCGCTGCACGGGATTGTGTCGGAGCTGCTGAGCGGGCTGCCGAGCGTCGCCTTCCAGCTGGTGCGTCCGCGGCGTTCGCGGCCGGATGCTGCGGCCGACGGCGATCCGAGCAGCTGGGGCGGTGTGGGGGAGGAGAGGTCCTTCTGCGTGGTGCGCGCGAGCGCGGTGGCGGGCAGCGCGTCGGGCGCCGTCGAGCTCCGCTCCGCCGACGCCGTCCTCGCGTGGCTGGGCTCGGACTCGGTCCTCCGCCCCGAGGGTGAGGATGCGCCGGCGCAGGCGGGCGGAGGGGGGGAGGGGCTCGGGGAGGGGAGCGACAAGGAGCGGGAGAGGGGGGGCGAGGCCGCCGCGGAGGGGGAGCGGGCGCCGACGCCGTCCGGCTGGCTGAGCGAGGCTGGCTGCGTCGCGGTCAACAAGCCGCAGCGCAAGCGCAAGGCTGTCAGCTACGTGGAGGCTGCGGCGGCTGCGGCGGCGGCCCGAGCCGTGAGCAGCGCCTCTTCACAGCATGGTGTGTGTGAACAGATGGACGAGGAGGTGGCGGGGCGGCGGCGACCGAGGCTCGGCGGCGAGGCGGCCGATCACGTCCCCGCCGCTCCGGACACCCGAGAAGCCGCCCCGGCAGAGGCAGAGGCGGAGGAGCAGCAGCTGCGGCAGCGGCTGCTGTGGACTCTGGAGGCGATGGCGGCGGCGCCGCTCGAGCTGCGTCGGAAGCGGCGGCGGGCGGACGAGATCGCAGCGAGGAGTGGTGGCGCGGTGGCGTGGGGCGCGTGCTGCTCTCGCTGCGGGCAGTGGTTCGAGGCGGTGGGTGGCGCGCTGCAGCTGAGCTCGCACTGCGGTGCGCCGCACCTTCGGCCGCATCCTCGGCTGCACCTCGGCCGCACCTCGCCTTCTGCCGCAGGCGTGCACGAGGTGGAGGAGCGGCTCGAGGCGAGGCGCGAGGCGGAGCTCCGGCCGATGCTCGAGCGCTTCCGCTCCGTCTCAAAGGCGCCCGAGCTGCGCGCGCTGCTCGACTCGGCCCGCCAGGTTGTGGCGCGCCCCGCCGGTCGGACGCGGCCCGTGACATGTCCATGACGCGTCCCCGCCGCGCTCTCCCGTAGCTGTCGCGCGACTTGCCGGACGCGTCGCTGCACCGCGCCATGAACGAGGCCGAGGCGCGGCTGAGGGTGCTGCAGCGCAAGCCGGTGCGCGCCGCCGTCGACCTGACGGCGCCCGCGGCGGCGGCGGCGGCGGCTCCAAAGCCGCAGAAGGAGGAGGTGTGCAAGGCGTGGCTCGAGGGAAAGTGCCACAAGGGCAAGTCTTGCCGCTGGCGCCACGGCGAGAAGAGGCCGCCGCCGCCGAAGGTGCAGGTCGCCTCCGTGGCGGCCGCCCAGCCTCAGGCCGCCCAGCCTCAGGCCGCCCAGCCTCAGGCCGCCCAGCCTCAGGCCGCCCAGCCTCAGGCCGCCCAGCCTCAGGGTGGCCAACCTCAGGCCGCGCAGGGTGGCCAACCTCAGGGTGGCTACCCTCAGGGGGCGGCGAGGGTGGCCGTCGCTGCGGCAGCGCCGAATGATTTGGCGTGGGCAAAGGCGGCGGCGGCGGCGATACCGCAGGCCTTGCCGCCGGCGCAGCCGCAGAAGCCGATGCTGCCGCTGCCCGGCCAGGCTGGAGCCTCCGAGCTGAGCAAGCAGTTCCGCGCCACTTCTACCGCCGCCGCGCTGGCAGCTATGAATTTCGCCGTCGCGCAGCACCAGCCCGGCGATCCGCGCTCTCTCGGCGCGACAGCGATGGCTCCGCCAACAGCCGCGAGTGCGAAGGCTCCGCCGGCTGCCGCGAAGACAGTTGCGGCTGCGCCAGCTACGAGAGCTGTGAAGGCCGCGCCAGCTACGAGAGCTGTGAAGGCCGCGCCAGCTACGAGAGCTGTGAAGGCCGCGCCGGCAGCCGCGGGCGGGCCTATCCCGGCCAAAGCAGCGCCAGTGCCGGACGTCGCCACTTCCTTTGTGGACGACGTCGACTGAGGTGAGGCGGCCGGCGCGACCACCGGACTCACAGATGTGTCGCTCACGGGCCGTGGGGCAGGCACAGCTCGAGCCGTGTTTGCGTTTTGGCCTGTGAGGCCGCGCTGTCACCTGTCAGCGTTGGTGTAAACTGCTGAGGGTCGCGCGCTGTTTACGTTTATGCCCTCACGTAAACGAAATACTGAAGCCGTTCCCCACAATTGAACTGGGCGCAGGGGCGAGTCGATGTGCATTCACACCTGTCGAGTGTCGTGTGACGAAATGAGAGAAAAGCCCCGTACACCACACGCTGAGTGGAGTGGTGCTGTACACACACAGGGAGAGAAAAGAAAGATAAAACCCCGGAAAGAACCACGGGTGAATTCTTTTTGCCAGGCGAGTCCCCCCGATGCGCTGGTCGCTCATACTGATCGGCTGTTCGTGTGCGCTTCGGCCGCCAAGACTCGCGAACCGGCACGCGCCACACTCTCCTCCGAGAGCTGCGGCAGCTCTTTCTCAGGCTCCGGCTCCAGCGGCGGCAACGGTTCACGATGAGGCGGTGGCGGCGGCGGTGTCGCAGCTGGCGGGTGTGACGCTCGCGCTGCTGGCGGGCGACGAGGCGACGGCGCACTCGCTCGCGGGCGGTGCTGAGCGGAAGCGTGTGACGGTGCAGCGCGTGCTCGCCGCTTACGACGTCTGCGCTTCCGGCACGCTCTCGCGCGAGGAAGCGCAGGCGCTCTTCACGAGCCTCGCGCGCTCGATCGTGTCGGAGCTTGCGGCCAGCGGCGCCTCGGAGGTTGCGAGAGCCCACGCGCAGCGTATCCTCGAGGACGACGAGCGCGGGACCATCGCGCGGGTCGCCTCAAAGCTGCTGCAGCTTGCCGACCTGGATGGTGATGGACGCGTCTCTCTCACTGAGCTGGCCGGCCTCTTCGAGGCGGTGCAGCGGGCGCAGCACGCCTCGTCCGACACCTTTCCTCAGCCGCTCCGCGCGCTCGCGGGGAGCTTGCAGCTGCTGCCGCCGACGGAGGGCACTGCGGTCTCCGAGGCCGAGAGAGCGGCGGAGTGGCACATCGGCATCCCGGGCGACGACCACACCCTGCGCCGCGTCGAGATCGGGCGCGAGCTGTCCGTCGTCGGCCTCGGCCGATCCGCAGACGCCTCGGCCTACTTTTTGCCGGAGCTCGGGCTCGTGCTCGACGCGGGCACGCCTCCCGCCGACTTGAAACCCGCTCCTCTCGGCCCAAACCCCCCAACCCCACCCACCCGCCCTCAACCCCAGGCATCCACGTCAAGTCGCTGCAACCGCGCTGCGTCTTGCTCACGCACGGCCACCGCGACCACACCGCCGCACTGCCCGCCATGGCGCGGCGCGCGGCGCTCGTCCTCGCGCCGCGCGCCATCACCGGCCTCGTGCGCCGCTTCCTGCTCGCCGAGGCGCAGGACCTTCTAGGAACCTTCTAGGAACCTTCTAGGCCTCGTGCGCCGCTTCCTGCTCGCTGAGGCGCAGCTCAACTTCGGCGACGCGGCGCAGACGGATGAGGAGACGGTGGCGGCGCTCGGCGACTTTCGGCTCGAGTCCGTCGGCGACGGCGACGAGGCGCGGGGGCGGCCCTTGCCGCGCCGGAGACTGCCCCGAGGGTACGCCGCCCGAGAGCACGCCGCCCGAGAGCAGGTGCTGCTGCCCAAGGAGGCGTACGCCGGCTCTCCGACGCCGCTCGGCGTGCAGGTCTTCGACGCGCCGCACAAGCGAGGCATCCCTGCGGTCGCGTACGGCGTCTACCGCGTCAAGCGGCGGCTCAAGCAAGAGTGCGGCGCACCGCCCCTGGAGCCCTGGGAGCCCCGGGGCCCCTTTCGCCACGCCTCGATCCGTGGGCAGGTACGCGGCGTTGCCGAAGCACGAGCTGGGCGCGCTGCTCGCGAAGGACGTGCCCATCACCGAGGCGAGGCACGAGGGGCTTCTCTTCTACAGCGGTGACACCACCATCGAGCTGCTGCGCGCCCGCCACGCCGACATCCTGCCAAAGTACCCCGCCATCATCCACGAGGTGACCTTCTTCGGCAAGCCGTCGCCCGAGCTCGACCAGTCGGTCCGGCAAAAGGGCCACACGCACTACGCGCAGCTTCACCCATTCATCTGCGCCTTCCCCGAGACCACCTTCATCTGCGTGCACTGGTCGCTGCGCTACTCGAGGGAGGACATCCTCGGCTTCTTTAACAGCTCGTACGGGGGCGTCCCAAAGAACGTCGTGTTGTGGGTGTGACCTGATGAGTAGTCTATGTGTTTACTGACTGTTAATTGCGAGAGGCCGGTGCGCGATGACCCTGACAGTGAGTGCTGAGAAGACCCAACTCACTCTCAGCAGCCGACTCAGCCTCCTATTGCCGTCCTACTCAAAGCTACGTCGCTGGGTGCACCGTGATTTGGTCTCCTTCCCATCCGAGTAGCACCCATGGCCTAACAGCCGGCGGCAAGCGCACGGGAGCGCGTGACGGCAGCCCACCATTCACGGCATAGGAGACTGTTCGCTGCTCCATGTCCACCGTCACCTCTATGCTGCTGCCAGCTGCGACGCCCCTGGTCCCGTCCCTCTCGGCGGAAAGGGCTGGCTCGCCGAGGTAGCCTCGCTCGTAACTATCGAGCGTCGACGTGAAGCGTGCGCTCGAGAGGTGGAGTCCCCAAGCCGGCCCGCCATAGGAATCGGTCAGCCTAATGCCCTCTGTCGCATCAGCCACTCCAACCACAATACCATACGCGGCTCCGGTCACCGACCCCGATTTGACAACGTCGACTCGAAAGGTGTGCATGCCCTCAGTCATGATGTCGGTTCCGAAGGCCGCATCAGCGAGCCCGCCGCGTGCATGCTCCAGCGCCCCCCTCAGGCCAGGCGCTACCTCGCCGTCAAGGTCAGTGATGAACTCGTTGTGCTGCGTTGTCGTCCCCCGCGCCTCCTTCAGCGGCTGTGGCTGAGGCTTTGGCTCGACAGCCTTTGCCTTTGCGTCTTTTTTGCCGTCCTTCTTCCCATCTTCCTTCCCCTTCTTCTTGGCCATGTGTGTGTGTCGACCGTTTCAAACCCAAGTCGTGTGATAATTCACAGCAGAAGGTTGAAGATGTTCTTCACAGCCTTGTTATTGAGAAGAAAATACCTCCTATGGCGCTGTTCACAGACCTAAAAATACGTCTCCACTCCGAGACTAAAAAGTATGTTTAAGAGCCACATACACTGAGAGAGAGAGAAGGGGCCTAGAGAACACAACCCCCTCTCTCTTTTCTCCCAGTAAGCTAAAAGTACACTGAAAACCTAAGAGCTACATACACTGAAAACCCGTGAAGTCCGGGCGTGAACTCTCAAGTTTCCTCGGCGGGCTACTCGCAAACTGGGAGCGGTCGCGTGCCGGAGCTGGTGCGCGCCAATGGCCAAGTGGCGCATCAAGCCCAAATCGGCGGCGGCGGCGGTTGTCGGGGTGGTGATTCTCCTAGTCCTTCTCGTCAGCGTCACCGAGACGACGTACAGCGGCCTCCGCTTCCTCGCCCCACGGACTGCGAGCGCATCCGCAGCAGGTGCAGAGGCGCAGCACGAGCTGGTGCTAAAGCGGCTGGAGCAGCTCGATAATGGGCGCTTCCCAAACCAGTTAGCCTCGAGGAGACTCTCCGCTGATGAAGTGACGCAGCGCACCGCAAGAGCTGCGGAGCTTGTGCGCGCTGAGATAAAAAAGCGGGCTGCCGCTGCCCAGCGCATAAAGGAGGCCTCTGCCGCCAAGGAGGCTGCGAGGAGGCTCCAACTCGACCGCCGCGGCCCGGCTGGCATCGCTGTCCTCAAGCGCCTCGAAGAGTTGGAAAAGAAGGCTGGGATGCCTGCATGGGCGCCCGGCAGAGCGGCACCGCCGCGGCCTGCAGGCCCAGGGGCGGGCGAGGACACCAACACGCCGCAGACCAAGCTAGGGAAGGCCGATTCGGGCCTTCCACCCTCGATGAATGCGACCAAGGGTGAAAAGTAATATTACGCGCGTGAAACCATACAAACCATGCTTCGCACACCGTCTGGGAGACTGGACCGTCTGCCCCCCACCGCCATTGCACATAAAGACGTACGCGGTCGGCTTTATTTTTACGCGCGTGAATACAAACCATGGTCACTGCCACCGCCGCCCAGCCCGACTCCCTCCGCCGCGCACTCGGAGCTCGTCGTCTCGTCGCCATGCTCGTCGCTCTCGAGGCGATGCGTCTCGGCGAGCGCGAGGAGGCGGTCGAGCGGTAGGAACGCGCCCTTCATGCGAACATCGAGTTCGCCGAAGCTCACGAGCGCTGCGTTCGTCGCCTCGTTGACAACGAGGCCTGTCACGTACTGAAGCGCGCAACGAGCCGAGATTGCAATCTCAACCTCGCGGTCTGAGATGCAGAGCTTGGGGCTGAGCGAGACGATGCGAAAGGGTGGCTCCGCCTCCAGAAGGTAGAAGACCGTCCCGTAGAGCGCGGGCTCGTGCGCGTCGTCCTTGACGTGCGCCGCCGCGAGGCGCCGGCCGTCGCGCAGCTCTGCATACGGCGATCCGCCTGCAGCAATCATGCCACGCTCATGCTCACGGCAGTGTTGGCACGTCTTGGCCAATCTCTGCGGCGGGCCGCCTCGCAGCTCCTGCCCGAGCGCACGGTAGGTTTGCAGGAACGGACTCGACGTGTTGTGCGCCACGGCGCACCCGCCTCCGCTCCAGCCGCAGCGCAGCACCACGTGAGGCTCGAGCGAGTACGACAAGTGCAGTTCGCCGGCGTGCACAAAGGGCGACCAATTCTTCTCCTGCGACGAAGGCGCTGGACGGGTGAGGAGAGCGTGTTGAGTCTCGAGAGGTTCTCTGAAACGTCCCCGCACCGTCGGCCGCAGCGGCATGCCGTCCTCGAGGCTGAGCTGCCAGGCCGCAGCCTGCTCGAGCTGGCCGCCCTCCGTCTGCCTCAGCCGCGAGACGACGACGCGCCGCCCGCCGTGGCAGTCCTCGTGGTTGGAGAAGAGGTAGACGTCCGACCTGCGGACGTGTCGTGGACGCGTGGAGGAGGCGCGGGAAACGTCTCTGGAGTGTCTCGCAAACGAAGCCCACACCCGTGCGCGAGTGCGCGCGAGTCTTCAAAACCGGCGTAGAGGAAAGGCCACTCGGAGCAAGAACGCTGCGGCACATCGCACCGCTCGATCAACAGCAGCACCAGCCTACCGCGAGACAAGAGGCTGCGGTCGAGGCCTGGCTGTGATGGCAGCGGGCAGCGGCAGCGGCAGCCGCCCGAGGAGCAGCAGGAGGCCCCGCACGACCGGAGGGCGGAACTTGCGCCTCCGCTTCTGCCCGCGGTAGAGCTGGCCTGCGGGGCGTGCCACGGACGGTGTCGGGGGCATGTCACGGACACATCCCTGCTGCAGCGTGTGGCAGAGCCTGTCCCGCAGAGGAAGAGCAGCAGCATCCCGCTCCACCAGAGCCGAGGACCGAGCGAGACCTGCGCGCGGCAGAGCGCCGAATCCGGCTCGGGCCTCGCGGCGCAGCTGCCGCACAAGCTCTCCGGCGGCTCCAGCCGCAGCCATTGCGCAGCCTCGACGCCGACGCTCGCGTCGGGGGCGAGCTGCATGCGCAGGAAGCCGACGAGGCTCCGCCCTCCCGCGCTGCCCACTGCGCCTCTGAGCGATCGGCGGCTCGTCGGCGGCAGCTCCGCGTCCGAGTCGGCGGGGACGAGCCACTCGCCTACAGCCATCGCCCCCACACCGTGAGCCAGCCCCGCCGCGCCACACCTCGCCCGCGAGTGCCGCCGCTCGCCGCCGCCTCCCTCCGCAGACTCGACAGAGTACACGAGCAGCTCGTCGTCGTCGTCGTCGTCCTTCGCCGTCGCCATCCCCGCCGCCTCCGCCTCCGCCTCCTCCGCCGCCTGTAGCTCGCTCCGAAGGCCATCCTCGCCACTGCCGCCCCCGCCCCCGCCATCGCCCTCCTCGCCCGCCTGCCGCGCCGCCTCGGCCTCTGCCAGCATGTCCCACCTCCGGCCTGCGGGCACGCCGCCCGCCCTGCCCGCCGCGTGCTCGAGCTCCGCCTCGAGCTCCGCCGCGTGCCCGCCGAGCCCGCCGAGCCCGCCGAGCCCGCCCAGCCCGCCCAGCCCGCCGCCGCCGCCGCCGCCGCCGCCGCCGCCGCCGCCCCGCCTCCGCTCGCCCGTCTTTGCGAGCTCCCACTCTGCCGCCTCGTACTGCTGCCACTTTGCGGGCACGTGGAAGCTCCACGCGCTGCGCACGTCCGAGTACCGGAAGAAGACGAGCAGAGAGCCGGACACCCCGCCCAGAGCAGACACGAGCGCCGCGGGTGCGCCGCCGCCGCTCCGGCCGGCGGAGGCACCGCCGCCCGACGGCACCACGACCATCGTCGGGTTGAAGCCGCAGAAGGAGGAGCCTTCGGGCAACTCGGCCGGCGGCTCGGGCTGTTCGAACTCGGCGATGTGTGTGGCGGCGGCCTCCTCTGCGGTGGCGAGAACGGCCGCCGACCCGTTGGTGGTCGCCTTGCGCTGTGGCCAACGTTGCCGGTGGGCTGAGCAGCTGCCGTCCGGCCCGTGGCAGCGGTGCAGCTCTGCGCTGCTGACGAGGCAGGCGTGGTAGGCCGCCTTGGTCGGGCTGCAGGTGGAGCGGCGGCACGCGCGCCCACTCGATGCCATGGCCTCGTCCCTCCTGTTCATCGCGAGCAGCAGCTCCCAGACCTTGTAGTGCAGTGCGAGGTCCTCTGGCATGCTGCGTAGCACCGCCTCGTACGAGCGAGAGCGCAGCGCCTCCTCTGCGCCCGGCCTGCCAAACTTGAGGTCGCTCTCTGCCAGCTCAATCTGACGAAGCACCGCCTCCGTGTCGACTGCGGCGGCGGGGCGGAGGTGCACCCACGGCGAGCCGAGGTAGTCAGCGACGGCCGTGCTCCGAACGCTCGGTCGGCCGACCAGGCCGACACGAGGTCTGGTTTGCATCGGCAGGGCTTGCAGAGTGCAGTGATCAGAGAGGGCGGCAGGGCTTGCAGAGTAGTGATCAGAGAGGGTGGCGGAGAGAGAGCGCGCGTTTGCGAAGACAGCAAAGCATATGCGAAAAGAATTTTTGCTGCCATCCGGCACGACGCCCATCCCTCCCTTGGGTTGTGTGTTTTCTTTCTTTCTTTATCCTCGTTTCGCTAACAGAGATCGCTTGAATGCCGGCATTCAAGCGCGACAGTGCTAGCCGCCTCCGCGATGCTGAGCGGTGCATGAAGGGCGGCGAGCCGCTGACGATGCGATATCAGACTCCCAGCGCAAGGAGACACCGTTTCTACGTCTACACACACGTACGACGCTTGTGAGAGTGGCTCTCTCTTCCTCTCTAGACCTAAGACCACGGAGACCATCAACGATGCCGTACCTCCCACATAGATCACGCTCCCTGCAGTCTCGGCGCGGCGCACGTCTCCACAAAGCGCCAGAGCGGCGCCATGTTCGTCCCTCTCAGCGCCGACCCCGCCAAGAAGATCGCCTGCGGCCTCTTCTGCATCAAGCAGGCGATCTCGGGCAGTGGGCACGGGCACTCGTCCGTGCGATTGCAGAGGACGATCGTCTGGCGCGGCGGCTTGCCGGGGGCCGCCGCCTGCAGCAACCGCAAGTACCGGTCGACGTACCCGTCGAGCGGGCCGCAGAGGCATCCCGCCTCGGCTGTCCACACGATTACCGCCGTGCTCACGGCGGAGAGGTCGGGCGGCGCCGCGCAGGCGGGGAGGCAGGCGGGGAGGCCCTCGTGCACGCGAAGCGGCACCTCGCGGGTCCGGGCGGCGAGCCGCAGCCGGCCGACCACCGTGCTCTTGCCGACCCGCTCATCTCCGAGCACGACGACGTGGGGAGGGCTCTGCCGCGGGCCTGCCGTCCTCGCCGCCGCCTTCGCCCTCGCCGCCGCGTCAGACTCCCTGGCCGCCTGGCCGGCCTCGGCGCCGAGGTTCTGCAGCCCGCTCGCGACGTGCTCGTACCGCGCCTCGCTGTCTGGCAGGAGCATCGCAGGCAGCCGGCCGACGACAGAGGAGACGGAGACGGCGGGCTCCGCCGGCTCGGGCGGCGCGGCCTCGGGCGCGGCTGCGGGAGGGAGGGGAGGCGTCGACAGCAGCTGGAGTGTGGTGGAGGCGAGGGCAGGTGGCAGCGGTGCGGCCAGCGGCGGCGGCGGCGGCGACGACGGCAGCGATGACGGCGACGGCGACGGCGACGGATACGAACGCTGCTCCTCCGCCTCTGGCGACCCACCCGCCGCCTGCAGCTCTCCCTCGGCCACGGAGGACGCATCGCCTCGTTTGCGGGAGGGAGGAGCCGGCCGGGAGGGAGGAGAGGCGGATCGGCTGCGCCGGCGGCGGCGCGTGGCGTGCCGGCCGATGCGGACCGCGGGCCCGTCCTCTGCCGGCTCCACCGCCTCCTCCTCCTCCACGACAGGGAGGCTCGGCGCAGACTCGCGGCTGCGCATCCGGCGGAGCTGAGCCCGCCCCGGACTCCGCTCGTCGAACGCCGCCATCATCTGAGCGCACGCGGCGATGCCCCGAGGCGAGTGGAGCTCGAGCAGCGCGGGACAGGAGAGCGAGCGAGCGAGGCCGGTGGCCATCGCGCGGCTGCGTCTCCGCCACCCAGCGCCCGCTCTCGCAGAGAGCACGAGGAGCACCATGATTCCAACGCCGACCAGCAGGTCCCTCAGCTCCTGCTCCGGCTCCACGGAGGACGGCTCTGGAGCAGCGGCGGGTTGGCCAAGAAAGGAGCGGGCCGCGGCAAGCAGAGGGCGGCTGACACTCGCTGGCAGCGCATACTTGAGCGTGATCGCGACGGCTCGCGCCTCGCTCGCAGCAGCCGCTCGCACCGCAGCAGCAGCAGAGCTGCACAAGTCAGAGGCGAGGACCCGGAGCTGCGACGGAGCCGGCGAGTCTGGAGTCCGGCTCCGTCGGAAGCGGTGGAGGATGCGCCTGGCGAACTTGCGCATTGAGGTTCTGCTGTGGTCGCGGACTGCCCAGCTAGCTGCACGGGCCGCTCTGCCACCGTGATGCGTTTAAGGCTCTACTGCGGTGGTTACGGACTGCCCGGTTGCCACCTCTGCACGCTGCGCCTCTCCACGGGCACCGGGGCACTCGGATGCACGAAATGAGGGCCCATCAACTGTGGAAAAGAATTTTACAATCGAATGCATCACGATATTAGGCCCCCATCCCTCCCTTGGGTTGTGTGTTTTCTTTCTTTCTTTCTTTAGGCACGTCGGGTTGCTGCCCTTATCCCACCAGGGGTTGTCTGCTCTATTTATTTATTTACACTAGGCACGGGACTGGCGCGCACTGGCACTAACACAGGTAAATAAATAAAACGGGCAAACTCTGAGACGAGATGGGATTTAGGGACATGTGTCCCCACCCTGAGTGTCCCCTCACCCCTCGTCACAACCCGACACGGAAGAGCGGCAAGAGTTGGGGCTGCGGCTACGGCTGCGGCTATGAGAGGGGCCGGGGTCGCGGGAGAGCCGCTGCGCCGCGTGGACGCGCCTACACCGCTCTTGCTCCGCTCGCCACCTCTCGCAAAGGTCCAAAGCCATAGCCACCACCTCCTCCGGCAAGTCCTTTCGCCGTATCTCGCCGTCCCTCCACGCCTGGAAGAGCTCGTCGTCATAGCCGTATTGCATCACAGCCTGCTGAACTGCGTCGTGTACGACCCCTGCCGTCCTGTCCTGCGCCTCAGCGTCGGAAAAGTCGAACTCGGAGTCATACTCGGAAGCAGGCACAGACGGCCGCGGTGATTTGGCAGGCGGCGAGGGAGGGGAAGGGGGAGCGCGGTGGTGCGCTAACACAGGTACACCACGTGGAAAAGAATTTTTCTCGTCGCCCTTCAAATCCCTGTGGTGGCGGCGTGCGACAAGGGCGTGGACTGGCGTGGACGGCGCAAAAAGAATTCCAAACGAGCTGCGCTCTTCTTCGTGGCTCCGCTGATCTCGATCGACGATCTCCAACACAACACAATCGCGATCTCCACGCCCAAGGCCAAGCGACGCACGGAAAATCCTAGAAAAATCTCTACCGTCGGTGATGCTCTACCGTGGTCTGCAAGGCAGCGAGGAGCACGGCGCACGAGTGGATCAAAAAAGTATTTTACCTGGCTCGACAACACTCTACATGCACATCGTCGTACACACGCTAGGGGGAGATCCGCGCAGCGTGCTAGAATGAAGACCAGGAAAAGACATGCTTTGGCGCGTGTGTGCGGCTACACAGCCCACTGTACCGCAATAGACATTATGGAGCGCCTTATGCCTCGACTGACAGAAACACGGGGCTGAATGAGGTCGCCCCCGGGTGTTCGAGCATTTCACCGGAAAAAGAATAAACCTGGGGGGAGCAGCAGATGCGGCGGCGCTTTAGCAAGCTTTAGCAAATGTCCAGAATGTCCAGAAGGCCCGCAGGCCTTCATCAGCAAACCACAATGTCTCCTTTTCATTGCCCATGAGCCATGACTGACTGACCGGGTTGCTCACTCGGTGGAGGCGACTCTTTGAGACACGTGTGACCTACGGCGCTTTACCTGACTGAGAGAGACCTTCTACAACACCTGAGGCCTTCTGCACACCTGCAGAGGACTCTCTAGACGTTCCCACATTCTTTTCCAACCTTCTGGACACCTTCTGGACATCTTCTGGACACCTTCTGGACATCTTCTGGACACCTTCTGGACCTTCTGGACATCTCTGGACGCTCCACAAACCCTATTCTCTGCCCCTGAGCGGCCTTGCGCTCCGCCGCCACCATCATGCCGAGGCGATGGGCCGGGTCACGTTGGACCCCGACCCGACCCCACCCCTCGGGGTGGGGGCACCCGCCCCTGCCGGGCACCGCTTGCGGCGCCGATTCCCATGCCGGCTCTCCGCCACACACACCCCCCGCCGGGAGGGAATCCCTGCTCACAGAAAACTAAGGGCTCCGAGCCCTGTCTCGCGCACGCCCCTGACGCGCCGCGGACCTGTTCCGCGAGCGCTCGTCAGCGGGTGGTGTGCGGTTCTTGCCGTAGTTCCTCTTCGGTCGCCTAGCCCCGGCGCCGTCTGTCGGACGCCTGCGTGTCACGAGTGCGAGCCGCTCGCGGTTCGTACACGCCCGCTTGCGGGTTCGAGTGGCGGGCCATCCCGCTTGCGGGATGGCTTAGCGGGTTCGAGCCGTCACACATTGGCTGCCGGGGTGTGCCGAGGGGGGGCTGGGTGGGCGGTAAGCCGTCATTGCCCGGCGCTGCTTGCAGCGCTCTGGGTGGTTGGTAGTGGCGGCGCTCCAAGAGTGGTGCTCTTGGGAAGAGGTTCCTCCTTTCCGCTCCCCCCCCCCCGCAAGGCGCGAGACACACGACACACATCACCCGCCCGCTGCTCCGCAAGCAAGCAAGCTGCGCCTCCTCTGCTGCTCGCCTCTCCGCCTCCCTCCCTCGCCTAGTAGCTGCTAGACTTACTTAGGGCGAGACGATCGAGGGGTCCCGTACCATGCGGAATCGACCCTATCAAATGCTCAAGTGCTCAAGTGCTAGACTTAAACTGCTCTTCTAATTTTTTGCGAAATCGAGATCGACCGGAGGAGCGTGGCGAGATCCAATAACGCGGCGACGAAACGGGACCGCACGTAATCGGAGATCCGCCCATTTTCAACTTCAGGCCCGCAAGTGCGAAAAGCCGCCGCCGGCGCGAATGTCTCTGGCATGCGGCTGATCCACAGCAACGCGGCGGGCCGGCGCGCAGTGCTGCAGCCGTGCATCCTTCTGACGCTGGTGTGCGGTGCGACTTCCTCCACTGCCGCGTCATCCTCTAGTGCTGCATCCGCCAGTGGGGCCTCCTCGGCCGCTGCTGCAGCGGCCGCCGCAAGCGGGGAAGGGGGTGGTGGCAGCAGCTCGTCTGCCTCAGCCACCGGGGTTGTGGAGGGACACATCGCGAGTCCACCTCCACCGCCGAGCCGACCCGCTACTTGCTTGGAGCCGGCGGGATTTGTGCCAACCTGTGAGCAGGCGCACGGCTTTGGTCTTTGCGAACACTCCCACGACAATCAGCGCTTTGCAGAGCAGGTCGCACTCGTGAAAGAGACGTGCCCCAGCACCTGCGAGGCCGACATCCAGTTCAGCGG